TGCCTGAAGTAAAGCCTTGAAAAGTTCCGTTAGGTCTGAATTCTTTTTTTTCCGGCCTTGCATCATCAAGTTGCCTTAGCTGTAGGCAGTTTATCCACGAGAATCAATTCGCCCCTGAGTTGCACATCTTATTTATACGACAATACAACAAAACTTTCTCATACATTGACGTCAGACACGTGACCGGCGAAGATCCTAAGTGGTTGTGGTTGGTCTGTGCTCCACAGTCGGGCCGTACGGTCATGTGATGCTGATGCAAAGTAGTGTCCGCGTGGGCTGGGAAGAGATTCCACACATTTGAGAGTGCAACCATTTGCTTACGTAACTAAGCTTCAAAATGTACTTAAGGAGTTAGAATTCACCCCAGCAACTGTGTTGTGTTTTTTGCCCCTATTGGCTTTCTCGCACAGAGGTTTTTCATCTATTTCTACACTTTGCCGATCATCTAAACACTTTGGAAATGGCTAAAATTCCTCAAAAAAGGATACCTCGCGAATTTGTAAATTTCTATTTTAGGAAATAAGAGAATTCATTTTATGGAAAAAAGAGTAAAGCATTAGTTAAGAAATCAATAGTCCCTACCAGAACTGCACGTCCCACACTGGGTAGTTATGTCCCTTGAACGAAACTAAGGAACTGAAAGTGTAGAGACTCCAAAGGCGAACTTGATGGAAACAAGCAGCACAATTAGCATAAGTTACTTTTCAAATCAAAATGAGAACGATACTACTTAGGATTAGATTATTCTCACTATAAGATAAACGGTAATCATAAAGATAGAAACATCGATTAAAAAAATAGAACATTGTTCTAACTTGAAGCCTTGTAGCGATTTAAAGTGGTGCCCAAGAATTATTTTTCTATAATGTCTTAATACTTGTTAGAAGCCCTCCAGGGCTGGTCGTTCGAAAAGCAGTTAGCTCTAATCTTCGATTGATATTTAGTTTTGATTTTGTCCTTTGTCTAACAAAGACATTTTCTGGGACTCGAAGCAATCTAAAACAAAAGAAGTTCACCATAGTGCATTAGCCATTCACGGAGGGAAAAACTTAACGTACCTGTTCTGTCGGCAGAGGCGGAGACAAGAAAGGAGTTGTCGTTGTTAAAACTCGTCGAGAATACGGGCCCAGAATGACCAATCAACTTTCTCGACTCTACAGCAGTTCTAGAGTAATGAAAAAAGAAAACTCCCCTATGGCTTCAGTACATTTCCAAGAAAATTCGAATAAATAATCTATAACACCGTCGAGTTGATACGATTTTCATTCTCGACACCTCTTTTGAAAAATTATGAGTAGAAATTATGGGGAAAAATTGTTTGCTAAACATTTCGGAAGTTAAAGGGTTGAAATACACGCCTAACAACTTGTTTTTCACCAATGTCCCAGATAAAAAGAGTACCAAGGTATTTCTCAGTTATATAATGACGATTCCAGACGGAAGTTTCAATATTGTGCGTTCTAAAAAGAAGTCATTTGCATGCTGCCTGGTACCCAAGTATCTCTCCATTACGAAAGCGGTGGACAGGGTGTTGATGTGCGCACATATGGAGACCTGCCAGCCTTCTCTTTAATCTCTTTGTCTGCTCTGCTGACAAAAATGGGACGACGCCTGGGACGAGGTAGATGTAAAAGTCCAATAAAACGAGGCGAACCGCAAGTAAATCACTTGATTTGTACCAAAAGTTAGTATGAAATCGAGAGGAAAAGTAGGGAAAAAAAAACCAACCTGTGGTCCATTATTCTTTCAAGTACGTCCTCTGTTGAACAGACGAATGTTTTCATCAGGATTTTAATTCGTGAAAATCTTTCGAACATACGCCATAAACGAATACGATTGATATCATTCAAAACTACAAGGTCATACTCCGACTTTTCAACCAGAGTGTACCTCGAGTCCTCATTTCGTTCTCCTGACTTGAACTAATGATCTGATTGCCTATTCTGACTCTTGCCCTGTTTTAACGACCATGATAAAGTACTCTGACGAATGCGAATAGGATATCTCAACAAAATTAAAGGTTCGCTCCCACATTTGCCCAAATCCAAATACTCATTTTAGCACCTAATTACGCAAAAAACGCGAGATTTTTCCTGTGTATAGTCCTAACCTGCTTCCTTATCAATTAGGGCGAGCTCCGAAGGCGACTTGAGCATGCGTAGCTTCTTAGGAGTGAGGCTCCATACACGTACACTGCTGTCTTCAAATCCACCGGACAACAGGCTCGAGTCGTTGGATATGCTGACCGAGTTTAAACTACAAAATTTAAAGGAAAACAGGAAATAGAATCCAAGTCAGTTCAAGCAATTAAGTGTCAAATTCTTTCACAAAAATGAAAGGGAAAGAAAAAACGTTTTCTTAAACATCTCTATATCAATTATGACTTAAGGGACACTCTTATTATGAGGTCACTCTTTCTAGTTCCAACGGTGATCCCTACATGCAGGTTCCACGACGCAGCCCCAACAGCTGTTACCTTCAAGGAAGGGGCACATCAATTCATGAGGCCCTATTTCTAGTCTCCAAAGTGTTCCCTGTAGGAAAGTTCCACTGTATTTGGATAAAACTACCTCGTGGATCCATCAGTTGGTGTATTTCTATATCAATCACTGTCTTACAAATTCTTTTAACGAAAGACTTCTACTTGCAGTTATGAGCTGCTTATACCTTAAAGCGGATTTGAGGCAAATGAAAGAACAACAATAACAGACCAATCAGAACAAACAAAAAAAACAAAAACAAGAAATGATATCAAACACAACACAATATTTTTAAGCTGCTTACACCTTAAAGCGGATTTTGGGCAAATAAAACAACAACAACAACGAACAGACAAATCACAATAAACAAAGAAACAGAAAGATAGAAAAAATATCAAACACAACACATTATTTTACGGGCTGAAAAGCTTCTCGTTTCTAATAAACTCGTTCTCGTTCCTAATAAATATGAGTTTTCAATAAGGAACGTTACGAAGTCTTCTCAACGTTTTTAAAATGGAAGCCTCCTCAAGGCGGCAATCTTGGTGAGACAAAAAGTGTCTCTTGGAAGAACGTGTCACAGATGCAAATATTATACAGAGGAACCTCCATTCAGGGTAGCAGCCAAGGCACTATAAAAAGTGTCCCATGGATAGAGGTGTCACTTTGATGAAGGCAACAGATAGAAAGGTTCTGCAAAGGGACCTCCATTAAGAGGGCATCCGCGGGAGAATAAAAAGTGTCCTCTAAGTAAAGGTGTATTTTCAGAAAAGGTAATAGACACAAACTTTATCGAGGAGTATCTTTGGGTATTTTATTCAGAACAAAAATTTGACTTCGTTCGATGGGGAAAAGAGAGATTCCTCTGTAATAAGAGAAAATGAACTTGTTCTTATCTACCGCTCTTACCTTGAGTGAGCATTAAGTACACTGTAGAAGCAGATGGAAGGCAGGGAATCAGGTCCTAAAGTGACTCTTTTGGCCGCTTCCCTCATCAGTGCTATCTTCACCACCTTATCACTGTCTTTCCTGATACATTAGAGAGTAAAAAAGGATAATTTTATTTAGGGTGCAAAGCGGAAAAGAGATAAAATAAAAGAGGAATGCTGAAAATTGGGACCTTCGCAGCTTTACCTGGATAATCACACAACAACTAGGCCCTAAATATTGCGTGACATTCCCCCAAAAAAAAATCGGTCAAAATTTTTAGCCGATAGTTACAAAGGGCCGCAAAACAAGAGAAGTTTAGCTTGCAATGAAATATTTTCGCTTTCATCATAGCGCCACCTTTTGCCACAAACGAAAACCCAGTTATACAACAATTTAGTGTCTGGTAGTTTCTATATAACAAGATAAATTGAGAGAGGGAGGGGAGGGAGAGGGCTTTGCGTAAACGGAAGTGGCATCAAAATAAATTAACTATATATAGTCGTTTTTCCTTATGCTTTTTCTTGTTGGCAAAACCGGCTAAGGCCAACGCCCAATTTACCAAAGCAAACTAAGCAAAGGATGGCAAATTATTTCTTTCTTGCAGTGAAGAGAGCGAAGTATCTGATGAACTGTGGGCTAAAAAGCGGAAATGACCTACATGTCAGGGAAGGGAATCTGGCGGTTCAAAGGCGGAGCGTTTGGATTGTGTTCCTGCTTCTTCTTGCCTGAAAATAAGAGAACAGTAGCTTTCTTACGGCGCTCAAACATCAATAGGTCCCAGTCTCACAAAGGCCGGATGGACAACAACGTAGCTTCCAGTTTCCAGCATCTAACACTTCTTACCTCTAGAGAGCGAGAAGAGGAGGCGCCTGGGAATGAGGTTGCATAGACTCCTTTTCACCCTTGAATACTCACATCACTCAATTAACAGGAAAGCTACGTCACTCACTTGAGATGTGAATGCCCTTTTAGTAATCCCAAAACAAACAAACAGGAAAAAGAAAAAGACAGACATTCATCGTTCAGCTTTACCTGGGCCATTGGAATCTTTCTTCACTTTCTTTTTCTACAACGTAAGACAGCAAAATATTAGATGCGTCCGGTGTGGTAACGCGAAGTTGCGATATGCGACGACTAAAACATAACAACCCTTACAACCCCGCGAGTTGAACTAGCAGGGAAATCTTTAAAGGCTCTAAGGCTCTAAAGGGGTGAGAAAGCGCTCTATTTATGAAATTTATCTGTTTTCTCGAAGGACAAAAGGCAAAACTTGTGATTAAACGCAAACTCTCCTCGCCAGCATGAAAGCAATATGACCTGTCTGCAAAAAGAGATTAGCAATAGCCAAATGCCTGGGGGTGATATTCTTGGGAATCAGTATTCATGACAACTCATGCCATGACATGCTTTAGAGACAAGGATCCCTGATTGGCTGATGCAATGGAAAAAACAACTATAACAAATTCCGAAAAAGCTCACGAAAGGAAAAAAACAAAACAAAACAAATTCATAAGAATTCATCGTTTCGAGTCAAATTATGAGAATGTAAGCCACTGTTCTCGCTCCCTCCTCAAACAAGACGGACGAACCATGGATATCAAAACGTTTCTTCACAATCTTCGTGAAGAAGTTTCTTGTCCCGTGTGTATTAACATATACACAGATCCGAAACAGCTTCTATGTCTTCACAGTTTCTGTCTGCAATGCTTGAATCTTTGTCACAGATCAAGCCATGGCCGAGACACAATCAGATGTCCGAAATGCCAAGTTGTTAGCAAAGTGCCTGATAGCGGTGATTTGAAAGATCTTCCCACCAGTTTTTATTTGAACGGCTTGATTGATGTGCTGGCAATTCAAGAATGCAAAACCAGCCAAGTTGGATGTGGAAATTGTCAAAAGAAGAGCTCCGAGAGTTCTTATTGTTTCCAGTGTTGCATGTTTTGGTGTGAAGAGTGCCTCATTGCACATAACATCATTCAAGTCAATAAAGATCACCGTGTTCTAGCGCTCAAAGACTTTCAAGAAAAGGATTACGAGGATGTGTTGAAACGACCCTTATTCTGCTCTAAACAGCGGCATGAGAAAGAAGAACTTAAATACTTCTGCAAGAACTGCGAAACGGCAGCTTGTCAAAGCTGTGTTTTGATACATCATCCGGGTCACGCCATATTGCACCTAGAGGAAGAGGCGGAAAGACAAAAGATGGAACTAAAATCACTGATTGAAATACAGAAGCACAATTTACAAGCAAAGATTAATACTTTGGGTCGAATTGATGAAGACTGTGCCAAATTCACACAGCAAAGCGAAGACATCAAGGGACAAGTGCAGAAGTTTGTGGACAATTTAATTGCAACTATTGAAGCGAAGAAACAAAATATCATCGCAGCGGCGAACGATAAAACGAAGAGATTCCTCGAAACTCTGACAACGCAAAAGACAGAGATCGAGAATGAAATAAAGATCATCGAATCATCGCTGGAAAAAGCTGATACAATTCTAAAACGAAGCACACACGCCGAAGTCGTTCAATTAAAGAAGTCGTTCGAGGAAATTTTTCAGGGAACTCATCAAAGTCAGCCAAAAGACCGCTACCCGGAAGAGCTTTCTGTTTTAGCTTTCGTGGAAAACCCAAAGATGCTCAGTACCATAAACGCCGAAGAAATCGGAATGGTTAAAATAGCACACCAAACAAAAGCAAGTCAGTCAGTCGCCGAAGGAAAAGGGCTTGAAGAAGCAATTGCTAATCGTCAAGCACACTTTTCTTTGACCACAAGGAACTCTACAGGAAGACAGTGCTACAATGAAGATGACCATGTAACGGTGGAGATCATTGACGAACAAGGACGCGAATGCGCAACGGAATTGCAAATAATTGACAATAAGGATGGACTCTATCAAATCAGTTATTCTCCCAAAACTGAAGGAAGATGTAAAGTGGCGATAAAGGTAAACGGGGAACATGTGCACGGGAGTCAATTTGTTGTCCGCGTTACACCATTTCAGTTAAAACCTGTTTCAGCTTTTGGAGAGCAGGGTTCGTCGGTTGGAAAGTTTTCTTGTCCTTGGGGGGTTGCCGTGAACGCTAACGACGAGATCGCTGTAACTGATCAATTCAACAACAGAGTTCAAATTTTCAGTAGTGAAGGAAATTTTTTAAGATCATTCGGTAAGGGTGACATGGTCGGAGAATTCAACAATCCTCGGGGAATAGCATTTCATAATAATGGCAATATTTTTGTAAAAGACAGTTTAAATCATAGAATTCAGATTTTTAGCGGTGAGGGTAAGTTCGTGGGAAGTTTTGGTGGGGAAGGAGAACTTGATAGTCAGCTTAATAATTCCTTCGGTCTGTCTGTAGACAGTGAGGGGAATATAATTGTTGCAGACGCAGGTAACAAACTGATCAAGATATTTTCTCCAGATGGCAAGTTTCTGATGAAGATAGGTGAGGAGGGCTCTTTTACTCTTCCTATCCACTGTATTCAGTATGATAGATATCTCATAGTGTCAGACCATAGTGATCATTGTATCAAAGTTTTTGACAGGAATGGAAAGTTTCAGTACAAGTTTGGAAAGCAGGGAGCTGGGGACGGGGAATTTTCTTTTCCAGAATGTTTGTCAGTGAACAAGTCAGGACAAGTTATGGTCTGTGACTCAGGCAATTGTAGAATACAAGTCTTTGAACTAAATGGAAAGTTTGTTGGTAAGTTTGGAACAGAAGGCAAAAATTTAGGAGAATTCACTTATCCAAGTGCACTAGCCGTTCTCAGTACAGGGAGAGTTGTTGTTACTGATGCTTGTAACAATCGCATTCAGATAATTGAGTAGTCCACGTTCGCTCTGGTGAACTGTTTGGCTTATTTTGAGCAGAGTGAAATTCAACCTCTTTCGACATAAATTAATTGAGTTTTATATAAAATTAAGAAATGAATAGAAATAAAGCAAAAGGAAAGAAATAAAAAGAAACTCTTTAGAGCACATATTCGTTAACTTTTGGTAGAGTGGTAGGACTGAAAAAAGGTTAATCCAATCCAATGTGTACACCTTTGAAGCATTCCGATGGAAGCGTATTGCTACTGAGAATGTTATGTTTACAGAACTTTTAATATACATTTGGTATTCATTATTTTCACAAATGAAAGGTAGTGGTTATTCATTATGATTTGGTTCATGTACAATCATAACAAAAAATTACAGTCACTTCTTATGTTGAACAAAACTTTTTAATTTTTTAAATGAAATAAAGATTTGAACATCTGTGGGCAAATTCTTTCTAAATAACATAAAAAAACGTGTAAGTTGTAGAAAGGTTCTTTCAGAGAACTTAAAACCCTTTTTAGTGGTGTATTTTGTACGTTTCATGTCTTGATCTTACAAATAACAAGGGTACTAAGATTCTTGTATATAGTAAGTATTTTAGGCAAAGATGATTTTTGAATAAGAGACTCAGGTGTTGACTGAATCAAACTAATGTTTCAGTCAAACACAGAATATACATTGCACTAGATAAACCAAGGGCTGTATCAGCATGTGAAGAGCAGCCAAGTCATTGGTTAATTTTTTTATATGGACAGTTCAGAGAAAATATGGATGGCTTTCAATTTTTTACCCAAAAACAGAACAAATATTATCATTAGCTATCAGCTGAAAAATAGATGTAACTTAAGAAAGGATTAGCCTGCCATTTTAAAATGGAAATCATTATCATTATTTTGTACTTTTAAATGTAAGCAGAATTCTTAGGATTGAACATATTCAGAAGAGTTTATATGTTAATGATCTCAGAACCCACATAATGCTTACATTCATATATAAAACTAAAATGAGGGGCTTGGCAATTGGAGGCCTGGCCATAAGACTGTTTCAAGTACAGCAGATTCATTTGAATTTATCTAGTTTTGTAGTAAATAAGAAGTACTGCACTTGTAAATAAGTTGCATTAATAAACACTTATTGAACTGAGTTTGTATAATACCATATCTTCTAAAAAAAATAAAGTGTGTCACTCAACTGTTTGACCTTTTGTATTTAATGAAGTTTTCATCATCATTATCATTGCCAAATATTACTTTATTATTATCTCCCATGAGTGACCAAGACAGATTTTCTCCTTACAATATCAATACAATATCAAGCAGACAAGTGATGAGAAAAAAAAAATCAATTTTGAGATTGTTAATTGACCCAAAAACAAATTCTCCAAAGTAATGCCATGAGAATTGTACAGCAAACAGTAAGGAGAATGAGTAATAAGATCTTGGGAGTGAAAGGGTTTAAGAGGCATAACAAAAGCAATTTGCATTCCCAGATAAGATAATTTATTTGAAAAACACAGTATAGAAAAACTAAAGCTACACTGCAATATTTCCCTCACTAAATTAAATACCACTCCATAATTTCAAATGTACTTACTTTTGGCTTGTCTTTATCTTCCTCCTCCTCATTTTCCTCTTCAATAACAACTCCAAGATCAGGTTCTGGTGGGATTCCATAATACACCTTGCTCTTGTTGGCTGCAGTGAGAAAAGGAACATTTTCACTTTAAGTGTCAAAGAGTTTCCACTTCCAAGGATAACTGGCTCTTCTACGTTGTAACCTGGGCTTGAAAACTACATTGTACCCTTCCACTTGTCTCTAGTGTAGTCCCTAAGCTCACCATTACACTGCCCTACATAAGATTGCTAGGTTCAGGGTCCTAATGCAAGGACAGGAAAGTTCAGGAGGTGGAGAAGTTAATCCACAAAGCTTATAGATCAGGAAGGGAAAAGAGTTCATACGTGTGTATGTGCACTGCTTGGAGCTAAAGAACAGCAATAGTTTAATTCCCAATAAAAAACAGCCAGACACAAGAGTTGGACTTCCTCCATGGAAGTTTGACCAGACCCTGAATTTTTGGTCCTCCTTCCCACTGGCAAATACCCAAAACAACTACATTTCATGGCACTAACAACCATTGCAGACCCTACTGCAGTTAGACAGGAAAAAAGGGAAAATATCTGTTGTGAATGATAAAAGGTTCGAATCAAGTCTGCACATCTTTTTAGATTTTAGAGCAACTTTCTTAACACAGAAAAAAACTTCTCAGTCCCTGGTTATCTAGAGAAAACCAATCCTTGACCCTTTAACTCCCAGAAGTGATTAGCATGTAACTTTTCCTTATAGTATCCATACATTATCCAGCAAACAGGATATATGAATACTCAGACTTATCAGGTAGAAACACTCATCTTGATTTAATAGCAAATTATTGTAACTAGTTTACAAGGAATTGTCTATCAGCTAGAGGAGAGAATCAACAATCAGATCTTGGGAGTTAAAGGGTTAAGTGTATCCTGGATTTTCCACAGTCTTCAGCCTTGCCAAAATGGTGATATTCTTTCAAGGAAGTTCCTCATTGCTCATAAGTGTCCCTTACCCTCAAATGTTGCCTCCCCAGTCACTGCTCCTGCTGTTGCTTCAATTGTTTGCTTATTCCGTGGTCTTCCTTCAAAAACTAAAGAGAACACAAACAAAGATCAAATGTTAAGTTAGACCTTCAGCAACCAAAATATGATTTGCAATTCCCCTTCTAGCTGGTATACTCTTTTCTGGTAAATTAGTTAGGAGAATTTTCATTTGTGATTTTAAGATAAAACCCTTGAGCTGAAAATTTTGCTTCTTCCCTACAGCTAGGCTTGATTCCCACCATTTTCTTGAACTTTGGGGGGGAGGGAAGGGGGGTTGAACTCAAGCTCATTTCATGAACAGTGACTAGTAATAGAGCCCACTTATAACCTACTGACTCAATATTGTATCAATTTAAAAGGCAAAATAAGATTTAACCTCCTCTGAGAGAGGGAAACTGAACTAGATAAAAATGACGTAAAATAAATATTCATCTCAGCACTGTCATAAAGAAATTAAGATGCAAGAGAATACTGTAGAGAAACAGAGAATTCTGTGTAAAAGTTAAAATAAAATACGATCTCCAAAGCTTAATGGACACCTTGAAATCTTACCATCAAAATGAAGGTGTTGTTGAATCAAGGTAAGAAGCAATTCTTGCTGTTGATCCTGAGGAAAAAGATGAATAAAAACCCATAAAATGCAATTAATTTTCTCCTTACAATATCACTCAATACATTTTTGAGTAGAAAGGGAAACAGAGGAGAGAAAAATATCAACTTGGTGATTTTCTTTGATTTAGCACTAAATTCTCTGATCTAAAATCAAAAGTAATGTATGGAAAACAATGTGGAGAATTGATACTTCAATCTTAGGGGTGAAAGGGTTAATAGTGTGCTGGTTGGATCAATATCAGTATCTAGGCAACTGCCCACCTACCCCTCCCCTAACTCAACAACAGTCAATTGATAAAAAGTTAGGGTTGATGTTGGGTTAGGGGAGGGGTAGGTGGGCAGTTACCCTGACACTGATATTGATCCTGCTGGTTTATCATTAATATTTCAGAGTGAAGAAAGGTATGGAAACTTTGAAAAAAGAGTATCTACAGGGAACTCAACACTTTCTCCATTGTAACAACCAAGGCTTAAACCTGAATTGCTTCATCTACAGATTTTAGTGAGCTGACCACTACCCTTGTGTTCTCCAGAGTAGCCAACCATAAGAACATAATAACCTACATGATACAGGTGAGTGCCTAAGGGGCACAAGCATCTTTTCCATTTGCTTAAACTCATTGTTTCCTTTCCAGTTTAAATTTAATCTTTTTGAGCACATGTTTATCAAAATAGACCAAAATTTGAAATATTTTTCATATCAAGTCAGTTCTTGGACTGTTTTGTCCAGAAAGTAATGTAACCAGCCCCTCAGAAACACGTAGCCAGAGAAAAAAAAAATAAGGCAACCCCCAGCACTTCCAAAGAACTCTGCTGACCTAAAGAGTTTTCTCTATGTTGAGAAAATAGCATGTTATTTAAAGCATTGAGAGTCAATACCAACCACAAGTTTTCTAAAATATGTGACAGTACAAATTAACTGTACCTGCAAATGTTTCTTGAGTACTTGGTATGTGTCCTTTGACATTCTGATTACAAACTTATTGCTCCTGTTTGAAGTGATATACATTCAATGAATCAAAATGCATTCTCAATCCTGTTTGAGCAGGTGCACATTAAGTAATAGTTGTTACACTAAAAAAGCAATTTGTTGGTGAAGGTTTGGTGGAAAGTTTGAATGGCTGCTGTTCAAACAGACAACTTGATGACAGCCTGTGTGCAGTCCCTCCCCCCTTAACTCTGAAAAAAACAATCCTGTCTTTTTTGGTTAGGGTAGGGAGTGGCTTCACACAGGCTACATAAATGACATAGAATATCCTTATATTACAGTTAACTAATTTGTATAAATGTGCAAGCTACAAAGTTTTTATACCACCTTCATAGAAAATAATTTCTATCAGTTGACCAGCATAACTAACACCAAATGTAGGATAATACACAAGAGGTTTTCAAAAAAATTTTATTCTCACATCAAGTTCGACTTAGAAGTCTATAAACTTTGACTTAGGAATCGAGAATCGAGGATTGTGGATCAAGTTTTTTGAGGGATTAGCAACTTAGGATACAATCTGTTTCAATACCGTAAGGTTCCCATGAGCTCATTGCTTTTCATGTGTTCACGCCGTGTTATGGCTGCCAACTTGCTAAGGTCTTCTTCATGATAATCTTCCTGACTTCCTCGAAAACAGGCAAAAAAAGATTGTGCTGCAAAAAATATCAAGTAACAAAGTTTAATGGCAGCTATTTTTGGGCAAGGTGTTTAGAGAAAATACCTCTCTCAAATATGGTCTTAGAAATAAACCAGGAAAACTGGATCAGTAACACAAAGTCAAGTCTTGTCTGACTGATAACCCTTTAACTCCTAAAATCTGGTTGTTAATTCTCCCCTCTAGCTGCTACACATTTCTTTGTAAATCCCAGATGGTGTTTGATATTAAAGGGAGAAGTTACATGTTAATCACTGTCAGGATTTATCAGGTTAAAAAAGATCCCTTCACATGATTAAAAGGAAGAAGAGTCCCTTCTACAGTTGTACAGATTTAGAAAAACAGAAGTTGACCTATGAAAGAAGACTTTGTTTCCTTTTTAATATCATGATTTTTTGTGGGTAATTTTTGAGTAAGCCTTGAAACATGGCCTACTGATTAAGCATGCCAGTATTTCTGGCTTAATCATAACCGTTACAATTTCTTCAAATGTCATTGGTGCATTACAGTTGACATGGACATGAACAGTGTAATCAGACAGTTGGCTGTAATCGGACACCAGTAATCAGACAGTTGAAGCAGCCAACGGTACTAAGTGCACTCAGCGAAATCCACCCATCACAGAATTAATCTCAATAACCGTAGCAACAACCACTTATCCCAAAAAGACTGAGGAATTTCCAAAATGGAGAATTTTTTTTACTTTAGACATTGTCTCTACAGGAGATATTTGACCTAAATGTATTCGTTTTATTTTTTATAAATTTTGATGAGTATGATGAATTTGTAACACGACTTCTTGCCATCCAATTCTGTTTGTAATGTGATACTCATGATTAACAAATTGGACTCCCACTTCGTGGTCTTCCAAGTTTGTTGATCACTTGTATGATTACAGACCAAATTGGACTCCACTCAGTCCTATTATCATCATTAGGATGAGACATTGCAAGAATGGGCTCTCAGAATAATCATTATAAAAAAAACCTTACCCTCCTTCTCACTTCCCTTGTATACCAGTTCAAGATACATATGAACAAACATGGGATAAAGTACCATGGCTAACTCAGGCTAAAAAAAAATTAAAAAATTAAAAGTCATTTTCAAATTCCACATTAATACTCTAAATAATTGACTAGCAGATCAAACAAGTCAAATATAAAATCCCCTGTCCTGCTCTACAATTAACCCTTTGATCCTAGAGAGTGACTAGAATCTACTTTCTCCTTAAAATATTATCCCAGAATCATATATTAAGGTTATGAGAATAAAGGAAATGATCACAAATTAAAGAAGTTCTCGATTGTTAATAAATTCTCCTTGTCAGCAGCTAAGAATTAATATAGAGGACAGTATGGAGAATATGTATATTGATGTTAGAGTGTAAAGGGTTAAGGGAGAATACATTTAATTTTTTACCTTATACACATCCAATGATTTCTCTACAAAAGCTTGCAAACTGTATGTAATAGGAGGACAGAAAGTGATAATTTAAATAAATATAATGTAGGAGCAATAAAAAATAAATAAACTGAGTAAAAGTAGCATCATCTTCAGGGTTGTAGATAAGAGCTAGCAGTTGGCAAAGTATGCCGGCTTCTCTGCAAGGTTTCGCCAGCTACTTTCATTCCTTCAAGAGCCCGTACAGAGATGATGTTCATCAGGTCTAAACTTGGGCTCAATAAAAATATAAATTTGCATTGTCTATTCTGACTCAAGGTTAGTTTAAAAACGTTCTGATGGGGACTGTCTTTTGATAAATCTTACTGTGATGGCAAGAAAGTATGAACAATATGACGTTTTGTCTGCCATATTGGATTTCGAGATATGAATATATAATTGTGTGAGAAGGAAGCTGGGAAAGCCCATTGTATGGGTCCTTTGGACCCACAACCGTTTACCTTTAAAAAGCTCTGGCTACTTAAAACCTTAAAGAAAACCCTGATCTTTCCAATGAAATACAAGTACACTGTATGCATGTAAACCGCTTCCACCATAAAAACTGTACTTGAAAATAGCATAAAAACTGTAAAGAAGGTTCTCTCTGTACAGCTCTGTACAGAGGTTCACTCAAGACCAAAATTGAATAGTGCTGTTGCCTCCTTCAACACGAAAACTTCTTCTTAACTCCCAAGATCTGATTGTTAATTCTCCTAACTAACTGTACATTTTCTTTTATATTAGTTATAAGAATTTGGTGTTAGATCAAGATAACAACTACCTGAAATTTTGAGTGTTCTCGTTACCTGTTTGCTAAATAATGTAAGGATATTATAGGGAGAGGTTATTGGTTAATCTCCTCCATGACTTAAGCCCAGAATATTCTCAACAACATGTACAGCTCTCCTTGAAAAACTACTTTCTTCAGTAAATATTATTTTAGAAAAGACATTGATCAACTCTGTCTTGCTAACCATAAACAACCAGGTAGAGCATCAGCAGCTGTCTAGTTTACTGATGACCAAACATTTTATACAACAATGTACACAGGTCTACACAAATGCTTACAAGCATAACACACCTGCTGTAATAGTCTTCATATCTAGTTGGATCTGCATCACTGGTTTGGGATTTTGAAAAAAAAAAGAACATTAAGCATAATGTCAAATTGAATAAACGAACTGAACCCCTTTACTGGCTCTTGCTATTAATTATTCTCAATATCAGCAATACATTCATAATGCATTGTAGCATTAGTTCTGAGAATTTGATTAATTAAAATAAACTAAATGAAACACCCCAATTGATACATCTCTTTAATTTCATCACTGATCTGCTTGAAAATATGACGATTATTTGAAGAGAAATCACCCATTTGGTCACTCCAAGAGGTTAAGGGGTTATCGAGTCAATGCACCTAGGTTTGTAGCTTCTAAAATTTCAACCTGTTATACGCAGATAAGACCGAGGAAATATCTGGCTCTGAATCTGGAGTAGTTTGAAGATTTATTTCTTCTATTGCATCTAGCCCATTGACTTCTTGCCTGAAGATTTTCTCAGTTTCCTAAAACAAAAGAAAATATGCTTTATGTACTCTTAAACTTTTAGAGAAATCACATGTTCAAAGTACAGTAAATTTGAAAAGAAGTTAAACCCATTCTTTCAATAAAATATTTATGAAACTCACAGACAAATTCTTCTTCTTCAAAAACTGAAGGACTGCGAGTAACGTTTCTTTTTCTTTACTCGGAGGATTAGATTTTGTTTGTGCTGAGGGCGCTGTGCCGCTCGAATTGGCAGCCATATTGCATTTGGCTGTAAGAGACTAAGAACGAAAGAGCGTATAAACGAGCTCTGATTGGTCAATCTGATCCTCGTACCAGATTCCTCTCAAATCTTGTAAAGATAACAACGGCTGACAAACGACAATTGAAGAATTTCTACCTGTTCCAGATCTAGACCAGGTTTGGGATAAAATCTCGTTCGACCCTTCTTTTTGGCAGAATGGAAGAAAAAGTTTTGAATTATTTATTTGAGATAAAAAAGTGCTTGAAATCCGTTAATCGACGATGACGATATTCCGAACGATTGATAGATTTGGAAATATTTTATGGAACTGTCATTAAAATCATCAAGGGTCTTTCCTTCTTTCGCTCCATGCCTGATTAAAATGAACCTTTGTAGACCTCAAAAACAAAGAGAAAACGTGCAGAAGAATGCTCAAGTGGATAGAAACGGGCTTCAAAGTCTTAAAACAGCTTAAAATCAACGATGTTACAATAGATGTGGAAAATTTTGTGACGCCGTGTAAGCAATTTTAATTCTCGTTTTGAGATTAATTTTTAGTGTATCTGTTTGGCTGCCATTTGGTCATTGTTTACATGTCTGATTTACCATGTTTTGAGGTTTTACAGATTTCATTGGATCTTCGATATTAATTTTTTTTTTACTGTTCGACGTTCAAGTCTTGAAACCTTATTATTACGTATATGATGAAAGATAAAGTTGATAACCAACTCGTCATTTAAGGAAATATTAGAAGGAAATTTTGAAAGAAATAGTGGAGGGAGAAGGCTGTTCTCATACTTTGAGGTAGCTCTAACGAGTGTTTAATTTTTTTGTTGTCGATATTTTTCATTTCATTCTATGGCTCGTCAAGAAGAGAGCTTGCGTGACGTGCCAAAAGAATGTCTGCTCAGAGGCTAGTAGATCGTAAACTCTTGTTCTGAGTCAACATCGAATTTATCACTTTCCAAGTATGACTGTTGGTAATAGCCAACACATCTCAAGTTAACGCGTATCAAGGCGTCTCGTTTTCTTTATAACCGAAAACGAAATTTCAACCAGAGTTACGGTTTATTTTTATTTTATGTTTTACATTTATTACTTTTTTTTTTACAAAAAAAACTCGCACTGCTTGAAGTTGACACAACGTGATCATTCGTGAAAAGGACGCCCGTTCAAATGGCGATAGGCTAAGCTATAAAATCAGAAGCCTTTATTAGACCGTCTGGCTTAAAACCGAAAAAGAAAGAGGAAAATATCTGAAGAACTATGCGAATTCATTAGCGAAAACGAACTAAATGTTCCTCTCTATTTTCCACTTGGCTTGTATTATGAAGACGACCTCGGGCGAATGTCGTAATCGGAAATCAATCCGAGATATCTTCCTTCACACGGTTCTTCCAAACAAATACAATCGTTGCAGTTGAACACGGACAGCAACACGCACACTCTTTCACAGTATCCGCTGACCAATAGGATCAAGGAGGCCAAAGCGTTAATAACCTCAGGTGTAGAATAAATTTCGAACTCGTTCCAGTGAAAAAGACCAAATTCATCTAATACATAATTTATCTCGACGCTTCCCCTAACGATCAGAAGTCGAGTGTCTTGTTTATTGGGCTTTTAACGTGAATTCTCATTTTAACATTTTGCCGAATTTCTTCGAGAAAGGGGAATGCCTGCAGGGAGGATCGAATGATACACCGAACAGTTTTGTTTTGGTTTTAGGTGAGGGATTTGACTTCGACATGTAAAACATCCTTTCGCAAACTCAGCTGAGAGCCAACAAAATTGCGATGTCTTCCGCTGGTTACACGCCGTTAGATGATACGGACACAGATGATCCTAAAAGGGGGCAAGGTAAATAATTTCTTAATGTTTTTTACTGGGTTTCGAGCATTAAGCTTATCTGAAATCGAATTTCCAAGGTTTTGATCATGTACCGAACAGTGTTTGTAATTCAAATTTCATGAATAGACATGTTATCCAGTACACATGAATGTTGATGTTAGTGTGTTCTAGTACATTTAATCAACTAATCGAAGGCAAATTTATCGAAAACCTTGTGGAATTCCCAGAAAGTAATATTAAAAATTAACCCATCATAGGAACTACAGCCAGTATTGAAAATGTCCGTAAAACTTTGCCTATGTAATTGTAGAAAAATGAAGAAATCATATTATGTAGGCGTTAAAATCAGTCTTGTGTGAAAAAAAAGCTGACCAGCTCTCATAGAACCTTTCTTCAAAGCAATGGTCTATTTGAATGATAGTTTTCTTTCAATTTTTATCAAAATACAACAACGAATTGATGTTGCATGCGCGTTCAACCCACAGTTTTTGGTTCCATAAATAAGATGTAATGCCGGTTATATTGTCCTCTGCTACTGTTTGACGTCTTTCCCGTATTGTCGCAAGTAATTTGATTTTTTAGAGCATTTTAGTCTCGAAATTACAGTGGACTTATTCGCGGGTACAGTGCGAAGTCGAAGTATTACCGGATAGTTTAGAGCATTTTGTTTATTAAAGAGACATTGCCCTGAGGATTTTCCTCTCTTGTCTTTGATATCGATTTTTTTCCTCTTCTTTTTCATCTTGTTGTCTAAAAAAATGTTCATCCATCAAAATCACTTCAAATTTCTCATGTATCTGTTTTAAAAGGTTATTATCACAACCAGATGAATATGCAACTGGTTAATTGGCAGACAATTCCATAATACACTAGATTTACTTTAGTCAGTGAATCTAGCTTTAACCCCTGGAAGAATGACCAACAAGGAATTTCTCCTCAAAATAGCAATACATTTTAAAGTAGATGGATGATGAGAAGAAAAGAATATATCAACTAGGGAATATTGATTGAATTAACCTTCAAACTCTTAGATCTGATGATCAATAATCTCCTCACTAGCTGCTACACATTTTCTTGTAAATTAGTGAAGAGAATGTGGTGTTTATCAAAGAAATCTACTTCTACCCGACAAGATTGAATATACCCACTACTTGTTAGCTGGATAATGTAGGGTTATAATAGAGAGATGTTACATGTTAATCACTTGTGACGGTGAAAGGGTAAAACAACAATTCTGAGAGGTAAAATTATGTGAAATTTATGACAGACAGTACAAAGACATGATCTTTAGATTGAGGTAGTGAAAGGGTTAGATTAAAATTGTTTTCTTTTTTTGTCCCAGTTACAGAAATATTATATCTTTTTTCATGAGATTTATTGAAAAATTAATTGATAATTTTCACCTGTTTGCCTGCAGGGGGCTTATTAAGTGCCATTTTAAGTTATATACGTGGGTGTTAATGGAGAATGTGATTGATAGAAAAAAAATATGAGGTGATGATTTATGGCAAAAAAGAAATTTGGGAAAAATAGGATCATGTAGTATTGTAAATTGTTGAATAACTACTAGGCTGATTTTTTTGGTTTAAATTTTGAAGGTATGATCTAGGTACCTAAATAACTGAATGGATTCAGTCTGTTTTGATTTGTTGCAACTTTGTCAGTTACATGTATGAGTACATCTATGACCTTCTGTCTTCAAACTTTTTTTTTTTGTTGAAACTTCAATGTGTGTATCTGTATGTTTAGTCTGACTTTATAGGACACTGTTGTTATTAATAACAATGTTTTTATAGTGTTCTACATGTATCTGTTTTAACACTCATAAAATAAATCTGCTTCTTGAGTATGGCATTTTGAAGTTTTGAAAGTATGAAGCAAATATTATCCACCATTATAGAAATTTTTCTCTTCAAAAGAGAGATTAAGAGGTTGGTTACTTAAAGGGGAAAGGGAACCATTTCTGAAGATTCTTCTGAGTATTTACATACTGAGTATGTTTTGTTATTCAGCAAGTAGAGTGATACATTACTGATTGTGCCTTGTAGCTTCAATTTACACTTTTTAACATATTCCTTTCGTGAATTTTAGAAAATGAAGGGGAAGAAAGGAAAGGAAAGGGAGAAAAGTCAAAATTACAGAAAATAAAGGTATGTTTCTATATCCTATGCTGGTGTAATTATCAGTGATTTTTTTATGTTTACATATAGCACTCTTAGCTTAAGGCTCATTAATAAAATTGCTCTTGGCAGAAGTTCCTTTTTTAGATTTTCAGTTCTTGCCTTGATGTAGTAATGCTGCACATAAGCCCATTAGTGACCAAGACGGAATTTCTCCTTACAATATCAATACAATATCAAGCAAAAAGTGATGAGAATAAAGAAAAATATCAGTTAGGGGATCATAAGTTGATTCAATACCAAATTTTCCAAACTAACATTACAAGAACTGTATGGCAGATTGTAAGGAGAATTACTAAGGAGGTCTTGGGAGTTAAAGAGTTAAAGTAAATATTTGTGTATGGAGCAGCTGAAGTATTTCTATATAACCCAGGGCTTAATTTTGTCCCAGAATTTAACAAGATAGAAATGATTTTTCTTATAGAATGTGTTTCACAAGACTGGTTACCCCAGTGCAGTGTGGTATATTTTGGGAAATGAGTTCTGTGAGAGATTCTCATACTATGGGATGCATGGTAAGTTATACTGATTGCAATCTAGAAGATGAGTAACACCCCAGGCATTAAAATTATAGTTGAATAGTGTAATTAAAATTCTACATCTAATTAAAATACTCCATGCAAAGAAGTCTATTGGTGACATGACACAAACTTGGAATCTTCAGTTTAAATAGATTTAGTTGTAATGGTTTCATGTCTTTGGTGTTTAAATTTGTTTAGTTGGATAGCTTAATAATTTTATTCATTTGGTATATCACTCTTATACTTGTTGTATATTTAGGAATCAGGATATTGAATTTTTAATATTATTCATGTTATTAAAACTTTAAGTCTGTTTACCTTGATTAACCCTTTGACTCAAGATCTGATCACTAATTCTCCCCTCTAGCTGCTACACATTTCCTTGTAAATCAGTTATGAGAATTTAGTGTTAGATCAAGATAACAACTTTTATCTGTTTTCTCAATACCTGTTGGCAGGATTGAGTATGGATATTATAGGGAGAAGTTCCTCATTAATCACTTCTGGGAAGTAAAGGGTTAAAGGTAAACGGACTTGGCTGTGGATCCCAAAAAGAAAGAAGTAGGGAAGTACAATTTGAAAGAGAAACAATTTACATGACTGGAGGAGAATGAGAAAAACGTTTTTTGGACATAATACCGAAGTCCTGTTAACCCTTTAAATCCCAAGATCTGATCATTAATTCTCCCCTGCAGCTGCTATACATTTCCTTGTAAATTAGTTGTGAGAACTTGGTGCTAGATCAAGATAACAGCTTCTATCTGATAAGTTTGAATATTCTCATCACCTGTTTGCTGAAGAATGTATGGATATTGTAGAGAGAAGTTTTATGTTAATCATTTCTGGGAGTTAAAGGGTTAAAACTCTGGGTTTTGGGATCTTTACTGACCACAGAATCCACCTCATGGATAGTATGTAAATATTTTTCTAATTTCCCTTTACAGCCATTCTTGTCATCTACCTGACACAGATGTTGAAGATGGATGATGACTCTGCCACAGCAGTTTATCATGCCTTTAACATGTTGTGCTATTTCAGTCCTCTTTTTGGTGCAATGTTAGCAGACAGTCTGTTGGGAAAATACAAGTGAGTCATTTTACTATACTACAAAGCATCATAGAAAGTATTTATCACAAAGATAATACTTTTTGAAGATGACGAGTTGTGACTTGTGCTTCAGACGCTAAGCAATCACTAGACAACAAGTAAAATTATTTGTGCACATGTGATTGTTTCTGAATTCAATGTAGAGGAAATAAATAATGCCAAAATGAATCTCTTTTTTCGTTTACAGGACCATACTCTATGTTTCAATCATTTATGCCATTGGCAATGTCACTGTTGCTATCACATCAATTCCTGCAGTACTGGCAAAAGTAAAAACGTGAGTTAATTGTTTTTCTAATGAAATGCATGTAACAGTAAGTTACAGTAGTAGCTTAATGACTGGTAACCCTTAAACTCCCAAGAGTGACCAAGACAGAATTTCTCCTTACAATTCTGATGCAAAATCAAGAAAATTGGTAATGTTCCTAGCATTCAAAGATATTTTCTTAACTGAAAAAAAACATTGAGCTGAGCTTTTAAGAACTCCAAGGAACAGTTTTTCTCTGTGGAAAATCTAGCATCTTGTTGGTGTCTCGTAAGCTGGACTTTATTCTATTTTGAGTTCTTTTTTTCATTAAGGTCTTGAGATACTTGCTGTAACAATAAGCGTTGTTTGCTAGTAGCCTTGTTTCAGTGTCAACTTAAGGGACAGGCATTTGCATAACAAGGCAGTTTTTGATGTAACACTCGGTGGCAGATATTAATTAAAACAAGATGTGGTTTCTCGGGCCGTGTGATTTCTTTGTATTTAAACAGTAACTCTTCTCTCTCAATACTTCTCTCTCCTGTCAATTTGAGTGGGTTTCAGAGTATTGTCTGGGGGATACATACATACATACCTACATACATACATGTAGTTACAAATGTACATACTCTATTGGCTCGTACTCTTCCACGGGGCTTTTCTGGGGATCCTGATAATGCATGGAGGTAGAGTGGAGGGTGAGGGGAAGCATCCCATCAAGGGGATGGGAAGATGGGCGGCATTTTGCTACAGAAAATGGACTGAGTTAAGGTGGCAAAGGTCATTTGGCATATGGTGATGACTAATGAATGAATGGTTAGTTGTCCTCTTTTGTTGACTTTTTCTCCTTCTTTTCCAGGGCTGGTCCAATGATTGGGTTGCTGTTAATCGCACTTGGTACAGGAGGCATCAAACCATGTGTGTCAGCTTTTGGGGAGATCAGTTTACTGCTGATCAAGTAATGTACCTGTAGAGTAGAAAGTTGTTATGTTTGAGCTACATGTACTGCATAGTAGTATGTACTGCAATCATTATCATTATGACCACTGTTCCTGCAAGCAAATAGATTATACAATAGGTCTTGTGCATGTTTATAAAGTGCAGCACAATGTACATTGGAAAGCTAAATTAACCCTGGAGCCTTGCTTTCAAGGTGCAGATGGGTGAATTTAAATATCAAATTGACAGTATTCCTCAGACACTAAAATCTAAAGAATACTGATATATAGAAATTGGCAAAGATTCACAAAAATTTTTAGTGTAAGTGAGTTATAGGAGTGAATTTTCAGTTAATTAGGTCATTGTGTGTCAGAAATATAGTAAGATGTGGCTCATGGAACTCTAACTTAAATCTCATTTGAAATCTTAACCCTTTAATTCCCATGAGTGACCAAGACAAAATTTCTCCTCAAATTTAAATGCAATATCAACCAGATAAGTGATGAGAATAAAGAAAAATATAAATTTGGACATAATTAGTTGATCCAATACTAAATTCTCAGAAATAACATTATAAGAATTGTATGGTTAACAGTAAGGAGAAAAGAGAGGCAAAAGATAATAAGTGAAAAAAAACATACCAAAAACATACTTATTGCCTTTTAAGTAATATGCTTTTATTTTATTGCCTTTGTTGCAGGAACATTTACTTCAGAGCTATTTTTCCATTTTCTATTTTGCCATCAATCTTGGTAGCCTTTTATCTATGATTGTTACACCGATGCTGAGAGGCAAGTGATTCAATGTGAACTTGTATTTAGTAACACACAGTTGTGCTATTTTAAAGAAAATGAATATAAATTGTTTGAAGATCAGTTAATATTTACAGTGGGGCATTGTTGGGGCTATGAACTGAGCATCTCTCTCAGACAGCAGGCAGAGATGTTCTTAATAAATTTTACAGTCAGTGATTCAAGTAGCTGGCTGACACTTTACAGCAATAAAGACCTTATTAGGTCCCTTTACAGTGCAAACAAGGAAAAGTGTCTTTTAGTGCTAGCCTCTTCTATATTGTAAATTCCTGATCATGAGTAATTTGTTTGTTTGTTTTTTTTTTTTTTTTTTTGGGGGGGGGGAATGCAAGACTGTGTAATGATGCTGAGGATATGTTTTTTTTTTTTTTTTTCCAGGTGATGTGTCCTGCTTTGGTCAAGATTGTTACATGTTGGCATTTGGAGTCCCTGCTTTGCTGATGATCCTGTCAATTGGTACAGTGTATAATATTTTTCCTGCATTTACAATACTATCTAAGATTCTTAACCCTTTAACCCCTAAGTGACTAGCATCTAATTTATCCTTACAATTTGACCCCTGAATCACACATTATGGACAAAGGAATAAAGGAAATGATCACTAACTAAAAAAAACTCTTGATTAACAAATTCTCCTCATCAGCACCTTAGGAAATGTATAGAGAACAGTATGGAGAATATGCATACTGATATTAGGGTGTAAAGGGTAAAGGGGCATATGGACTAAAGCCTAAAATGGTTTTTTAAGCAACTTCAACATAAATTTTCCTTGGTAAATACAAGTCAATTTGTAGGGAGGAATTTAGTAGACTATCATTTGTCATGTAGGGCTTATTACCATGTAGCCTCCCACCCCTCCCTCATATTAGTAAACACACTAAATTTTGTTAACTAGTTCAATGTTTTTTTCCACAGCATTGTTTTACTGTGGTCGTAACAAGTACAAGAAAGTCCCACCAGAGGGAAATATTGTTCTACTTGTCAGCTGTGCTGTCGGGGTTTGTATTATCCATTAACTTTTAGAATTAAATTAATTTTACAATATAGTTTTGAATGAAAGAAAAGCTAAAAATGTTTCTTCAATCTTAGTATCATGATTGATCCAATTTTTTAAATCTGATTTGTTTTGTTTTCTCACCAGAATGCTATTAAAAATAAGGTGAAAAGTATTGGTTCAGGGGAAAAGAGGGACCACTGGATGGACTATGCAAAGAAGGATTATGATGTAAGTTCCACTGAACTGGTTACGTTTTTTATTTACAATTGAATATTTTTTGATGCAGCCATATTCCTGTTTTCAAATTATCACTCATGATAATTGTTATTGTTTTTCTTAGTCAAACTTGGTGGAGGACATCAAAGCACTGTTCAAAGTTCTTTTCATGTTTCTACCTTTGCCTGTGTTCTGGACGTTGTTTGATCAACAGGTGAGATATTTTATTCCTTTACACATAAACCATTAACCCTTATCGAATATTAATTTTTTGTAATGTAGCGATGTCTGTGAACCGTAAGAAACGAAATCCAAAACCATTGAGAAAACTGTTGTGAAAATTGTATCATTGCTGCTGCCTTTCCTAGGCAAACTTGTTTTAGTGACCTTATCCTCCCCTTCCTACATCCACCCAGTCAATGTCACTTGGTTTGTAGTGTTGACTGTACTTTCAATAGAGGAGAGAGGGAGTGGGGGAGGAGGGAGGGAGGGAGGGGTGGCAGCTGGGCTTCTTGGTTAGGTGTTAGGATATGTCAATACCACTAGAGCTATTTAACAATTAGATTGTGAGCTCCAGATCTAAATTAAATGATTGTAGATTAGGGAAAAGCCTGAAGGAACAATCAAACATCCTTGCTACTCTGATTGTAATGTTTATAAAGATAAACAAATATATTAGTTCACAGGAAACTAAACATCATGGTAGTTACATGCAGAGAAATACACTGATTACAAGAATATGCTAACATTTATCTATAAATCCTTTAACTCCTGAAAGTGTTCAATTTGTAACCTCTCCCTACAATATCCATACATTACTCAGCAAACAGGTGATGAGAATCATCAAACTTATCAGGCACAAGTTGTTACCTTGATTGACCACCAAATTCTTGTTAATCATTACAAAGAAAGGTGTAGAAGCTAGAGAGGAGAATTGACAATCAGATCTTGGGAGTTTAAGGGTTAAATTGTTTTTGTGCTGTTAATTCTAGGGTTCACGATGGACTCTTCAAGCTGAAGAAATGGATGGTAACTTAGTAAGTAAATGGCAAATAATATTTCATGAAGTTTAAAACCAGTAGTGGAATTTCATGTTTTGGATGGTTTACACACATGTATTTCTCATAGAGGAAGAAAAATAGGTGAACAGGCAAACTTGGAGAAACTCAGAACTCATTGTCTTTGACAGGCTCAAGGTAGATAGGTGATATCACTCAGCATTGCCAATTACGACAGACACCTGCCTGAACTGGACTGAATTTCTCTCAGTTAGCCAGACTTTAGCCTAAATGATGGTGCACCATACATTACAGGTTACTAAAAACCTGAGATGTTCTGCTTGTTTCAACACTTTTATTCTTATTAAAATAGTTTTCTCAAATGTTTACCTTCATGAAGAACAAATCGTTGATATCACTGTTTTCCTCTTAATATGTTATTTATTTTATTGTGCTTTTACAGGGCAAATTTGGAACCTTAAAGCCTGATCAAGTGCAGGTCTGTTTTCATTTTGACCATTGTTTACTTATACATTAACCCTTTACATCCTAACATCAGTATGCATATTCTCAATACTGTTCCCCATATATTTCCTATGGTACTGACAAGGAGAATTTGTTTAACAATCAAGAGCTAAGTTGGTGATCATTTCCTTTATTCTCATGACCTTAATGTGTGATTCTGGGGTGATATTGTAAGGAGAAATTAGATTGTATTCACTCCTAGTCAAAGGGTTCATTTCTGTGGCAATGGGCTCTTTAGACATTTTTTTAATTTTCATTTTTGGCACTGTCAATTCTCTTCTCGTTTTTCATTTCGTATTATGAAATAATTCAAATAGTACACGCCGCTTTGATTGGCCATAAAACCATTTTACATGAGCGTATGTAAACACGGCTTTCGTTCCTCTTTCATTAGTTACTTTATAAAAGAAATGTAAAATGGTTTCCGTGTTTACATAGCCTGATGTAAACACTTGGGAGGTTGGGAGAACACTCGATAAGCTGGAAATCACTCCGCTTCGCGTCGTGGTTTCCTACGCTTATTTCGTGTTCTCCCAACCTCCCGCGTGTTTACATCAGGCTATGTAAACACGGAAACCATTTTTGAGGAAGTTCATCACAATACTGTTTTCGCTTTTCATCAACCCGTTTCTCAGCTGATATAATCTTGAAAACTTCAAAATAAGACTAATTTCAAATATTCAGTGATCAATTCATTTCAATGTAAAGGTACCTTCTGTGAACCTCAGCTTTCATAAATTATTATTTACTGATCAGTAACAGAAACCGCAACCGAAGAAACTAAAATAACAAACCTTGAAATAATAGTATTTCAAGTTTGCGCACTGTTTAGTAAATTTTATAAAATAACGAGATACTAAGAGCGCCCTGATTAGTCAAAAACCTATCGTATATTGCACCGGTAAACCAATAGAAGATTTAAGTTTGTCTTATAAAAGCAATAGACTGCACGTGCTATCAGTTTACTGGCGTACTAACCCACGTGCGCGAGCTGGAGGCGGGTGATGTATTGCTTAATTCAACAGGTTTCACTGCAATGAGGTTCATATCGTGGAAAGAATGCCCATTTGTTTTTATAACGTTGTATTTCAACAGGCGCTCAATCCAGTGTTTATTCTGATCATGATTCCAATTTTTGAAAACATTGTGTATCCTCTTCTGAGAAAATGCAATCTTCTTGTGAGGTACGAACATACTCTTATTGTACGTTTTTACCTATTTGTTTGACTCAACATCAGTGCGGACTGTGTTTGCTCTTCATGCGCCTTGAACTCTTTTCTTAACAGGCCCTTACAGCGTATGTGCGCTGGAATGCTGCTGGCAGCATGTTCATTTGTCATGGCAGCCTTCATACAGATTGCAATACAGGTAACGTAGATTTTTCAATTTTCAAGTGAACACTGCATAATTGATTTTTTTGCTGTACTTCCCCGTGTGAACGTCCAAGGAAAACGAGCTTAATGGTCTCAACCGATCCGATCCAAAACTTAACCAGTCGCGATTTGGTCATCCGCGTTTTCCCTCCCTTCTGGCAGTTTGAAGCTTTTAGAATTCTGATTGGCTATGTGTGATATTTTCCTCTATCCTGATTGGCTATGTGTGATATTTTCCTCTGTCCTGATTGGCCATTGCGTTTACTTTGGTTTTGGTTGTACGACCCTCAACCGCTTGAGGGTTATGTCTTTGGATCGCTGCAACAAGCCAAACTCCGTTTTGAGTAATGTCCAAAATGATTTGTAACTTTTTAAAAGAGGTCAAATTATCGGGATTATTTTTTTGTTTGTCTTGTTTTACAGCGAAGTCGAGTTGCAGCGGACGTTCCACCAACAGGTTTCGCCAACCTTCGTGTCATTAATGCTGGAGTTTGTAAAATAAACGCGTTCGGTGTTGGCTTGAACGCAGAGGTGCCTTTGATGCAGGTATGGAACTCAATTAATTACGTTGGTGTTAAAATTTTTTCTTAAGTTTTTTTGTGAATGTAATATTTCAGACTGCAGTTTTCTTTTCATCTTCCCCCATAGTGTATTCTCTTTTAAGTCACGCGGAGTGCGCTGTTCGACTGGCCGTTCGAGTGCCCGTTCGCCCGATCGTTCGTTCGTTCGTTCGTTCGTCGTTCGTTAATCGTGAATTCGTTTGTCCGTCTGTTTGTTCGTTCGTTCGCTCGTTCGGTCCATCGCCCGTTTATTTAGTGAGTCAGTCGGTCTGTCTTTTTGTTACCCAGTCAGTCAGCCGGCCAGACAGCTAGTCATTCGATCATTTAGTAAATCAGTCTGCCAGTTTTTCAGTCAACTATTAATTTTTTCTATAATTCATTCGATTCTATTGGATATAGATGTTAGAATAGTCTCAGAATTGACCTCTGATCTCGTCTCTTTTTGTTTCCAGGCTTCGGATTATGCTCACGTCCCAGTTACTCTGGATACAATAAACGTAAAAACGGTTGACTGTCCCACCAAACTCACCAAGTCATTCTCGGTGAAGATCAAAGAAAAAGGCGCAACCACTTTCGTTGTTGGAATCGAAAAGAATGCGCTGATTGGAGAGCAGGTACATTTAACAGTGTCATGTTGACTGGACTGAGTTACAAAAGCGTTACAATCATTGAACTATTCACGAAATTGTAACGTTGAGTTCCGCTCAAAAGTTAGTTAAGAGTCTCCGCTCGAAACTCGATCCTCGAAACTACTGGGAATCGAGGTTCCAACAAAAGAGGAAAAAGTGGCTGTTTTTGCTATTCTGCCTAACGCTGGATACTTGAAATAACTAACTTGATAAGGCGGAAGTTGGAGAAACAGCCCGGACTATAAACAAATGAGTTCAAGTGTTTGGAAACACCCATGAGTATCGCTAGAAACCACAAATGATGCACCAACAGGTGTTTTTGAGTAAACTTTGCACAAAATTTTGTTCCGATGGTAATACTTTTTTTCCTTTTTTGCTCTGGCTATTGTTTCAGATTGAGGATATTCTCGAGCCATTGAAAGGAAGTGTAGCAAAAGTCAGGTAGGCGATGAAGTGTATTGAAATGTCAAATCCTTGTCCTCTCGTTACACATGTAGTGCCGCCTAATATCACATGTGATCATGTTATTGAACTTATGACTTAAAATCTTGTTATGCGGTGATTTGCAATGATTATAAGCTTCCCATGTATTTTAAACTTCATGAAAAAAAGATAGGTGATGAATTTGAAAGCGACCTTCACAGTAATAAACACCACTCAAGCAGTAGTGAAATTAAAACCTAAAAAAAATTCCGGCCTGTACGGGATTTGAACCTAAGACCTCTGCGGTACTGGTGCAGTTCTCCTGTGTCTTATTTTCACCACTGCGAAGATCACTTCCTAATTCATTTCTTAAAGCGCAGTTCGCACATATATGATTTTCAAATATCTACAGTTACTGAAAAAGGTACGTGGTAAATATATTTATAAACAAATCAATCAGTCACTCATTTCATTAGTAAGTGCCCACATACCCGCGGGCCGTATATTACTGTACGGCCCGCTAAATTCGAAAGTTTGTTTGAATTGAAGTGTTCCTCCCTTTATTTGAACCTAGATGTACAAAAAGTATCTTACTAACCTAGTTTTTCCGGTCTGTATGGTGAGTTAAAGAACCTTGTTTCTTTGCTCGGATTTATGGCCCGCTTGCTACACGCTTGCGCCATAAATCCGAACGGAAAAGACCGGCTTGGTCCGTAACTTACGGTACGGACTTCGAACTCGGATGGTAAGTTTAAGGGAAAAAGTTGCATCTGCAATGAAACGTCCTTCGTCAAAAATGATTTAATTTATTTGAAAATCATCTAAGTTGCCTTGCGCGAGAGGATTTCGGTGACGCTTTCGGTGACATAAACTTGTTTTACTGTCACAGATTTTTTCACACTGGGGGTGATGTAGCACCGTCTGTGGACATAAAACTCAACAAAACTTTAACGTACAAGGACATTGGAAGCTTTAAAAACACCGACTACAAGGAACTTTTATCAAAGAAGTAAGTTTCTTACCAGTTTCCTACTCTTCAGATTACTTCGTGCCCAGGCTCTCTCTTCTTTTCCTCAGGCCCTGGAAACGAGGCTTCGTCTCATGTTACTAGATCTTAGAACAAGTTAAATTTAAGAAGAGATTTCGCGTTGGAAAATAAAGAATCGGAATCTAAAGTCAAACGTTTCGAAGATGATGATATTTAAGCGTAAACGAGAGTTGCTTTTGTGTGGTTCTTATTTACAATTGGAAGCCTTCTTTATGACGTCTACACAAGGCAGGGTAACTTTTTCAAATATGAGTAATAAACCCCCTTATTTTTGTTGGAAGAGGGGCTGCCGAAAGACAAAAATCGTCCGTGGATTGCTGGGCGAGCGAAGCCTCCAGAAAATACTTGCAGAAAGGCATTTTTGCCCTATTCCTAGATCTCTTGCACCAAATATTTCAAGTTCGCGGCTCGACGATTGTATTCTGCTTGATTCAGATTCCTGTTCCTTTCAGGTATCCGATTAAAGTTATGTCCGCTGGAACAGACGATAAACTTCTAAGCCAGAAGATGTACTTTGGTGATGGCGGCGTATACACTGCAATTATACAACCAGATCCTAAGAAGAATGATCAGGTTGAGTTCTTATTTACAGAGTAATTTAAAGTGGAATCAGAAATTAAAAAACCTTCGTTTTAATTGATTAAAATTAAAATTGAGAGGGCAGGTTTTTTAGGACATCTTAAAAGTTCTCGCGGTTGAATTTGTTCCTTAGTTGCGCGCTGTATTTATCGCTAACTTTAAGTGACTTCCTCTGTGAATGAGAATCATTTGCAGCTTAAAACGATAGATGTTTCAGTCACATTTATTTGGGAACACTGAGAAATTCCGCCTTTTGAACTCGAAACAATGGAAGACAGGAGCTTCATCCCCTTATCGAATTGTTCTACCTCACAGTAACGAAATTTCAGACACTTCATGTGGTCTCAGGAGAACAATTCAATATTTTACTTTCATTTCTACAAATATCTTAGACGTGTTGAGTGATACAGCCGTTATTTGTAGTCCGGAGTTCTTGAGGATCGGATCTTTCTTAAGTGACAGCCATATTTTGTTTAATTGGGTCACCGTTATATACCGCGAAGGCCCAAGTTATGTTAAGGGAACGGGAAGCAGCGACTACATGTTATACCTAAAATCGAGTCACCTCAGTTGCACTTGGGTTTTGTGGACTCTTCTGGCCCAAGCGCATTTAATTGGAGATTTTTGTTGTTTTAGCTGACCATCAAGAAGTTTGCGGATGTTAGAGCGAATTCAATCTCAATGCTGTGGCAGATTCCACAATATGTGACCATCACCGCAGGGGAAGTTCTTTTCTCTATAACAGGGCTGGAGTTCGCTTACTCTCAGGTGAATGTACACCTAGTTTACAATTTTCAACTTGTTCTGTCGTAGTTTTGTACGGTCTCCTTGCCTTCCAAGGAAGAAGAGAGACCTCAGGACTGACTTTCCTGTCACGCAATGACACTTCTTTGGGTGCAGTGTAGTTGTGTGACATATAAAAGAGGGGGGAAGCATTTGGAAAGTGATGCATTGCCACTCTCACAGTAAACCCAATGTCCTTTTAATTACTGCGTCGCTAGTGATAATCAGGGAGCACTGTTAAACAGTCGAAATTGCAATTGGACCGGTGTGACTTGTCATGCAATCTCAATGTGGGTTGGAATGTCTTGAAATGTCAATGTTTTTTTCTGTTCATTCTTAACTCGAGAAATGGCTGAAACACTTCCAAGTTGTTGTTATGACCTCAAATTTACTCCATCCGTCCATCACTCCTTCCTTCCATTCCTGTCACTTTTGGGTAGGTCTGCTGACTAGCATATAAAGCGTTCGTATGTTCAGGAAAAGAAAGAGAAAGGAGAAAGAAGAACAAAACCCAAAAAACTCACTGCTACTTGGGATATATCCCCAGACCTCTCGCCTCAGAGGATAAGCTTTCTCTATTGCACCAAGTATGCAGAGCGTAAGCGATTTTGGGGAGTATACCATATAAATAAAACGTTACCTTTCTTAACCAAAAGTTTTAAAATACGAGGTCAGTTCAGTGACCTCGAAGTCTCTTTCGCCCCTTCATTATTCATTTTCCGTGTTCAGTGGCTCACAGTTACTCTGATTTTTGCATTAACCCTTTACACCCTAACATCAGTATGCATATTCTCCATACTGTTTTCCATACATTTCAAACAGGCTGACAAGGAGAATTTGTTTAACAATCAAGAGCTGCTTTAGTTGGTGATCGTCTCCTCTATTCTCGTGACTTTCGTGTTCGATTGAGGGGTGATAACGTATGGAGAAAGTAGACGCTAGTCACTCTTAGGGGCCAAAGAGTCAGATTTTCATTTAACTCCTTGTTTTAAATTGCTTTCTTCAACAGGCTCCTGTTAGTATGAAATCTTGTGTAATGGCTGGCTGGCTTATGACAGTGTCCGTTGGAAACGCCATTGTTGTGGTGTTTGCAGAAGCCCGACTCACCGACGACATGGTAAGAAGAGCGGTTTTGTTTTCATCACTTGTCAATCGATGTAAAAAATTTGTTTTTATTACTTAACTAAGAACCGTGCGTTACAGAGTAAAAGGATTAAGGTCTGGGCCCTAATTAGGACCGCTTTGTTTTGGTATTGAACAGCAGACTTTATTCTTTCAGTACCTCTTCAACCCAAGTCCTCAGAATTCAACCTGAAACAATAAAACCACTTCGCTATTTTTTATTTTTGCTTTTCCTTAGAAAAGCTTTTTGGTATGAAGATCATTTTCATCGGTCGTGATAACCAGTCACAAAATGTTGTTTTGTTAACCGAAGATATGATTTTGAATCCACTAAATGTAGCCCAAAGGCATTGGGCTCACAGATAAGGATTTAAACAAAGCAAAAAAAGCAAAGTTGTTGTAAAAATCAATCTGGTGAATATAGATTCGGGACGGTTGCGAGAGATTTGACAGCAAATAAATGCACATACTGCCTGTAGAATGAACAAGGAATCCGAATAGGAAAAAAGAGATTTTTTTGACAATTTGAATACTTCCTCTCAAATTGCAACCGAAAGGCATCACGCTCACGAGTATAGATTGATATAAATGGCAGTAGTTATAAAGCTATTTTTTTGTTTTGTTTTGTTTTGTTTCGTTTAAACATGTCATTTCTTTAATCCCTTTCAATGCATTAAATACCGTTTTTCTTTTCCTTCCTCCTTTAGGCGAACGAGTTTTTCTTTTTTGCCGGCCTACTTGCCTTGGTAATGCTAGTGTTTATGGTGATGTCTTATTTTTACAAATATGTATACTACTCTGTTAATGGCGAAACAAGCGACAGCAGTCCCCGTGAAGAAGAAACAAAAGACGAAGAAGATGATAAAGAGAAAGGAACCTAATAAAGAAGAATATTTCTTCTTATTACCTTGTAGTTCGCAATAGGGACCTTAAACAATCCAGACGACAACGCTAAGAAATAAGCCAATTAAAAAATGCATTTATATTTTTGTTAAGAATTTCACGAATGGGTGGATGTAATTACCATCTCTAAAGGCGCCAGACCTCATCTTCAGCACAAGTTATGCGAGCAGCATTGTTTTCCAAATGGAAACTTAAATTGGGGATTTCACGTTGTTGTTTGTGAACACTGTGCTGATAGTAAGTACGAAGTTTAAAAACGCACGTGCTGAGCTATTGTTCTGCCTATTCGATCTATTGTTTTGCTGCGTTGTAGTTACCGTCGTCGTCGTGGTTTGTTCAAGGTCCCTTAATAACTGTTACTTGAGTTTTCGAACTGGTTAATTTAATTTGATATTCTGTTGTGTATAACAGGTGCTTAGATACACGTGCGAGTTTATTTGGCACCTCTTTTTCGTCCTTTTCCCGGATGTCTAAATGCAGCTGCGCTTTCCTCTGCGCCACTAATTTTAAAGTAACTATTTTAAAAGTGGAAACCGTTCCTCAAAGTTTCAGAGAAATTTGGTTTTGTTATCGATTCGAATGTTTAATTATCCTCTTAGAGGGTCGCAACTGGAGAAATCTTTGACCTTTGATGGCTAGTTTTTACACCGTTTTGACCATTGACGGTTAAACTTTAGGGCCTTTTACGGGTTGACAATTAGATATCGATCTAAATTAGAACCAATATGGATTTTTTTTATTTTTGGATATGAATTATAATTTATAATGAGATCTATTCAGTCTTCCTCTGTCGAAGTAAAGTGAAGCATAGTTGCAAGACCTCTCACAGTAGATAACGATTAGTTTCAAACAACCCCTTCGTTCCTGGTATTAAAGGTGCAAACAGCGTTAGCAGAAATTGCAGACCTCATTCTTCGAGCCCTGAGCATATTACGTTCAGAGCGCCAACAAAATTAGATCCACGTAGTGTACCGAACGTGACTACATACGCTCGCTTTGTACTTCCTTGCCTAACTATGGAAATAAATAGATAAAACTACGAAAAGATTGTTATTTCTTCGAATTAGCACAAGCACGATTCCCTTTTTATATTATTGGTGATTAGTCTTTGAGAACATGTCTTACCGTTAAAGTCGCCCTCTCAGCCTCTCCGCGCAACAGGTCACTTAACGCCAAGTCGAGTAGTTTTTGGGTTGTAATACGGCAATTGTTAGTTTTTCGCATTCAGTGATTTCACCAACTGTTCTAGCTTGAGCCCAAATGAACTGAGCCCAAATTTGGCGATTAAGTTGTTGATCTCGAGGAAATCGGGTGGTTTTCTCCGCCGAAAGAAGATCTTGTCGTGTAACTCTCGATAGCTTTTACACTTCGCTTCACAGTCAAGGCTAGCGACGGCCCTCATCATGCTTCAAGTATCTTGAACTTGGTAGTAACTGAGTTTTTTTTCACAGTTTACATTGAACCATCCCATTTGTCAATACAATTTCTTACGTTTCGAGTGGCTGAATCTATTTTTGGAAATTTTGCATGGTAACCTTTGAACAAGTTGACTCTTAGCAAAAAGATTGCGTGCTCCAAGCTCACATATGGAAAACGTGACATGAAAACATGAGAGGTTTTTTTTATGGTTATTTATGCTTTTAAAGAAAAGGAAATGAAAGTGAAAACGTTCTAGGAAATTATAATTTCATGTCAATTCGTCAATGAGAAATAATTTAATTTGCCATTTCAACTGCCATCGGAAGAGAAGTTAGAAGAATCTTTGTCTGAAGAAATATATGCTCTTGGACTAGAGGGAACCGATGGGAGAGCGGGAAAAGTGCCCCGTGACTAGCCTGGACCATTTTTAACTCGTGCAAACGAGTTTTTATTCAACAATATTCACTTCGCCTCCGGCGAATAATTGTTAAGGCTACTTCCCACCCTCGGAGGCCGAAAATATCGATTTTTCTTTGATTTGACAAAACTGGATTCAAACTCATAGCCTAACGTTTCCATAAAAAAACTTCTGAAATCTTTAAAAGCACCCGAGTTGGAAAAACCTTTGCTCGTGGAAAAATCAAAAGCGGGGGAAATTCCTTGGTAAAAAAAAAAAACAAACAGGCCCAAAGAAGAAAGAAAGAGTACCATTTGTTTCTTAAGTTAATGCTGAAGACATTTCCTCTAGCATTATGGTAAATTAGAAAAATAACGGACAAAGCTTTTTGCGTTGCTATTTTACCGTCGCGGGGTACTTTTTGTTCTTTTCATATTTTTTTTCAGAAACCTTTATCTAAAATCATTGTAAATGAAATCTTGATGGGAGTTTGAGTGGGCGTTTAACCCTGAGGGGTTTTAAGCCATCTTTTTATGAAAGCATATTCATTGCTAGATATTTTGAAGGTAATATTGTCGAAATAGCGTTATTTTCTACATACTGAGAAAGGTTGAGCCTTCAATCAAGGTTGATACTGCTCTCTTCTTCGGCGAAAGAACAATTCGAAGGATATGCATTTGTTCTATAGTTAATGCTGAAGATATTTCTTCTAGCATTAAGTGGGTTTGTCGCTGATAGCAAAAGATTTAGTAACCCTGCATCATCAGCTTCGAGTAGAAGCGTAAAACTTTGGCAGAGATTTTCACTGTTGATTGTGAGGTCGAAATTTTTATCGCGACACAGTTGATGAGGGCGAAGCCCAAATGAACTAACACGCATAAAAATCGAGAGAAAATAATCTAGGTCTTTAATTGAAAATCTACTAGCCTTTCAAGACTTAACAACAAGACAGGCTGATGCTTTTTATTTTACTTTGTTCACACCTGCACACTGTTACGCTACTCACTTAACTCGCTATCTGTTACGGAATAGATGAGTATAGCGTGCCCAATCAGACTGCAGCAGTTTTGATAAAACGCTGATAGCTAGGATAGAAACAAATCTGCTTCCTGGATATGTAAAGAGAGTCTGTTTCTGCTTCTATTTACTTAGTTTTGTCTACAAAGCAAAGAATAGTTTCCCTTTTAACTCCCAAATATGACCTCCGACGAACTTTTCCTCACAATTTCAGAACATTATCCAGCAGATTAGTGATGGGAGCTGAAAACCTATCACCTCGAGGGTGTTAAAGCGATATAAAAACCAATTTCTCTTTCTTGCAAACGTTTCACAGCAAGAAGGGAGAATAATTTATCCGATCCGAGAGTTAAAGGACGAACGACGATTAGGAATCATAATTTCATTTCCGAGTTCTTCCATAACCTCTCTTCCACTTATGAGATCTGCGACTGATACGTCTTCCGTTTGATTTGTAATCACTTGTCATCATAATGCCATGTTCTTAACAAAACGCTTCCGTGACAGTATATCACCATTACTTCTAAGGAAAGTGATGTTACATCAACGCAAATTAATATTTTTAGACGGGTTAAACTCATAATTTCCTTTCTCCTTTAAAATGAGCGAAAACGCCTCTGGATCATAAATTGTGACGTAGGCTACTGACGCCACTACACGTGTTCATTCTGTTTGGCGGAAGTTGGTGAATGACAGTGTAGGACATGATAATCTAATGAAACAGAATAATGCGACATTATGTACTTTGTTAAGTAAATAATCTTCTAAGGAATTTATTACCGCTGATTGATTTATTTCAGCTCATTTCAGCTCGTCCAGACAGCCAATGATAAGAGCATGTATAAATGTCGGTCACGATCACCTGTTTAATAAAACAGCAGCCACGGATATTCGAATTTAGGAACCACTTTCCGGCTTTCCGTGAAAATTAAGAATGACATCTACAAAGCCACCTCAGGAACGTTTCGACCAGAAATTCAACTTACAATTTGGATCACAGATCATAATAATGATTATATTTCTTCAGGCTCGGTCAAGTGAAGGAGTTTCACCGAAAGAGGCGTCAAGGTTGAGTAAGTGGATAGCAGTTTATGTACAGAACAAACTGGTTTTCCATTTTCGGTTGCAACGGAGTTATGACTCGTTTATTGCTGCCGTGAACAGAAGACTTTACACTACCTTGCATATGTATATGATAGTTCAATTTTAATCAGCAGGGTAGCGAATGCTTGCTTAAAATGATATTAAAAAAGTAAGAAAATTTTGTCAAGAAATGTTTTTGGAGCCTAAATCCATGGCTATTTTTAAGCATTTATGACTGATTACCAGTGAATTACAAAGGTACCTAAAAAAAACTGATCGTGATCTCCATATGAATTCATGATTGCTTTTCTTTCTTTGCGGCAGAAAGCTGCTTAAAAACCTGAATACACAATTATTATTCAACTGCATCCTTTTTTTTTTAATTTTCAGCTAAGAATAACAAATACCCTCTCCTACAAAGTAAATCTACTTCTAGCGTTCTCATAATTACAAAGATTAATTTTTCCTCCTTTTTGGCCAAAACCAATCTTTAATTTTCAGATCAAATCTCAATCCAATCAGTCGAAAGTTAGAGAGTTGCACTTTAAAACTTGATCGCACGAAAAAAGAAAACACATCTTCCTAACTTTGAACAAGCATACTAATTAAGGTAAAAGCTGTCGACCTCCTGCAGGTCCTAATGTTGAAGAATCAGTCACCTTTTGTTTACATTGGCAATATTCACAGCAATGAAATTTCACTAAACGTAAAAGTCACGGGGATTACATGAAATATGAAAAGTATTCCCCAACAAGGAAGCCATCCATTAAAAGAAAAACAAAAATGTACAAGATCTAACGCTTAACACAGATGATACCAATCGCGTCGTCATGGAAAAAAGGCTAAAAGCAAAAAAATGGGAAATGATAACATTACGCAAACAAAAAACCTTCATGTGATCATGTTACGTACTTCAACAAAAACTCAAAAATCCCTTTTTTTTCTAAAATTGTTGATTTGAGTTGATCTACGAACAACCCCCTTCCCTTATTTGGAATTTGAATGAAAGGTCATACCGACTGTAAAGGGATTATGATGCATGTAATTAGATTTGCTAAATAAATTCCTTTTCGGCTTTTTCATTTTTTCCTGTTTGCTTTAACCTTAATTACAAACCCTTCATCTCGACTGTTACAACATCATCTATCTCAGAATAGTCGTCCCTAAGGTTGAAATCATTCAGATATTATAGTTTTGTGTTTTATTCAGACGCTGGCTGTTATAGGTTGCTGCCACTCTCGTAAAATAATAAAACTTAAAAGAATCAATTTGAATTAACATAAATTGACTTTAATAAACGTTTAAAGATTTTCATTAGAACCCTCTGGCCAAAAAAAAAGAGTTGCGCTGGCTAGTTTCTTAATTGTGATCAACTTTTTGGCGTTCTAGCAACCTCGAGCGCTTTTTGCCTTTTTGTGCGATTTTTTGGCAACTTTTAGGTTTGATTAGAGCACAAACCAACCTCGATAATATCAATGATTTCATAAAGAAAATTCGATTTATGAAAATCTCTTGAATGTTTTGCAGGTCCATAATCTAATCAGTTAGGGCGGATAATCGGCTTTACGACGCACAAAAATGGATGTCTTTTTTTATTATTTTCAAAATAATGAACAGAAATGAATGGTTAGAAGCTGCCTTTGTTTGCTAGCAACTCTTTAAAGTTAAGTTATCATTCCGAAGAACGAAAGGTATAGCTTTTAGTACACGTTTATATAGAAATATCAAGAAATTTAGGAGGCAACTTTTGAAATTTAGGTGGCAACTTTTGAAATTTAGGAGGCAACCTTTTGGATTACTGGTTATTGTTTAACAACTTTTTGGCATTCCTGTGTGCAATTTTCTAGCATTATACGTGTACAGTCGGGACAGACCTATTTCTTGGACCCCTCTCTCCCTCCTACCTTGATGACAAGTTGACCACCTTGAGTTTTAAATTACTTAAAATTACAAGCACGCACGAGATTATTCGGGAAGTCTAAATCAGTGTATCCGTTTAAACGTGAAAAATGAAAGACTTAAGAGCAAAACCATTTTCTAGTTAAATCCCTGGTTTTTCTTTTTGTTTGTTTTATTAGATGGATCCATAGTGGACCACTTTGAACGCGTTGGCTGCTTCAAGGATAAGGAACCAAAACGCGCTTTGCCCAAAAGACTGCACACATTTTCTGTAAATTGGACAGACATGAATAACTCATATTCAAAGATCATTCGCGCGTGCGCTGTCAATGTTTCTAAAGCCGGATTCCGATATTTTGGTATTCAATTTCATAAGGAATGCTGGAGCGGCGTGAATGGGAGCGTCACTTACAACAAGTATGGAAGAGGAGGCAATTGTGATTTACTCAACGGAGTAGGAAAATCTTGGTCAAACTTCGTCTATCGCTTTGTGGAAGGTTAGTGTGACGTAACAACTTCTATGATAGGTATCTTAACCCTTTAACTCCCATGAGTGATTAAGACAGAATTTCTCCTTACAATATCGATACAATATCAAGCAGACAAGTGATGAGAATAAAGAAAAATGTTAATTAGGGGATTATTAGTTGATCCAATACAAAATTCTCCAAACTAACATCATAAGAACTATATGGCAGACAGTGAGGAGTATTACCAATGAGATCTTGGGAGTTAAAGGGTTGAGCAAATCACGGCAACGAGGACGAGGCGGAGCCTAAAGGCCAGAACGTGCTTGCGTGTTAAAAGTTTGTTCATTATGCATAGAACATGAAGAAATCTCGAATTTGCGTGGTCTTTATAGTTCCCAGTTGGAACTTAGCGCTACGCTCACACGTCAAGCTGAAGGTGTGGACCGTGGTGCCGTAAAGGCCTATTTACACGGTACGACTTTGTCGCATGCGACAAGCTTACGACAGGCCTACGACACGAATTGTATCGTGTAAATCAAACCTACCACTCGCTTACGACTGTCGTGCACGTCACGAAAAATGTCGTAGGATTTTAAAACATGTTTTAAAACGCTGCGACAATCGTAGCCGAAATTGATAGAAAATGACGTATTTTGTGACAAATTTCTACTGAGTAGGGGAGGAAGGTGAAATTTTCTTGCGTCAAAATGGCGGAGGAAGTCGCCTCCGGAAAGTCGAAGACTGCTTCCAAAGCGAAAAATACATTCTCAGATGAGGAAACAGAGAATATGATATCACTGTGGAGCGAGGAAGAGGTTCTTTTCCTTCTCTTACAAATTATTGAAACAATGACCGCGGCCGACACGAGTGGAATTGCACGCGATTTTGGCATGTAGATAGTAGGTGAAAATGTCATGCGCGTGCAAATTGTCCTAAGTCATGTCGTAGGCCTTTCGTAAGCTTGTCGCATGCGACAAAGTCGTACCGTGTAAATAGGCCTTAATAGACGGTAAACACATCCAGCTATTCGCAAAATCCAACTTAAAAGTATAAATACATTTGAATCGACTTGTTCTTTGGCGTTGCCATCCTGACTAACCCTTTACACCCTAACATCAGTATACATATTCTTCATACTGTTTCTTTATACATTTTCCTAAGGTGCTGACAAGGAGATTTTGTTTACCATTGAAAAGCTTCTTTCGTTGGTGATCATTTCATTTATTCTCATGACCTTAATGTGTGATTCAAGGGTAATATTGTAAGGGGAAATTATAAGTTAGTCACTCTTATGGTTTAAAGGGTTAAGATCCCGATTAGTTTATATTGAATGGCGTTCAAGCACAAATGCTGCAATCTGATTGGTTATGTTACACGCTACCTATTCCATGATGCATAGTGAGCAGAGTGCGTGACCTAACAGTGCGTGATTTTAAGCGAACGGTAAAAAATAAATGACTGGAAAACACGTGGCTGTCATGTTGTTAAGCTATGAACGCTTTAGACTCCATGCGTGATAGCTGATTTGAGCTTTAGCCTCAACAACCATCACGCGAAATAAAACTTTCGATTATAATAATTTAGTTGTTAATTTAAAAAGATTAAGTGAATAAATGAAGAGATAAATGAATAGACGAATGAATAAAGGTAAAGATATCTGTCGACTACTGATCACTCTAACTTTCAACAGGACTTTGAGAAAAAAGTAGTAAATATGGGAAAATGACCAGCAGCTGTTTGACAGGAAAAAATATTTGAATCTAGTATCAAGAAATACACGATATTTTTCGAAAACAAGTTGCGCTTAATTGTGTAGTGATTTAAAGTACTTTCCCAAATTTGGCTCTCAGTAAATGGTAGCTGGAGTCATTGGTCACCATGGCAACCATGTAATTCAACTTGTGGCGGGGGATACAGATCACGTGTTCGAACATGCACCAATCCGAGGCCCAAATGGAACGGACTGGATTGCAACGGAAGTAGTATTTCTAACGGAAGCTGTAATGTGCACAGTTGTGCAGGTATGAATTTCTTTATTACTTTATTTCATATTTCCTAGTTTTGGTCCCAAGTTCAAGCCCTCCAACTTGCTACTCCCTGGATTCGTACCCAGTTTCCCCCGAGTTCAACTTCTTGATAGCCAACAGGTCTGCCTTCTGACCGTTGGAATTTTTAAAAATTTCCAACTGTTTAAAAACACTCTGCATTTTCAATTTGTCTATATTGACCCTAAAAAGCCTTATTGGGGAAGTGGTCAATTGATATTATTATATGTACATATTAAAGGGAAGAACTTACCGGCTTTGTATTCTTGTTTCGTTTTCAGACTATGAAAAGAGTGAACCCTTCTCTAAGAGATCATCTCTGCCACTTGTTGGCCAGTGGTTGGGAATTTCACTTGCGGTTCTTCTGTGCTTAAGTGGAATATTATGGATCACTTTGAGATTTTCCAGAAAACTTCGGTAAGTAAATTTTCCATTATTCTTCCAGCTAGTCTCGAATTTATTAAACAAATCAAGTCGCAGAAACTTTTGTCCGAAAGTTATCAAAACGTTTTTTTAAGCAAGGTGAAATAGACAGTAATGAGGGTATAAAAACAAGTCTATATAGACAAAGTCAATTATGTTGGTTTTTTTTTGCTGCAAAAGTTTATGCAAGATTTTACGGTACATGTTTGCTGAACGGCAGAACGTGCTTTGAATTAAACACAAGCACATATTTTATCATTTTGATCAAGTTACCACGGCAACGGTCTAACTTGTCAGAGGCGCCCTTAAATTTTGGGGGATTTAGTCTATTGTTGGGACGTTAGGGGGAACATAGCTTGAGCAATTTCGCTGAGCAAAGATTACCAAGAGTCTTCGATAACAAAGACAGAATTTCTCCTTACTTAATCAATACAATATCAAACAGACAAGTGATGAGAATTAAGAAAAACATCAGTTAGGGGATATTAGTTGATTCAAGACCAAATTCTCAGAAGTAACATCATAAGAACTGTATGGCAGACAGTAAGGAGAATAACTAATGAGATCTTGGGAGGGAAAGGATTAGTTTACCACTCCCGCACTGTCTCAACGTTTACAGTAATCTCACAATACCTTATGAGATTTCACGCACATTTTAAGGTCCAACTCAGAGCTCGTGGATCCATTTGAAATTGTTTTTGACGACATTTCTCTGTGTAACCTGATTGGAGAAGGAGCCTTTGGAAAAGTGTTCAGCGCTGAGTTGAATAAACAGATGGAAAAAGGAAAAGAAGGAAAATCATCTGTAGCTAAGACGAACAAGCAAAAACTTCCAAAGCAGAAATACCGGATTGTTGCAGTCAAAATGCTACGAGGTAAGAAGCTTGGATTGGAGTTAGTAGAGGTAGTAGAGTAGTTTGTAGTCTACAAACTCTGCTTTGATTCAATTCGTTACTTCCTAACCTAGGGGTCTGGGTAACGTTTTCCATAAGCGGTTGCCAATGGTGTAATGGCTGGCTATGCCGTAATGGCGAAACCCAAACACGAGGGCCTGATCGCAGGCTCAACAAACGGCGGTGAGAAGTCTTATAGGCGGCGGTAGATCAGTGGTAACCGCCTTTTATTGAAACGATGGATGTTTCTTAAATTTGTTCCAAGACGGTGGGAGAACTTTGGAAAAAATTCCCAAATTTTTTTACTTAGGTGGTGCAACAGAGGAACAGAAAGAAGAATTTTTGGAGGAGATAAAACTCATGAAACTGATCGGATATCACCGTCATGTACTGAATTTATTGGCCTGCTGTACGAACACTGTTCCAATGTTTCTGGTGACTGAATTTGCTAAATACGGCGATTTACTCAACTTTCTCCGGAAACGGAGGGAGCAGGTGAGAGAGAGATGCTTTTGAACCCATTCCCTTAGAGAATTTCTTCATGGCTATAAAAAATTAGCACACATCCTAACCGAACTCATTATTATTGACCACAAAAAAATACCTCACTACTGAATAAAGCAAATGGAGTTAAATTAGTACAGTGTTACACACATCAAGAAAATCACTTAACTTAGGACAGGAAAATGTTTCTAGTTTTCCATTTGTAATCTGTGTTAATCTTGAGGCGTATTTATGAGCAATCTCTGGTGGCCTAACGCCTAAGGTAAACGAAAGACGAAAAACAAAAAGACAAAGAAAACGAAAAAAAAATGTTACTGGCAAGGATCTAATTAAAAACGCGCATATTATGCATACCACATAAACACGACACTTAAATTGAAACTGTCGCTATTGAACGTTGATGGTTTCTTTGTTTTTTTTAATGAATTATTTTTTATCTTGTTTGCACGCATTGCGTGCCATTAAATTAGTGACGCGAGAGTCATGTGATTTCGCGTGACCTCGTGGTTAAGAAAAAATGATAAATGGTTGAGTTGTGAAATACAATACATCTTTGCGGTGGAAGCGTTTTATACGAAAGAAACTGTCTTTTCAGATCAAACAAGCAATTGAGGAAATGGAAGCAGCGAAACTGTACCAGTCACGATGCTGTAACTTAGGACTAAGTACCAGTGAAGCAAACCTATATGACGTATGTGGTCTTGCATTCTAAATTCTCTCTACGTTATCATTGACTCCTATCGTAACGTAATATAAGGCGCCTCTCAATCACCCCTCACCAGTCAAGACCTGCAGGCTTCTGATGACCCTCCCCCCCTAACCCGTCTTTCCTACGCAAAAGCTTCATAGTACCAGTTTTACCCTAATTTGGGTAAATGATACCTTTTTATATAAACTGAAGCTTCTGACTCTCATTTCCAACAGGAGATCGTAGGTTTCAACTTAAGAAATACAAACTGTATTTGGCGTTCATTGAATAACTTCGAAGAAAATTCAGAACAAATATAATACATCACAGTTTGATCCTCAGCAGTTTTCCTGTAACTCTTCCTCCTCTGATAAGCGTCTGCTCTCCAGTAAGCACCCCTCTCCAAGAAAAACGCCTTCCCCCCACCTTCTGTACAAAACGTTTTCTGGCTGAACACCCTCAAATTATTAAAACTCTTTGCGGATGAGGGGGCTGGGGGTGGAGAGAAGGGACAAAGAAGAGAGACCCTGGATAGGAGATTGCTCAGGGAAGCATATTAGAGCAAGCTGTTATAATTCCCATGGTTGTCTTCCGATATCAGAACTTAAGAGTAATTTGTTTCTTTTTCAGTCTACTGACGATATAGATAAATATACTACTGGTCTTGGGAGCTTTTGCAACGAAAATGGATACGGAAGTAATTTGAAGACAGATCCTCACATATTATATGAAGATGACACTCTCAGACCCGCTGATCTTTTGGCGTTTGCATGGCAAATAGCGCAGGCAATGGTACGAGACTGGTTGTGTGAATTGAATCTTTACAGTGAAACCGTTGGACACTCCAAATTAAAATGTAGTTTCAAAATATCGCTTATATTTAAAATTCTCTTTAACGATATCTAGTTTGTTCAGCTCTGCATAAAATAGTTTTGATTTCAGAGCTACCACAGAATGCTTTTTGAGGTTTGTATGTCTGTTTTTGTTTTTCTGTTGTCGTCGTTGTTGTTGTTTTAAATATGGGATAAACTATGCCTCTTATGACGTGAGCTATTGTTCCTTTTGCATGAAAGATTGCCATCAACATCTTCGTACTTAACTTAAAAATCCGCTCTTCTGTTCCAGGAGTTTATGTCACGCAAAGGATTTGTCCATCGTGACTTAGCAGCTAGAAATGTTTTGGTTAGTGAAGGCAAGATGATGAAGGTAGCAGACTTCGGACTGTCACGTTATGTGTACACAGAGAAAGTTTATCACTCTACTAAAACTAAAAAGCTGCCAATCAAATGGATGTCACCGGAGGCCATTCATGATCAGGTTTTCACGACAGAAAGCGACGTGTAAGTTTAAAGTCACGTGATCAGAGTCCAACTCTTTCCTAGTCAGTCTCCTTCCCCTCCCTCATTGCGTGACGCTAAGGGTGTGAAAAAGAGAGAGCCTGGTAACTAGGTTGATTGCTAAGGAAACATATCATTGAGAGCAGCTACTGCTGTAGTTGTTACTCATGCATATCACGTAAATTTGTTTAAAGCATGCCTTTCATACTACCCAAAAATTGTACAAACAATTCAGCGAAGTATTGTAAAAGTAATCAGTCACTCTGACGGAGGGCTTATGCTCGAAACATCAGCTTGAAAACTCTTTACAGTAGACAATTTACGTTATCAACTCAGTTGATAATACCAAATTACCTTGTTATACTCTCCCACCGACGTAGCATCACAGTTTCTTTAGAAACTTAACCTCTTTATTTTGTGGATGTTGAAGAGAATTGAACACAAACTTGAATTGGACTGATCATTAAGATAACATTAGAAAGTGACCGTGACAATTAACTTGAATATTTCGTAATGAAACGAAAGAGGTGATGAATATGTAACTGCACTAAGTGCTTTCAATTATTTGTTTTTAAAGGCCAAGATCCGATTATTATTATGAATATTATTATATCCTTAGATGCGTGCTCTGATTAATATTAATATCGGATTAATATTTATTAACAGATGGTCATTTGGCATCCTACTCTGGGAGATGGCCACAATTGGTGCGTAACACTTCTAGACGTTTTCTTGAGCTAACAATAATTGTTAATAGAGATATTCCGTGCGGCACTAGACGTGTTTTTTTACAGAAAATATCTGTTTAGTATATACATGAGTGACGAGTTGGCCTAGTGGCTAACGTGTTGGACTCTGGATGGAGAGGTCTGGGTTCAAATCGTGGCCTGGTCACTGAGTTGTGTTTTTGACGATACACACTTCTCTCACCAGGCCTCGTTCCACTCAGGAATATAAATGGGTGCTTGTTAAGTCAAGTAAGACCTTCGAGAAACGATTGGCGAGAGGAAAGTGGAATTTCTACTGTTGTACCCGTATTCCATCCAGGGGGAGCACGGGGGGAAATCCAAGGGGTTTATCAGAGGTGAAAATAATGAAATGACGAACACATTTTTCTACAAGATAAACGGTGCTATTATCTGTCAGTTTATTTAATTTTATCACCTATTGTTCTCCCAAGTATTTATCTTCCCTGACTTTCTTCATTTTTTACTTGATAATAACGTTATAATGTAACTTCAAAAGGTTGCCTATTTTGAACTCGGCTCCTTAGCTTTTTTTATGTTTATAAGAAATATCTTTTCGAAATTTCTTATAATTTAATGATTCTCTAAGTTAACCATTTTTCGTAAACAAGTCATTTCACAGTTTTTAAAACACCTCTTCCATTAATCTTGATACTAAATTTATATATGGGTGGAATTAGTGTCACGCCTCTTATTTGAGTTAAGTTTGAAACTTATTAATTTTATTGTTTGTTATGCTTCTCCCTATTCAATTTAAACTCATAGAGCGCATAGCGGAGGTTTAGCTCTGTTTGCCGGAAATAAGGGATGAAAATGAGATCAAGGTTTTGCCATATTTCGACCACAATCGTGGCCGTTTATTTGCTAACAACTCAACTGAATTATTCGTGAATTATTTCCAATAAAGATGAGAGCAAACCCGCCTCGTGAACTCAATGATACCCTACATGAATGAACTGCCTTGGGAGGGAAAAGAACGGGGAAAACGTTTTCGAACTGAAGCTGGAGAAAAAGAGGCCCGAAACCTGGCCTGCATGGATTTAAGTACTCATAACAAAGAGTCCCAGATGTAAACTGACCCTAACTAGTAAAACATTAACTGACGTAGCCAGCTGCATAAAATCATTTATACCCTATAGGAATAAATTTTCTTTATGTATATATATCCAGGTGGTACTCCTTACCCCACCATCAGCAATCAGAGAATTCTTAAAGCTTTGAATTCCGGATACAGGATGGAAAAACCACAGATCTGTTCTGATGAAATGTAAGATTCCTGTTCAGCTTTTGTATAATAATTCATTAACAATTCCAAAAATGACACCGATCAATCTTGAAATTGCAGGTATGAACTAATGCGACAATGTTGGCGAGAAAAGCCCTCGGAGAGGCCATCGTTCCCCTTTATTCGGGAACAACTTGAACGAATGATGTTGAGCCGATCTCCTTATTTGGAATTAACTGACGTAAGCTACACTCACGTGGCTTATTCTGAAACTGATAGTGACGGAGATACGATACAGGAAAACACCGCCTTGTAAATTGATGCTGTAACATCCGTATTTGGATCGATGAATCATATGATTTTGTAAGCAGTTTTGATACTGCAATTCGACATAGGACGTCAATCACCCTCAAAAAAGACTGGAGAGAATCTGAGAGAGTTTGTAAAAACAAAATTCCCGGACAACTTTACGGGAAGAATTGATTAGAAAACGAGACTGTGACGCCAACAGCTGTAAAATGCTACAAGTATTTTGTCTTGCAAGACCTTTTCTTTTTCGAAAAATCAAGTTTCTCACGAGAAACCACCCTCCTCCTTAAAAATTATATCTCACAGATAAGAGGATATTTCACGCCATGAAATTTCTCCCTCAAGTCGTTTAAGTGACGATCGATAGTCTAAGCGGGATAGCAGTGGAAAAGAGGGAAATAAATTATTAAGTGAACAAATTTAGGCGAGTTCTAGAATTATTGTTAAAAAAATACTGTGATTCTCGAAGAAACGAAGCTTTTACACCAGTAACATTAGCAGGAGACGCATACACGCAGTAGGTACCTATTTATTTTATTTCTCAACAACTACTTCAAATGGTTATGTCTGACCCGGACATAACACCTTGAAAATGGAGAACCAGCGGCAATGTAAACAGGTTGCTGTATTTATCATTCTCAGTTTCGCCTATGCCTATATTAAGCGTCCTAGATCCTGTTGTTAGTTATTGATGAGGGTTTACCTGGTTGCAATAAAAGCCGATGTTCTAGCTTTAGATCAGAGGAACCAACAAAAGTTATGGGCTGTCTACGTTTATTAGGTTTGGTTGGTTTTATCATCTTTCAGAATGTCAACGGTAAGTAAATATTAAGCTTTTTACGTAAAGTGCTCATTTCGGACAATAGAAAAAAGCTAGTTATTTTCAGATGATTTGAAATCAATTTTTCAAGAATTCTTAGTTCGTGATAAAATTGCTATTCGTTGGGCTTAAGAAAATTTAAAAGAAAGAGAAAATGTAATAATTCCAGATTTTTTAGGTGCCGTTAAATATTACAAATAATCGATCAAACTGCCAAAAATTCCCATTTGAATCGGATGGAAAATCTCACAAAAATAACGTTACATTTTTTCAGTGTAAGCCGGTATTTCAATGTGCCTTTTCCAATGGTAGTACCGAAGCTTATAAAACTGACCACTTTAATTTTTTTTTCAAGTTCTAATTTAACAGAGTAACATCTAACTATATTTTATACTCATTTAAAAAATAACTAAGATATTACGTCCGCTCTGATTGGCCTAAAAGCCATCTTTCACTTTTTGGCTAACCCATAGCAAACTAAAGCATATGCTGTTATCATCCACGTACATCCAGACCACGCTTACTAACGCCCTTTTTCTAAGCAAAGTTAGTAGAAATCCCAATTCGAAATCCGAGCATCCATGGCATGAAAAGTCAAATCAAAAGGGGCAGGCCTTATTTGGAACTACTTAGACATATCAAATGAGCTTTCCACTCTATTGTTTAATTATACACCCGATTGGTCTACGCGTGTCATGTGATGCCTAAGATCTAACTCTTCAAAACGGCGGTGTGTCTTTAAAGGAAAAAGTCTTTATCCGATCCGGCAGCCAATATATTCCTCGATTGCTATTCAATGATCATGAATATTGAGGCTTTGTTCTTCAGGGGGTTGGCGATAGAAATAAAATTTTTTTTTTCGTACTGCATATAAAGGAGATTCTGAAATTAGTCAACAATGTAATCAATTTAAACACGGTTTTTTTCATTTTGTTATGCGAGCTGCTAATTTCTGGTGCGTTCAAATTAAGTACTCACATACCACCACTTGGTCGTGGTAGGTCTGGGTACGTGACTAGAAAGTTACCATCATCACCAGTCCATCGCCGCTTTTATGCACCCGAAATTTAAAACTATTATGGGTTATTCAAAAGCGGAAAACTTAGAGGCCAGGGCGTGGTGGTGAGTTTTATTACACAGGGGGGTACACATGGGGGAATCTGCTCAGATACAGCTGACTTCACCTTACTTGATCTTTCATGCACCCGGAATACATCAGTGTCAAGTCAAAGCAGATTTTTTCAAGTTAGGAATGGATGTGCCAATTTAAAGGTGATTGATGGATTACTAAATGTTGATCCTGCGATACCGCAACCTACTTGGTTCCAGACTCCATCGGTTGTAGAAATTCAAGCAGGTCAGTCTAAAACAATTTGTTGGTGACACTAACAAAACAAATGATATTTGTATGGTATGTGTTGTCGGCAAAGTGAGTAATATTGGGTACCGCAATCTTGGCTGAGCGTTAAGGGACTTTTCTGCCAAAGCAAGTGCATTTTACTCTGCAGAGGCGTCCCAATGACTCTTACTAGGATTGCAGTTCTAATAAATTCGTTCTGACGAAGGGCTAACGCTGGAAACGTCAGCTTTGAAACTCTTTACGGTGGCCAATTTACGTTATCTACTCAGTTGATAATGCTAATTTACCCTGCTATGCTCTCCCACCGACGCAGCACCACAGTTTCTTTAGAAACCTTCCCCCTTAATTCAGTTTTAATAAATGTTTGCATAACCCATGCAATTTCTTTTCCGCCAGCACAGCATGCTCTATTCAGTGCCTCAAAGTTGGCCCTCTTCTCTGATTCTATTTCAACGGTTTTGCGACTTAGAAAGGCCTTTTAATATGTTCGTGTAGTTTGATTGGTGAAGCGAAGGCAACCACCATCTTTGACGCGAAGATCAGTATCTGTTCACTAATTTCCAACATAATTGTTGGTACATACGGCAAGTAATAACGAATAAACAGTAAACATTTCGAATTGGGTACGAAAATATCTTCGATTCCCGAAATGGTCGCCATGTTGTGACGTCACGTGGTTATCAAATCTGCTTACTATTTCGAATTGGTAACGATGAAAAGGGCAGTCGTCGGTAACATGACTTGTCCATGACAGTCACGCAATCTAATCAAACATGGCCGGCCGGATAAGCCATCTCGAGCCTGCAACCGATCCTAATAAGACGCCTGTACTAGACTGATTAGTCGGCATATAGAATAAGAACAACAGGGTTAGCTCTCCTTTTTTTTATTAATAACACTACAGCAGTTACGAACTTCAGACTACATTCTCTCTTTTTTAGGTCACTACCGAGCCCTCGGCCGAGTTATTCATCTAAAATACTTGAAGGAGCAGCTGGAAGGGAAACAAGGTCTAAACTTCAGTAATCAGAGAAAAACAATGAATCTTGTTCGGCAGCTGGATATTCTTGCAGATACAGTTTACATCGAGGTAATTAGAACTTACCACCAAATACTTTAGTGGGGTTTTGCTCAGTTTTGTTCTTCGGAGCGTGGGCTCATTTCCCGGCCAGCGGCTGGTTATTGAGCCTCCACTCTGATAGGTAAAAACTATTATAAATGGGTCTCAAGGAAAAATAATAAAACAATGAAAACAGATTATGAGGGCGGGGTGGCTTTGACAGTTGACGGTTTATTTTATAACATCCCGTAACAATATGAGTCAGTTTCGTGTGAAGATCTGACGCTTTTTTTTATTCTTACAGGGTGCTATTTCCCTTCATGGAGTCAAAACTATTCAAATATTTGCAAGAGAGATAATTTCTTCCCGTGGAAGTAAGGTAGATTTCTCTGCACCAAATTGGAACCAGATGTTTAAAGAATCAATTAGGCCTGGAAAAGATGGAGAAAGTGGGGAACCTGGTATCACTGGGCCACAGGGTACGTAATTTAAAGCGTTTACTTACTGGCCTGCATAGCAACTGCTCGACAAGGGTGCGAGTAGCTCGCGCGCGACTGAGAGATAGCAGACTCCCTTACCCTTCGCGCGCGGGACTTCTCGCGCGCGAACATCACCTTGAATCACCCTTACTTGCATCGAGCCCTCGCTACGAGAGCTAAATCAGCCCAGATATTGGACACAGGTGAAGAGGCCCTCAAACTCCAATTCTTTTCCATTTCATTCATTCATTTTTTAGTTTTATTTCTCATTCATTGACAAAACAGCCTTCCTTTTACGTAGTCCACATACACTGTGACCACATCTTTGGGAAACTGGAGGTGATTTCGAGCGGCGGAAATGGACACAAGGGACAAGATGGCGGCGATGGAGCTGCAGCGAGAGATAGCAAAGATGTGGTAAGCATAAGCGACAGCGGCAAGCACCTTGCATCATTAGTTTGACAGAGTCCACTTTACTATGTTTATGATGCGCAGCCGCGTGAGTCCGCAGGAAATTTTGACCACTTTGGTGACGAATATCGTTGCTGCTAAGAATAAAGACCAAACCACTATCGACTCGTTTTTTACCACAATATCGACGTCAAAATACTTTTTCTCTCAGTACGTGACACGTTGCGTGACACGTTGATGCGGACAGCGTTGTCTGTACTCTTATCAACAATAGCAAATTGGCCAATCAGATAACGACATTACTGCAACTTGCGGTAAAACCAATGACAGGTCACAGCTGACGTCAAAAGGTGTAAGAACATAAAAGTTACACGCGAGGTGCAGCTGAATGGATCACTGATGTTGTTACCATATAGTCATCTAGTGATGTTTTCTAAACGCTCAAAGGGCAACACAGCATAAATTCGTTTTATATCATTTCAGTTATTAATGTCTAAAATTCGACCTTTCTTAACAATTTTCTAGCGACCAGATGTTTCTGCGAGTGTTTGCGCTGGTCGCAGTTATAAGTGCTATCGTCGTAGGCACAATGGACCACCCGGCATCCGAGGAAAACGTGGACAAAAAGGAGGGAATGCTGGGATACCTGGTGAGGCAACGAATGTATCATTTCTTGATATATATTGGTGTCCAGACTTCTCCTTACAGGTGTCACTGTCCCAGTTCTGCCTGGCTAGAAGCAGTACGTACGGTTTACGTTGAGTCACACCAAGAGACAATAGTTGCAAACATACATGATAAATCAGGAAATGGAATCGGTTTTCGTATGAAAGGGAAAAGTAAAGTTAGAATTTTGTGTTAGACAAATAACTAGGGTTGGACCTTTATGAATAATGCAAAGCTCGGTATAATCGATAATTCTCGCCATCATGCTCAATTTCATCCAGTAAAATTTATAGTTTTAAGTCTGTTTACAAATTTTGAAACTAAACTTCCGTGATATATGAAATTTTGTAAATTTTGACCTTTTAAAAAGTGTGTGCAAATAAAATTGTGCGAGAGTTTATTATCTCTTGCACTTTGTAGAAATGTCGCGTGAAACTACAGACAACAAACGCACAAGCAGCTCATTATGCAAATGAAAACCATGTTATCATGTAACCGCCTACGCATGTGTGACAGGGCTATTCTCGGCTATCCTTACAATCATACGAAATAGGACTTGACACGTGGACTTTAATTTTCGTCCTAGTCCCCCACATCCCATGTAAGAGTGATGAGAAGGTTTGCGTTAGGAAACGATGTACTCGAACCTACCGTCCATAGACTAGACTTTGTTTAAACACTACTCCAAACATTGACTAAATAAGTTAACAATTTTTTTAGGGAGTGGAGGACATAACGGACGTGTATTCATCCACTCTGGAAGGTTAAACGGCCAAGTTACTATTCATTCATGCATAGGTCATGGGGCTCAGCCGGCCAAGAACGGGGTCGGTGGAAAAGGTGAAAGGTTCACTATGATCATTGGACAAAAGGACTAATGAACAGCCAATGAACAAGGGGTTAAAACATCGACGTGCACGTGAATACGCAGGGGTTCAAAAGAATACTATATAACATTGTAAACGTGCTTTTCTTTAGGTTTCCTTTAATTTATGAATTCGCTTTCATCAAGCCTGAAACGCTTTTGTCGTAGTTATGGTAAGCTAGTTCGTTCCCTTTTCATTATTTCTCGTCAAGTTGCAATTAAAGGTTAGTCTTGTGAACAATAATGCAACTCCTTTCATAATAACATTATCTAGGTGACTACTGTGGCACCGAAAAAAAAAGCTAAAATTCCTGCCTTGAAATAAAGAATAGGCAGTGTGAGCTCGGTATGGTGGGAATTTGTCTGAGAAAGGAGAAGCGAGGTTAGATTTCAGCGACTGAGTACTCTAAACGTTTTTTGCTTTGCATAGTCCTCAACAGTTACTTTGCTCGTGCAGACTTGGGCTTCTTGGGAGCAGTGACGTTATCGAGAGAGACTTAACCGAATCATTCCCAACTTCACCTAAAAAACAGGAAGAGAGGGCGCATGTAGGGGCTAAGTAGGCTATTGGTCACCCTATTGATTCACGTGACGTCGCAGTTTGCTAAATAGGATTATTGTTCCAGGTGGTGCTGGTGGTCTCGGAGGGAGAGGAAGGGAATGTACATTTCTCAAGTACGTGTTCAAGTGTGCCACTGCAAGAATGATTGGAAGAGGTCCCCAGGGAAAACGTGGTCCAGATGGAACATCGGGAAATAGTAAGTTTTACAAAGACACTGGAACCTTAACTAATGGTAAACACTCGGGAAAGAGTAGATGTCTCCCAAAAAGATGTGTCCATTCTGTAAAGCTTAAGGTTATTGGCACAATCTTTATACAGTGGGACTTTCCTACTAGTGATACCCTCAAAACTACACAAGGTGTCCCTTTAAACGATTGTGTCCTATCAATGAAGGTAACAGATTCATAGGTTATATGCTGGGGAACTTCTATTTAGGGCACACTGTTGGAACTTTAAAAAGTGTCCCCTAAATCGAGAGATCCCTGTAGAGAAGGCAACATGTGCAAATGTTATAGAGTGGCAACTACATTTTAGGGGACACCCTTGAGACTAGGAGGAGTGTCCCTTGAATAGTCCACGTTTACAGTAATAACTATCCTTCGGCAAAGGAGAAATTTTCCGTTGCTCTCACGAAAGTACATTCACATAACAAAACATGCGTTCAACTTCAACATTTTAAAACCAAGAATATCAAGAAGAGTCTCGTAAATTTGTTTCTGCACAAAAGGTGAAATTCTTTGTCGCGACGTTCTATCTAAAATCAATAATAGATTCTTCATTTACCAAGCTTGGTCGATAAAGATGACTCAATATCACCTCATGAAAACGTAATAATGAATCGTGGCTGTAACAGAAAAGGACTGCAGTGCAGGTCAGTTGATATCCAGCCATCTTTACCAAACAAACTTGGCTGATTAAAAATATCAGAAGCTCGCATATTTCTGCGCATTTTGATTTCTTTTTTCCTTTCAGCGCCTTTAACTCCGGGTAGGGATGGTTCTTTCCAAGCACCACCCATCTATCGAAGCGGGGAACTGCAACCAAAAATAAAAATAAAGTATCCTCTGGATCTCCTTCATGTCATGCACAGACAGGCTGAGGACTTGTTACTAAGCAATAGTCACAGTCACAAAGGCAGAGCCGCTTTGAAATTCATACTGAGCCTGGCGAACGATAGAAGTGACGCGGAAGATATCAAAAAAGGTGAAAAGGTTAATTTATATGCACCAATGGGCACGCGTGATGCTAAGGATTCTCACACCTTTCCGACTGAGGGCTTAAAGGAGATAATTACCCTTCGTTTTAAACCTAACCATTGCGTAGTCTGACCAACCAATCAACTATTTGACATTTAATAACCTCTCGATCATTCTGAGTATTGAATTTCTCTGTTGATATAACACAACGTGTAAGTCACGAAAGCGTCAAGCTCTCCTGAATCTTGCTCAACTCTTACGTTTGCTCGATCGTTGGGTTGAATTTTTAACAATGTATACGCTAATGTATGAATTTCGCCCTCCCCCCCACACCTCAAAAAAAAAGGAAACGAAGTGGTTCTTGCATAGCTCGTTGGCACAAACAAACTTTGAGGCATTCTCAACAGCGTCTTGAGTTTCATTAATGAATTAATTTGATTTGTGACAATACACTTGAAAGCGGTTGTTAAAAAAGCTTCATAATTATGAAAAATATCAGGATATTGAACATGCGCTTGCAGTAATTTCCCTATGGTCCCTATCGATATGTTGAATTAGCCAATATTAAAACAAGTAGAAGATAACTCTTAATCTTTACTACAGACGTCAGGAGAAAGCTGGGTTTCCTGGGCAAAAAAGGCTACGACATTTTTGGAAAGAACGTCCTGTTTGCCCCGCGTGTCAAGTGGGAAGCCCTCGAGGGATCAGTAGAGAATGTCAGAAAGGCGGCTGAAATTTACGAAGAAGCGTTTAACGATATCACGTCTACTGAGCAGAACAACCAAGATTTCAAAACGGTCAGCAGTGATATTAGCTAAGTTAAGAAATAAATAACACCTTGAAAGCAGCTTAAGATTTTAACTTACCGTTCAATTTTTGTAAAGAGCGTCGTGAAGGCTCATGACTTATTACCACGAGAATTGCCTTTCCTTTTTACATGCAATCCACTCCCCGACAAATTTCCAGGTGGACTGATTGTCGAAATAAGAGTTGATTCAGTAAGCGACCGCTAATATTTGTTATCCAATCAGTATAGAACTAAATCTTTAGAATTAACTTTCGAGAAGGCTACGGCCCCTAGAATATCGATCGTTTTTTAAAACTGATGAATCTTAAAGAAAAAGTAGGCTCCTTATGCCACGTAGCTATTATCTCCGACATTAAATAGTACATTTATGAACATTTATTGCTTACCGTGTTTTGAGATTCCAAAAAGTAATCTAACCGTTGGAAAATTGTCTTCAATTCCAAGATGGCTGCTAAAATGTCATCAGTGTCAGAGTTACAAGTCAAGGCAGAAGCTGATAGGCTCAACGGAGCCCGAGACAGCGCCATGTCCGAAAAGAGGACGTATGTCAAGGTATTCATGCATATACCTTTTTCAATGTTAACTAAAGGATAATTTGTCTTACTTTTGCTTAAGTTTTATGCAGATACTTTCCCAATGAATTGGATGGTTGAAACATTCGCCAATCACAATTGGTGAAAACCAACAGATCACTGCGATGCATTTTGATTCGTTAAGTGTCGGGTTATCTATAGATTAAAACAAAAGCCGTCAATCGTCAGAGCATTTCTTCAATCTCGTACCCAGATCCTAACGTTTAGCTGTAACTGATGTGTACGACAACAACCGCTTGGCTGTGGAAGGCTTGGGAACGAGACTAGTATTTGATAAGTGTCCGGCTGTTGATTCTCAACTCAAAAGTGAAGCTTCTCAACGGTTACATCCGGTTGAAATGAGAAGCTCGGGTTTGTTGAGTGGACAGAAATGCCATATGGCCATGGAGTGAAAAATCAGAAACAGAAATTAAATATGCGCGTTTGAATTAGCAGCAAACGAGGTGCAAACTCTTGAAAGCAAGCAGGAAAGAGATTGAAATGAATAAATGGGAATGGAAAGAGGTCGAACAAATATACATAAAGAAATCGAAACAGAAATAAGAAAGTTAAGACAGAAGAAAAATGGAATATTGAAAAAGTGATTAGAAGGGAGGAAAGAGGAAATATATAAGTAAGTGTATTGCGTGAAAATGTAATGAAAATCCTTTTCTCAATCTCTAATGACTTATCGTTAATATTCCTCTGCAGTCAATTCAGCAACTAGAGGAACAACTAGCCAGTTTACTTCTTGAACTAAAACAAATGTTGCCTAATGTTTATGACCAAGCAAAATTCAATCCCGATGACTTGTTAGCGATACTTCAGGGTATTACTGGGTTTGTTGGAGCAATTAAAGGTAAGGACCCTTTGGATTTTATCGACACAGCTCTTGGCCTGGCTGGATCACAGTCCGGAAAGCAGTGTCTTGGTTCTCTTGAAAGCAACCTGGGAAGTATCAAGAAATGGTTGACCTTTGGGAAGGTTTACACTCCCCTTGTTGATTCTAGCGACTTAGACTTCGACAAACTCGATGTTGCTTCTGTGCCTGAAATAATGCAGGTACGGAATCTCTTTGTGATCTTGATTAGAAATGCTATGAGCCCACCATAAATGCAATCGTTTATACTTGCAAAGGTTCAAACCAAAGACAAAGAAACCAGTTCCTATGTTCATCCTTTTTTTTTTCCGAAAAGAAATTTTTTCTCCGCGCTGCTTCAAATAGACAAGAAAGACAATTAATCTTATACCCCCTCTTTGTCAATGGCTGCTTCACGCATCGGTAAGCACCGGCGTCAACTTAGCAATGATCCACCTAGTTCGTCAATAGCTCTTAACTTTTTTCTTCTTTTTTTTCCTTGCTTGAAGGCCAATCTTGAGATGAACAAGGAAAAACTCGCAGCCGAATTAGTTTGCCTCTTAGATGTGGCCTCCAGACCTCAAGACATTGCTGGGTTCAAACAAGTTATGGAGTCATTTTTCATCGCTGGAACAGCACGCATTGATTTGATAGGAAAAGTTATGGACCTCGATAACGAAATCGGGGGGTACAGCTTTGATATCCCTATCCTAAGAGAAACACAGAAGGCCATAACTGATATTGGTAAAGCGAAAGGTAAAAACTAGTCATATATGGCTAACCCAATAGTTTCCAAGTGTGATTCCTAATTGATATGTACCTTATAAAGATATACAGTGTAGGGTTTAGCACAGCCTATATGACCTCTCGTCGTAGTCTGTTTAGCGTGCAAGCAGGCTCTGGTGTTTGGGTCACCCCTTTCGGCTCCTTTTCCAGACACAGCCACCTATTACGCCAGTGGCAGCCGTTTATGGTAAAAGTTACTTTTATGGAAAAAAAAACCTGTATATTAATTGCGAAGCACACCGAATATGGGAATGTGGGAAAGACGATACATGGAAAATAAATGCAAATCTTTAAAAAGAGCACAATTAATTTTAGAGGTTAGAAGTGGATCTATGCCTTCTGCTCGAAGAGAATACGGTCACCTCGTACCATGCAAACTTTGTCCGTTCGAGCAAAAATAAGGGAGCGCTGTCCTTCAACGATAAAAGCCTGAGTTAGCATCAGATGAATGCGTGTGTGTTAACGTATCCTTTTTCTGGCTCTTTTCTAGTTTTGGTTGTTTGTTTGTTCGTTTGTTTGTTGTTATTTTGCTTATTTTTTAAGAACAAAGAAGAAAAACTAACCAGTTACCGAATTTACTGCACAGATACTCCTATCAGCAAAACTCTGCAACAGACCTTCCTGGAACATCTTCTCAGCACATACAGAGAACTGGAACGATCATTCATGAAAAAGGTGTACGAGCTTTACAAAGCCTTCCAGTTTCGTACACTCTGGGAGGGAAACAACCCGCTCTCTTCCTTCCAAAGAGTGGCCAGTGAAAGCGCGCGGGGGACTGGGCGCCTCAATGGTGCTGTCCAGTTAACGGAAGTGCTTCGTAAGACGAAGGACATTCAAGACAAGGCTATGCTTTGTTTCACTAACAATATTTATACCACTGATATCATGAAGTGGAGTTTTGACAACGTTAAAGACAAAGAGGTAAGTACATGTCCAGTGCAATACCGCAAAAAAATACAAGTTCCTCTCAGGACTGCTTCTCTACATATTTCCTAAGTGCTGACAAGGAGAACGTGTTAAACAATCAAGACCTTCTTTAGTTGGTGATCATTTTCTTTATTCTCTTGACCTTAATGTTTGATTCAGAGGGTTGTTTTGTAAGGAGAAACTAGATGCTAGTCACTTTTAGGGATTAAATTTTAACTACACTACGAAGAGGAAGAAAAAAAATTGGTCGCCGAAGAGATGCTGCGGTTCAAACGCAATATGCATGACCAGTACCATGTCTTTATAAAGGAGTAAAGAGAAGACTTCTTATATCTTTTTTTAATTTCAGATCTTTCAAGAGCTGTACAAAGGTCACACCAAATTCAGTCTCGACGTCAAAAACAGTTGTACCTCGTGTTACAACATTCGTCTGCTAAAGGCGAGACACAGTTAATTTCTCAGCATTGTCATCTTTACATTTCCTGTATTCCCAAATTGTGACTTTCTGTTAATGCAATTTTTTTCCTATTCATTATTTCTGCTTTCAGATTTATGTTGAGCTTTATGGCCCTGAGAAACAACCCGCAGGTGTCCCCGATAAAGTTCATCTTCAAATCCGCCATCTTAGCGGCTCAAGCTTTCGTGCAGGCGACAACAGCATCAAACACTATCGACAGTCTGTAGGCTCGTACAGGAAAATCACGTTTGACCGGTCAGCGGTTACTAAGGAAGGGAAGTGTAACAGGAAAAAAGCAAAAGGAAGAAACACCAGTAAGTGGGTTTTAATGATGCAATTTCACAGTGTTCTTGGCTTTTTCCAAAACTCATTGTACAGGTATCTGAAATTCTCATCAAAGTTTAGATTTTGTAGACCTGGAGAGAAGACCAATACTTGTCAAAGAATGCGCTGTAATCGGCCGTGGATTAAGTACTCTCTTTTTGTTATCAACCTGCAAGAGATTCTCAAAACTTTAAAGCACTGAGTTTTGATATTGCCCGTGCGCTATTTCGTAATTTAATTTCATTCGTATATTTCTTTGGAATTCTTTACCCCCTAATATTATTTTTAACGACAGAGTCAAGTTATTTTTAAACAGCTCAGTTCTAAAACCCACATTTTGATAATAAATGTTTAATATTACTTTCCTGGCTACGACAAGCGAAATCACAAAAAACCGAAAATCTTCGTTTCAGGTCTAATTTATTAAGTATTTCTGAATTATTTTGCGCTATTAAAATCAGTTGCTCAATCTTTTCCTTTTTCAGAATGCCTCAGCTTTTGCATGAACAAGGATGATTCTCGGTGGAATGAGATGTGTAGTCACCCCCTGAATCCAAGCGGGAGTACTTGCCAAGACAAACTCCTGGGAATGGAGGAATGCAAGAGTCCGTTTGGTATCTACGAACTGAAGATTCCTGTGAATAAAGACCTGGCTTGTGAAAACACAGGAATAACAGACAAGAACTGCAAGGATCTTGACGTAAGGAATTCAGTAAGACGGAGCTTTGAGTTCGAAAAGTCGCAAGTTTTCGTTTTCCTAGCTTTTCATTCCTTTTAAAGATTTCTACGAATGTCTCAATTTCCTTTCTAGATTCTTTCGCTTATTCAAGTTCGGACATTCTGTTGATTTACCATTCTGTTGTGAGCGCTATCAAAAATAACACTTTTCAAACACCATGAATTACTAGATTGTAAGGTTCTTTGTAACTCGCGCAAGATAATTTCGTTCTGAAGGCATGAAAGCACACCACCTAGTCTTCCCGTGTGTCATGCCTAGTGGGTAGTCATTACAACGTTCACAAGGACGTTTGAGCGCTGTGTTCCTAGTGTGTGACCTTACAAGCGAAAGCTAACGGGAAGCATTTTCACCTTTTTTATCTTTTATTCTTTCACAGCTTAAAAAGTTTACGAAAATGAACGTGTGGACTCATTTTTTCTTCTGGTCAGACCATTATCCTACTGGACCGGAAGATCGCATATGTATGAGCCCGCGGAACAAAAGGAATGAAACGGAAGACATAGCTTGGGACTTCGTGTAGCACGAGATGATCAGTAAAATTAAAAAATAAATTTCGAGAAGTATAACCTAAAAATTCGGCTAAATAAAGACGTATTTCCTTCAATATTGGGTTATGTTCATATAGTCCAAGTGCTCTTCTAGGGGTAGAATTGGGATGTTCAACAAGATGAGGGAAAGGTGGAGTAGGACGAGGAAGAGGAAGAAAAAAGGCCGTAATGATACTAATGAACTAAAATGAGTACTTCACATCTAGAGATATTTGTCAAGACCAGTTGTACCTGTTTAGGAAGAATCAGAAGGAAGCCATTACGATTCGACTTCATTCTACCCCAGAAAAGTGAGATTTTTAATGCACATGACACACGTGTCATCGGTTCTATGAGAGCCTCGCAGAAAACAGATGTAAACAAGTGAAGTGCTTGTTATTTTAAAATTGTGTTTCATCGAATGTAAAGCTTCTACCATTTTCCTCTTTCTCAACTCCTTGATTGCTTTGTTGTTCTGTTGTCCCTCTGCGCGAAGGATTATTTTCTTTAGAATATTGGCCATGGTCAGACCTGTGAGCACTATCGAATGAAAACCGAAAAAAACAAGAGCGTCGCCGCGTGCAAATTTTACAGGACACCAGCAACAGCAATTCTTTGAAATCTTCTTTACATAGATAGCAAACCACAAATGTTATCTAGAAGCTTTTGATAGGTAAATAAAGATTAAAAAAGATGTAGCCAAGCTACAGTTAGCTAAAGTTAATTCTGAAAAGGACGACATAGCGATAATTATTAGGAAGGAAGACTTAGAGTGGGTATCTCTTATAGGATAAGAGAGGAGAGAGACTAAGCACAAATTTGTACAATTGATGTGGTCGTACACAACGTCTTTTCAGTCAGAACGCGGAAAAAGTTGGTGTCCTAAGCAAGATATGTATTTATCTAGAAGTTATCGTTTTATACGGCGTGGATTACACCAGAAAGCGTTCGTTACAAACGTTTTGAAATCCAGAAAGTTGCATGGGGGCGGTTCAGCATACGCTGCACTCGAACAACTTCGAGATATCGCTGTGACTCCTGAGCAACCAGAACTCTACCATGACGCAGTGAAGATTTACAACCCTGCGTACAGTTATGAACAGCCAGCCTTTGTCGCTTTTCCAAAAAATGTTGAAGACATCAAGCGCTGTCTGAAAATTGCGGAAAAAACTAATACTCCAGTCGCTGTTAAATCCGGGGGCCACTGCTTCGCTGGTTACTCCACCACTGACAGTGATGGTTTTGTCATCTCCCTCAAAAACTTGAATCAAGTTCATGTGCAAGAGAACACGGTCACTGTTCAGGCTGGAGCTTGCTGGGGAGACGTGTATTCTGCGCTTGATGATACTGATTATGTAGCTGTCGGAGGATGTGTTCCGGCAGTGGGTATCGGGGGATACATCCTTGGGGGTGGTTACAGTATGCTGTCTCGTGCCTATGGGGGTCTGGCTTGTGATAAGGCGTTGTCATTTACCATGGTTAAAGCCGATGGAAGTAAAGTTGTAAGGGCTTCTGCTAAAGAGAATGAAGATCTCTTTTGGGCTTTGAAAGGTGGAGGTGGTGGGAATTTTGGAGTGATGGTTGATGTTACTTTAGAAGTGTGTCCACGACCTAAACAATTCATCTGGACCCGTCTCATTTATAACACAACTGATCAGAGTGAACAAGGGCTCAGTGTGGTGGGTAAAAATTTATACAATTTCCCTAAGGAGCTCAATCTTGACATGGCTCTTCATGGCTACTTTGGAAAGAAAACACTGACTTTGGATGCGGTATATTCTGACGTTCATGAGGATGCAGTGCAGTCAAGCCTTGAAAGTCTTCATCCACCGGTAGAAACACAACCTCAGGTGTTCACATCCTTTCTGCAGTTTTCAACTGAATACAGCAAGCGGCATGGCTTTGTTCATCAGGAGGTAGAACCCATTTATGTTAAAGGAGTGATGATACAGTCCCTACCACCTTCTTTGGCCAAGTATTTTGCCCATGTTGAAATCCCACCAGAATGTCTTCTTGAGTTTGTTCACATGGGTGGTGACATTGCTCGACACTCTGTGACATCCACTGCTTTCCCCTTCCGCACTGCTCAGTATAGCTATTATACATATGGCAGGTTTCATAACCCAGCTCAGAGAGAGGAGGTTCTTAAGTTTGCAACAACAACCTACAACGCAGTCAGAGAATCTGGCTGTGCTCTTGGCAGTTATGTCAACTACATGGATCGCCACCTTAAGAACTGGGGTAAGAATTTTTATGGTGTGAATTACCCTCGTCTTTGTGAGATCAAGGACAAATGGAATCCCATAGGGCATGGATCCTTGCATTTCCAGCAGGAGGTTGGTTCCTCATGGGAGCCTTGACTTTTTCCTTTTTTTTGATAGAATGAATGTGCCCTAAAAATGTAGAATTGCAAGCAAAAAGGTGAAAAGAAAAAACCAGTCTCAGAGCAATTTTCCCCTATAGTTGAATGTTAGCTGATACTCTGGAAATTTCCTTTGCCCTCCTTCCCCCCCCCACTGATTTCCAGCAGTTATGTTCTTTTATTTCAAGTTTTCCCTAAATATAACAATGTTCTTAAAACAATTTTTATTCCACTTTGGAAAGACCAAGAAACTTTAAGTTTTATGAGTACAGTCAAAGTTGGATCAACTGTAACTGTAAAAAATCAGACTTACAGACTGTAAAAGTTATAGGTGAATAAAGAAGTAATAATAAAGTATAAATGTTAATACATTAATAAAGTCTGAAAGTTTTGGACAGCATGAATCAGGTTTTGGGGGATATGGCTTCGGTTCAGATGACTTTCAAGTGACTTGACAGTAAATTGGATCAACTCTTCACCCCTGAGAGTGACCAGCATCTAATTTCTCCTTACAATATCACCCTTGAGTCACACATAAAGATCATGAGAAATAAGTAAATGATCACCAATGATAGAAGCTCCAGATTGTTAAACAAATTTGCCTTGTCAGCACCTTATAAAGGAATGAATAAAGGAAATGGAGGGGGGTACTGAGGAAAATCTACTTTCGTTTTCGTCACCCAAGTTTTCCATCACTCAAAGTTTCCTCATGTACCTTTTCCGGAGGGAAAGCATGGGAACTAACAAAATCCGACCCATGATCCTTTCAGCGCGTCATTTCAACATGGCGTCAATTTATGAATGAGTCGCTGTCGAACGGCTTTCACCGTTTTTCTAAAATTATTTGAAAGAGATCAGAACGTCGTCACAGGTAAAGTACACCTTTGAAAATATCCACTTCTTGTGCCCGAACTTTTGAATAGGAAGGATCAAGAGATATCGAGCTAATCAGCCTCTACCCGAGCGTATGACTTAACACATGCGAGCGGTGAATTCGAGAAGCTTTTGCTGCGATATGAAACACGCCAAAGTTTTTAATGTGTATATACTAAAATGAATTGATATAGCCTTCTACGCTACTTAGATCGTCATATGAGCGATTTCATAGCCACAGGAGTAATATAATTATGCTTTTTGTCATCATGCACATGCATATTGTTTGACTATTGTACTAGCACTCTTTATTTATGTTAAAACTGCTCGTCGGCATTGCGGAAGTATTTAGAATGATAAGAATGTCGTCACTTTTTTCATATAGCAATTAGATCATTAACTAAGTAATCTACAGATTATTATCCTGAATCTTGATAACTGCCTAAGGTTATAGGTTAATTTTGAAGGTCAGCTTTGAGATGCATGTGTCTTTTATCATTCGTCATGTACACTGTAGTCTCAATGGTTTAAATTTTCCTTTGTTTTCAAATTTTTAAACCAGCATGATTCTGAAACAAAAATACTTTGCCCTAAATCTTTTGTCATTATTTAAGGCATGGCATGACATTGTTTCTTTTTTAGGGGTTTCTAGGAGGGGTTTTACTTGGTTAAGACATTCTTTCTATGACACCAACCTTCCTATTTACTGGGCTACTTAAGAACTTAGACTCATGAACCTTTAATAGTTCATTTGACTCAATTACATAAACTCCTAGTGACTTCTGAAAGACTGGTACATTCTCCCTCCAAAGTTGTCTTGATTTCCTTTGTGAAACAGAGGAAGTTGTAATGGTGCATTGAAAGTCACCGAGGGTCTTGCTCAATGCCATTCTCAAATTGTGTTTATTATTTTGATTGCAGGTTTAAAGGGGAAAAATCATGTCATCTTTGACTCCAACAAATGCTTTTCCAAATCCCCCAGTGCCCATTCCTCGACCACCTGGGAGGGCAGGGAGAAGTACTCCTCGTCGAAGTTCTTCTCGGTCTATTAAACGAAAAAAGTTTGATGATGAGTTGGTGGAGAGCAGTCTTAAGAAGGTGTCCAAACAAAGAGGTGATGTCGTTGTCCTGGAAAAAGAAATACAGAAAAGAACTTTGGTAAGGTCAGGGTTGAAGATTAGAGCCAGTAGTTGGCAAAGTATGCCAGCTTCTCTGCAAGGTTTCACCAGCTACTTTCATTGCTTTGAGAGCCCGTACAGAGATGATGTTTATCAGGTCTAAACTTGGGCTCAATAAAAATATAAATTTGCACTGCCTATCTTTTCTGAAAACATAAAAAGACTTCTGACTCAAGGTTAGTTTAAAAATGTTCTGATGGGGACTGTCTTTTTGATAAATCTTGCTGTGGTGGCAGGAAAGTACAAACGATATGACGTTTTGTCCACCATATTGGATTTTGAGACCCACAACCATTTACCTTTAAAAAAGCTCCGGCTACTTAAAACCTTAAAGAAAACCCTGAAGGTACAAAAGTGTAACTGTTGTTGAATTCAGTCAAAGGTGGATGTGGATAAAGTGGACTATAAAATAGAAAATCACAATATTGGCAAATGTACAAAAGCTTTTGGATAAAAAAAAATGTGTCTGGCAATTTGATTGCTTTGTTCAAGGGGATTTAAAGCTCCTTACTGCAAGTTCTTCTTGCTTCACTGTTCATTTATACTTCATTTGAAATAGTGGCCTGCTTCAGGTTAGGTAGACATCTAGCTGAAGTCCTATTGATAGCCTTAATAGAACCAAACCACATCATTCTTAACACTGCTGTTACAAAATCCCATCGCTCACCCCTGTTCTAGCAAATTAATTTTATTCTGCCTTGGCACTTGATCACAAAATTAAAGCACCCTTCAAATCAACAGAGGCAAACTTTGGTCCAGACCAAAAAATTGCCCCAGCATATTGATTGATCCTTTGTATCGGTTTCTTCATTGAAGGGAAACCTCTTCAAAGGTCACTTTTACTGGTCCAATGGTTGTCCCTCCCACCCCCAATGGATTTTCCTTTAAATAAGCTTTCTTTTTTTTTATCCTTTGCATTGTTCACTTCATTGAAGAGACACCTCATTTCAAGGGACACTATAAGTAGTCATGAGGCTGTCCCCCCAATGAAGTTTCCTTTGCATGACCTTTTTATAGTTTACCTTCATTGAGGAGAAAACCTCTGTTCAGGGGACACTGTTAGTTCCAGGAGTGTCCCCTTGATTCAAGTTGTCTCCTGTACTAAGACTTCTTTTATGTGAATTTTTTCAGCCCACAGGTAAAGGCTCCTCAAGGAAACAGAGAAAAAGCAAGGTTAGTATCATAAGTATTAATCATATCATCATATAATTAAATTTAAATATTTTGATACTGCAGGGTTACTCGTGGGAGTGAAAGTATTAATCTTTTAACCCCTAAGAGAGACCAGCCTCTAATTTCTCCTTACAATATCACACCTGAATCAAACATTAGGGTGATGAGAGTAAAGGAAATGATCACCAACTAAAGAAGCTCTTGATTGTTAAATAAATTCTCCTTATCAGCTCTTTAGGAAGTATATAAAGAAAAGTATGGAGAATATTTCTACTGATGTTGGGGTTACCTATGACAGGACTGGCATCCCATCCAGGGGGGTAACAAAGCCCTTCGCCACTTCATACTTCTGAAACTGGTATAAACTCAGGCAATTAGCCCACCAGGGTTGCACAGACTTAACCTTTTGCCTTTCTGTTTCTTCTTTCATGAGAATGTAAATGACTTTTGTATGTGTTTTTCACCCTTTTGAGATTCACATCTAAATTCTCCTCACAATGTGAGAATCAAATTAACAAATAGAACCAAGGAAATGATCACCAACTAAAGATACTCTTGATTGTTAGAAAACTTCTCCTAGTAAGCACCTTAGTAAATGTACAGAGAACAGTATGGAGAATATGATTACTGATGTTAGAGTGTAAAGGGTTAAAATGCTGTTTGGTCATTTTGTATTTGGTTTTTGGTATCATAATGAAAAATTGTTATTCATATCAACAGAACCCTCAAGTGAATAAAGACTTTGGAAGATGGAGACCAGCAGATGATCTTGCCCTCATTACAGGAGTTCAGCAGGTAAAACTGACAAGCATTGTGGAGGGGAAACCTACAGTAAGATTAACCCTTTAACTCCCAGATCAAATTTGTAACTCTCCTTACTGTCAACCATTCAATTCTTTATAATGTTAGTTCAGAGAATTTAGTATTGGATCAACTAATTATCCCCAAATTGATTGTTTTCTGTATTCTCATCACTTCTCTGTTTGATGTTGTATTGATATTGTAAGGAGAAATTCTGTCTTGGTCACTCATGAGAGTTAAAGGGTTAATGGTTATCTGGGAGTTCAAGTTCAGCCAATCCAATTTTAAAAAATCATCCCCATTGCTATCAGTTTGCCCCTAAATCTTGCATCTTGTTTACTTATGAAAAGCAGTGAAGACTCGCAGTTGGGGTGGAACTTCCATAAAGCACTGTAAGAGAAGTGAACTTAAGACAGGGGTTAAGAGGAATTTAAAGGGAGGGGAAACAGAAAGGAAGTTAAAATTACACCTGAAGGGATTGAAAACAGAAAAGAAGAAAATAAAAAGTATTGTTTTTACAAAAATTACCCCAAGTATTTAAAAATGTTTTGATAATAGTTAAATTTGGGATCAAAATAAAATTGAAATATTGCTTGATTTTATTGATATTGTAAGGAGAAATTCTGTCTCGGTCACTTGTGGGAGTGAAAGGGGTTAACCCTTAAGCCCTTAAGGGTGACCAGCATCTACTCCTCACCTCATCACTGGTGAATCAAACATAAAGATTTTGAGAAAAAAGAGATGATCCCCATCTAAAGAGGCTCTAGGTTGCTAAAGAAATTCTCCTTGTCAGTGCCAAAATAAATATACAGAGAATAGTATAGAGGATATACAGACTTATGTTTGGTTGTACAGGGTTAAAGGACCACACCCACCAGGAAAATTACATAAAGCAGTAGTCTTAACTTTGATGGACATATACATCTGCAGTCACATGTATCCAATACAGTGATAATATTCTTTTCTAGACAAACGATCTGACAGCTGTTTATCTTGGGATAAAGTTCTCTTGTCGATTCACTCCAAAAGAAATTCAAGAAAGATGGTATCAACTTCTTTATGACCCAGTAGTGTCAAGGTTTGTGGTATTCTTTGTCTTCCACAAGATCTTAAACTTATGGCTTCAAAGGAAGTTGACAGTCTTGACTCAAAGCTCCTTTCTTGAGTCTTTAAACTTTTAGAATCAAGAATCATGTTTCATGGCTGGAGTGGCAATTTTTCAAGAATCAAGATGCTTGAAGAATTTTTCAAGGATCTCAATCTGCAGTTTTTAAGAGAAGGATTTGATGATCAAACGCATAAAGAATAGCTTGCACATATGAAATGTTTTCATTTCACACAAGACTCAAACTCCAGGCAAGCCCTTTCATAGAGTTAATGTTAGATTTTAATGTGAGCACAAGCTGTACACATATACGTATGTGTCATGGTTCAAAGGATTCTTTGCTTCTCTCTTCAGTTGGCACTTAACATTGAAAAATTTCATCATTATCTATGGAATTGATTGAGAAATTTCATCATCATCTGTGGAATCTATTGAGAAATTTCATTATTATCTGCAGAATCCATTGAGAAATTTCATCATTATCTTTGGCATCCAATCACAGGTTGGCCACTACTGCTGTCAAACAGCTTCCTCCAGATGTCATTGCTGCAGCACAGAACAATGCACTGTGGAATAAAGAAGAGGAACTTATCTTGGCAAATGTGCCAGCAGTAAGCAAGAGTTACACAATTACTGTGCATTTAACCCTTTAAGCCCTTTAAAGAGTGACCAGCATGTAATTTCTCCTTACAGTAATACTACTGAGTCCTTCATTGAGATCATGAGAATCAAGGAAATGATCGTCAATCTAAGAAGCTTTGATTATTAAACCAATTCTCCTTGTCAGTAGCAAAGGAAATGAATGGAGAAGAGTATGAAGAATATGGATACTGATGTTAGGGTGTAAATTGTTGCAGTTTGTGCATCATGAAAAAATTTAATTTTGTGATCCATTGAAATTGTCTTCTTTTAGCTACAATTGTTTCTCCTTTTGATATAGCCTTTTTCACATTCCTCTTTGTTGTCAAACAAACATTATTTACATGTTGTCTCTTTAAAGTTGAAGTTAATTTTGAACAGCACATTAACAACTTTGGAATGAATTCCAGTTGTTGTGGTGATCTTAAAGTGTAACTGTTTGAAACTTTTACCCTAAAAAGGTATCCTGATAGTTTTTACAAAAAAATGTCTGTGCTTTTCTCTTTTAGAACAGCCCAGCTTCTTTAGAATTATTCCAAGGTTTGTTGGATAAAAACCCCTCAGTTTTTCACCAGTGTCGGTCAGCTAAGGCACTAAGAAATCACTGGCTTCTGATGCGCCAATATCAACTCCTCTCTGATCAGACAGGTAATAATGTATAAATAAAAAAGTAATTCAGTCAGCTTGTCAGCCACCCAGTCATTAATGTTTTAGTCAATTAGGTACTTAGCTAGGCAGTCATCATGCAGTTGGTCTTCCTCCCAGTGAGTCTATCAGTCTGTTGATCAACCATTCAATTATTCAGTCATCAAGTCTGTCTGTCAGTCAGTCAGACTGTGCTCCAGTCAGTCCTCATGCTGTGAGTCAGCTGGCCTGTCAGTTAGTTAATCAGTCAGGCGGCCAGTTAGTTTTCAGTCATCAGTCAACAAACCATTAGACAGTCACTCAGTTAGTCAGTCAGTCAGCCAGTATCCCAGATTGACTTTCTAAACCTGACGGTTAAGATTGACATCACAAGCCAGCCAGTCATTTCATAATCATATTTATGGCACAAGTTCAGTTTTATGTGAAAGGCCATTCAGTGTCCCTCTTTCTTCAGTTTCCACAGCAGAGCATGCAGTGAGTTTTTCTGATGCCGAAGAACAGATTAACGACGCTGAACTCTCGTAAGTACACGTACTGTGCTTGCAGATTATTGTACGGATAAAAAATCGATACGTAGTTTCTGTAGTCAAGACCGTTGTTTCTTTTGTCACGCAACACGCTACCTCCCTCATAGAGTGCGTTATGTGATATGTCGTGTGAAGAAACCAAACAACGACTATGAAAAAGACTTCTTTATTATGGATTATTAGAGTTTTTCCTAGAGAGCCTGGTAGAGACATTTCATTTGTTTTCTGACTGCTTATTTGATTGTCATCTCCTTTTCAATTTGAACAGAGAAACCAAGGACGATAACCTAGAACAGGAACTTTCATTGGCCGACAGACGAAACAAAAGAGAGATACGTATGTTAGAAGGGGAGATTCCGTTGTGGCAAGTTATCGTGGAAAAACTCAATGCAGCCAGTAAGACGATGCTTAAGTATTCTTTAATTGCACCCTAACAGTTGCAGAGTAGAAACAACCTACCGGTTTGTGCATTGAACTCCAGTGGTCGAAAAGTCCTGATGTTGGCTCTGGTTGGGTCATTGTGCTGTATTCTTGGACAAGACACTTAGTTCTCGTAGTCCTTTTCTCTGCTCAAGAATTTCAATGGTTACTCGCGAAATATCACTATAGTTCTTAAAGATACTCCTCTTCTTCCCTGCACTTAGTATTTATCACGTTTTTTTTAACAATTTGCTAGGCCCAATTATTCTCTAATGCGAAGTCTCGAGCAAGAACTTACAGTGAGATAGCCGCTATCTGGGGTTTAAACGTGGACTCCTACGGCCGGTTCACGAGGTCTAACTCGAACCACGGTTTTACGCAATCAGTGGGCCTCAGGTTTTCTCTATTAGAGGGTTGATTTTATTAGGTAAATGTCCTTCCATTGTCAGCTTTCGACCTACTTGACACTGTTCACATAAATAAATGTTCATATGAAAGGTCTAGGTGAATTTAGGACTGCTTAGGACACGGTTTTGTTTAACAATGGCTGAATTTTGATCAAATAACCGTCCCTTAGTCTTAAGACCAACATGCTATGCCAACATGCCATCACGAGTTCCAGTGCTGGAGACTGGTACCGAATAGTCTGTCCGTGTCCACCTTCCCGTCAGAGCGTTTGTCCCTTTTTTTTATAATGATTAACTTTATTAGCAGCACCCTCAGTGGCTGCTAATATATTGTCATCTCTTCTCAGCGGGAGCCACCACAGTCACGCCAGCCAGCGAGTTTGATTCCCACACACTTGCAGTGTTGAGAGGGCGACTGGTCAGATACCTGATGCGCTCCAGAGAGGTAAGTGGTAGAGCGGCGTAAGACTTTTTCTGATAAGTAATGGCGTGGGTCACTGTAGCACTTGTCGTTCACTCCTTAAATCATGGTCACTTGCGGAGCAGTTTTCAAGAAATAGGCATAAAACCAAATGTTTAGCAGTAACAACCGCGTAACCTCTATAAAATACAGCGATGAAAATGCTTTTTTTACCCAAGGTTTCTCCACTCTGCACATTAATGGGACTTGTTTCCCTTTGGTTGTGAGTGCAACCCATGCGTGCTCTTCTCTCTGTGATTGGTCCAGAAAACTCACGCCACTCTCTCAACCAATAAGATGCAATAAAGATGCAATAAAGATGCAGTTTCCCGCGCTTTAGACAGTTTGCTTGTTTTCATGTTGAGTTCTCATTGGCTCTTAAAGGTATTTTCCTTCCCTTAGATTGGCAGTCGTGATTATTTTGGTTTTTGCTTTTACGACACTCAATCGAAAAGCGCTCTAAACAGCTAATCGTTGGGTGGCTTGCTAGTTGGAATTTTAACCTATCCACTCCCCATTAAGTCAATTTGTTTGTGTGGTTACCATGTCTTAAATTATTGCACAAATTAGCTAATTTCGTCAACACACTTATAGGGGTATTTATTTTGTTTGGCTACAGATTACCGTCGGAAGATCTACCGCTGACAATCACGTTGATGTTGATTTGTCCCTAGAAGGACCAGCATGGAAAATATCAAGGCGACAGGTAAGCGTTGCGTAGAAAATGGAACTCTTATATGATGTTAAAGTGAAATGATCATCAGTTTTTTAAGAATTCCCGCTAAGAAGACAACCGGACCGGCGCGACGCGGGCAATTGGCGTACACGCAGTGACGCGCGCGATCAATGCGTTGTGATTGGTAGTCTTTTATTGGCCAGTCGCATTTGTGTGAAAGTTTTTTGCCAATTTTGTTTCGAAGAATTGTTTTGTAACCACCTACGAACAATAACTTAAATACCACATAATAATGCGTTTTGGATAAGAGCGCTTTTCGATTGAATGTTGTGACACCAAGTATTTAAAACTGCCAATCAGGTCTAAAGTAAACAACGCAGAGAACGAATAAGAACTTAAAAAATTATAGATATTTATATTACCTCCTTCAAGCGCGGGAAACTACGACGCGGGTCGCCAAGTCAATTTCGGTTGAAATTTTGAACCGGATTCGCCGAGAAAGTGACGCAAGTTTTCTCCACGAATCATGAAGTGTAGAAAAGCAAAATCGATGCATTCTTAGATTCCTTTTGGCCCTCAATGTAAAATTGGTCCAACACCCTTAGCTTTATCAAGTCACCTGAGTTTCAGGTAACTCGAAAAAGGTGCAAAAATCAAGTGGATCCAAGAAAATTCATCCTTCGGAAAGTCCTATTGAGGAATAAGTTGTTGTTTTAATTCACAGGCGGTAATCAAGCTTCGTAGCGATGGTGAGTACTGTGTCATCAACGAAGGTCGGAGGCCGCTGTACATAGATGGCAAGCCCGTCGTCATTGGCGCGAAAGCGAGGCTCCACCATAACTCCACTTTTGAGGTACCGTCAAATGTGTTTAATATGTAGATTTATGTGAACAGCAGACAAAAAAATTTGGATTTCTACCGTCTGCTTTGCATTTGTTGTGAATAGTAGGCTTTTGACTGTTTTCCCGTTCGATCTCTTCAAGTATTGTATCATAAGTGTTAAGTAAGCCAAATCAGAGATTAATTTAGTTTACATTGCTGGCTGTTTTGTGGGATTTTTATACGGTAGAGCCCTGGAAATGAGCGGCAAGGCCGCAAGAGGACTGGGAAAGTCACGGCAGAGCTTCCATTTCTTGGAGCGCCCGAAGAAAGCACCAGCTGCGCAGCTAATTTTAACATTCGTGTTTGTTTCAAAGGTAGCTTTTTATCCGTCGTTTGTTTACTTGCCTTTCAAATCACGACGACCAAAGAGGAAGAAAGAAGTCGTTTGTTAGATCCTCAATCGGATATTAAAATAGGATATTGATTGTTTTGCAAGGTTCCGAATAATTCTTCTTTTTTTTGCGATGAGCAAATTTGCCTTTGACGTTATGGGAAGCAGAAAAAATTTTAGTTTGGTTAGAGAGAAAAACACCAAAGAGGTAGCATTTAACAAAGAAGGAGCAAAGATGATATAGGACTGAGGGAATTCGGCGGAGATGACGCAGTTGCTTTTGATAGGTAATTAATTAAAGGGGACATCCTCGTGACTGCTTGTCAATCTTATGGCAATTTATTGGAAAATCTTTGTCAAACTTTAGGCTAAACACACGGAGACGCCGACAAATAGCTTTGTTTTTCATTACAAGGTTAGATAAAGCTACTGAGGCTGCGCCTTTTAGAACAGCTGTGTTTACGGTATAGCAGAGAGTCATCTCCCCAGATAGGAACTCGATTAAGATAGTGTCCTTAGGCTAAACAGGTGTTTTTTTTTGTAGTTGCAAGTGAAAAATTGACTGTAGTTTCGCTTGTAACTCATTTTTTGTTGTGTACTCGAAGCAATAAGAGAAGTGCGATAAGAAGGAGGTTTTTAATTGTACATCTATAGTTAGAAAGCTTTTCCTCAGTCTTTGGGTCTGGATCAAAATATGCCTTCGCCCAGTAATGGCTCATATTTTTTAACGAATGACACGTTCGCGTACCGGCCAGTAACAGCAACGACGGTGCTCTTTTCGTTTATGATAACTATCGGAGCACCAGGGAACATACTTCTTTTGCTAGCGATAGGTCGCCGTCAGCCGTCGAGAGCCCCATATTTCTATATGCTTTTCTCTATCGCCTTGGCAGACCTAGGAATGGCTATGATTGCAGCCCCTCAGCGAATCATGGAGAATTATACAGGTTGGCCTTTCGGAAGTTTCATGTGCAAATTCCTTGTTTCCATTCAAGAGCTTTTCGTCTCCGTATCAGTCATGACTCATACGACGATAGCGCTGGAGAGGTACCGGACAATTCAACAGCCCTTTAACAAACGAATTAACCAGAGAACGGCAAAGTTTTTGGTAGCTTTCATTTGGTTAGGCTGTTACGTGTCTGCGGCCTTACCCCAAGCTGTTATACTTGAGCTCTATAGAGGACCTGATGGCAGAGTTTACTGCACTCCGGAGTTCCCATCGGATGAATTCCGCCGCGTGTACGAAGTTTACCTCGTCGTGTTGTTCATCACGGTTCCTCTATTCATACAGTCGTGGTGTTACGTGAACGTATTCATTGTCGTTAACCGAGAACTAAAACGTGCCTCCGAAGGAAACGCTAACAGAAAGGACATTCTGAAACGAATCAAGAAAAAGATTCACGTGGTGAAAGTCCTGGTGTGTCTTGTTGCTGTTTTCCAGTGTTGTTCAATTCCTCGCGGTGTTTTGATGCTGATAAGGGAATTCGAAGATGATGTCGCAATGGCAACGAACCAGGTTTTCCTCTCCGCTGACGCCGTTTGCCTTTTTGCATATTATGTTAAGCATACGGTGAACCCGGTTATTTTGTGGAGTACAAGTAAAGAGTTTCGATTGTGCTGAAGAAAGTTGTCATATTATAACAGACACGTTGAACTACACACTCATACCGATTTCAACTCATTTTTGCTGTGGATGTTTTTCACATAAATTGAAACGAAAACCACAATGCTTAGAACACCGTTCTTAGTTTTTTCTTTACAGGGGCGGCGGGGGGTAAGGTGTTCCCATTATGCTGGTAAAGAGGGTTTGAGTTGTAAGGTATTTGGTGACCTAAAATCATGATATGATCGCCAGAAACACTTAACAAATATAGAAGCCTTGATTGTGCTCTGTTCTGTTTTAAAGCGGCGGGAAGCGGCTAGAGCACGAAAGAAGTGTAGGGAAAAACACGAGACGCTCTTCCAACCAATGGCAGCGTGTGTTATATGCGAACTTTATTAGTATAGGTAACAACATGATTTCGAGTGCAATTTGTTGTTATATCATAGCTCTGTCTCGATTGAGATAGACCTTTTGGAGCTCAAAATGAAAATAAAACATGCTAAATGATACTCGTTTCGAAAAACAATGACCATGTAGTTCTTTCAAGCGAGGAAATTAGTATTGGAGTTGACGATACTTCATTCCCAAACACGATGCGAATTAGAGCTGAAAGCAAAACTAAGCTTTCTGACTTCAACTGAGGCTTTGCGGCGACCTTGGGTAATCTTCATTAAACGGTAAATATTTGCGTGCACTTAAATTGTTGCGTTTCGACATCATCATTCCCAAAGAGGGGTCTTCTGAAATATACCTTTTACTCTTCCTTTTTTGGTCAAGCTCTCAAGACTATATAACATGTGGAAAACGGAATAGATGTTGCAGTTATTTGCATTTGGCAGAAAAATTTTGTTACCGGCCGCGCTTCAAAATGCCTTGAATCTTATTTCATCTTTGTTTTGTTAGTGATTGCTTCTTTTTTTCCTCTTCCTTATCAAACTAACACTGTATGCTTTCCTTTAAGTCAAAAGTTGATTTTGCTCATCGTAAAAAAAAACATAAATCATTAGAACCCGGCGAAACTATTGATATCCCATTTCTGATTCTGATTCAAGATCTAACTAACTACTTCCTCCTTCCTGGTTGTTATGGTTTAACCTTTTAACTCCCAGAAGTGATGAACATGTAACTTCTCTCAAAAATATCCATACATTATGCAGCAAACAGGTAATGAGAACTCTAAAATTTACTAGGGATAAGTTTTTCTATCTTCATCTGACACCAAATTCTTGTAACTAATTTACTAGAAAATGTGCAGCTGCTAAAGAGGAGAATTAATAATCAAAAAAAGGGAGTGAAAAAACAAGGAAACAAAAGATATTAAAAAATAATTCAAATAGTACGCGCGCTCTGATTGGCCATAAAACCATTTTACATGAGTGTATGTAAATACGGTTTTCGTTCCTCTTTTATTAGTTATTTTATAAAAGAAATGTAAAATGGTTTCCGTGTTTACATAGCCTGATGTAAACACGCGGGAGGTTGGGAGAACACTCGATAAGCTGGAAACCACTCCGCTTTGCCTCGTGGTTTCCTACGCTTATCTCGTGTTCTCCCAACCTCCCGCGTGTTTATATTAGGCTATGTAAACACGGAAACCATTTTACATTTCTCCAGTCAAAAAGTCATCTTTGCAGTCAACACGAACGCGAAAAATTAATCTTGACTTAACGCAGCTGGCGATTTTTTTGGGCGCGCGATGAAAATGAGGTTAAATGAAGGATTAAATTTAATTACAAGCTTTTTTTTTTTTGACTGCGTTTCAACCCATTTAATGCTACATTAGCTACCACAAATTCATTTGGAAACCAAACAAAACGAAATGCTGGCAACCAAAATGATTTGAGAGAGAGAGAAAAGAGAAGATAATAAAGTTATTGTTCGGCTTGATTTGCTCTAAAATACTTCACTTAAAAGAAAAAAAAAACTTTCCAACTGGTAAAACAAAATATATTCATGAAAAATGGCAACGAAGCTAAGGTGAAATCGGGGACTCACGACACTGTTACCGTGCCCGTTGGCAGAGTTAGGAAAATCCGGACCACGCTAGGAACCAATCAGATGGCAGGATTTGTTACCGTGTCCTCTCTACTTTAACTTTACTTTATCCCCGAGTTTGAATTAAAAGTTGTGAGCACATGGCCTTGATGATAAAGTTCTTGAATATTCAGCTCTTTTGATCGTAGATTCACTTTTTCTTTTACAGATTTGTGGTCTTCGCTTCGTGTTCCTGATAAACCAAGATCTTCCGGGAGCCACAAAGGAAGTTAAACAACCGACACCAGCCCAGCAAGGAAAGGTTGCGTAAAATTACGTTGAAAGTGCTTCCGGACACCAGCGATGACCTGGAGCTTCATACTCGTCGAAAGTTGCTTTCAAAACACAACTTACATTTATCTGTCATATCACCAGATGTAGAAAACACCAGAAAATATTTATATTCAACGACAATATCCGCCGTGGAGTCTTGCATCGTCGTCGATACATAGGAACGTTTCGTGCAAGAGACGAGAGGGTAACACGAACATTCCCGAACTAGCTAGAGGTTCGGCGCGCATCGCACACACAAGTGTGACGTGGGGAGAAATATATCACTTCTTAATTTAATCAAGATTGTAAATTTGTAAAATGTTTTATTTGAGGTAAACTCGACATTTTATGATACATACATTCGATTGTATATAAGGGTAGAGAAATAAGGAATGGTATAATAAAATTTCACCGAGCTCTCGTTCGTTTTTTAATGTTTTCTTAACTACGTGTTGTTTTAGATGTTTCTTCTAACCTTTGGCAGAGTAAACCTTGAGCCACTTTTTTAAAATAATTTTGACCGATGAATAAAACCAAATTTTTGGATTCCTGAAATTCTATATGAGTTAAAAAGCTAACTGCTGAGGATTTTTCCCTTCATAGGAATGAAGGGGGCTTCGGCGAAGAAACTTGCTATTTGTTGCTATTTGGCGACCTCAAATCATGAGATTGTCGCTAGAAACATTATTCGTTAAGGGAAAGAAAAAAAAAATGTTTGATCTGTAGGATATTATATCAAGCACTAAAATGCTGACCACACCTGATGTTTCTGTAAGAAACATTTTGGTTTGCTGTCGCTGCCAGTAGTGTTGGTTTTTGGAGGTTCATGCTTCATCTCAAGGCAGACAACAAATAATTCTCCTTTCTCTCCTGAGAATAAACCTCCTATAGCCTCAGTGATCTCGTTCTTGTTGAATTGTTTTAGTCTATGGAAGTTTCGCCCAATTGCAAATTCGCCCCAATCAAAATGAATTCGCGAATTCGTCTTTTAAGACGTTTTGTCAGGAAACGAGGTGAAAGATTGGGGGCGACCTGAGATAGAAGGAGGCGAATCAGTTATATTAGATGGGGCGAACTTGTTGAGGTTGAGGTGAACCAGTAGGGGGAGAATTTGAAGTGCATAAAGTAGTAGTGTGAGGGTAAGCAATGTTTGTATTTCTGTGGTGTTTCCCGCGCCTTCCACTCAGAAAGACTGGAACGAGACTGACATTTTTTTTTCAAACATGTATGCTTTCTGTCAATCACTCCTAATAAGGAAGTGCGAGAATTCGAACTCGATACCAACATTCCATTACGCTATCGTGTCACGCTTATGGAAGCGTTTCTCGTTTCCTAGCAGCTTCTGATATTGCTTTCCTTGGTTTATGATCATAATCATTCATAAATATTGGATGGATCTTCAGGACATTTTAATTGGAAGAAGTCTTGTGGTTTGTTTGCACGCTCTTGGCAGTTAAGGATCACATAAACATCGCTTGTGATTTGCTCGTCGTAAGGTCAACCTTTGGAATAATTTTCCTAATTAGGATTCTCTTTAACTGCACGAAGCTTTCTATCTGTACTGACAGGAAAGGATACGCTAAGGAGGATGAACTGCGAAAGGAAATTTCATTGGCGTTAAACATAACCATATATCCATGATATGATGGACTGGAGCGACGACTGTGCTCTCACACAGTAATTAGTAAGGCGCGAGATACAAAACTGTTTACAGTTCGCGGTTCAAAAGTTTGATCAGGATTTTCTTTTACATCGACTTGGACATACAATTATGTCTTATATTCCTCCACCAACACCGACCTTCGAAAAAGACAGGATAAGAGCGTTGAAAAATGAACGAATCAACTCTCAAAAGAAAACTTTCACTAAGTGGGTTAATTCCTTTCTTGACAAGGTGAGTTTATCTCGATATGATCTTGACATGTGCAAAGCCTCCACCGGAATATTTGAATACCAATTTTGTTGATAGTAATTTTACCTCTTCTATTTAGGAATTAATTTTACATGTTGAGCGTGCCGAAGGGAATTTTTTTTGTCGCAAGAGGTCTTCTTCAAAGCTATATTTTGATCTAGCTTTAAAGAACTTTCTAGTATAAACAAGCTGAACTTTTTAAACATGGCATAGGTGTTCTCTGACAAGTTTGCCTTGACTTGTTTTCACTTGCGAAGTTACAAGGCACTAAGTATGGAAGGATATGGGGAGCTTTAGAAGTCTCCTTGTCTCAGTCTGTCATTACTTGGGCAAAATTTTTCTTACTCTCCACATCCTTTTATCCCTCCCAAAAATAGTAAGTATCAGTTGGCATCCTTGGAAAAATTAAACCCAAAAAGTTTATTTTATTTTCAGCACCTTTGCAAAAGATATTTGTGGGGCTACATTTCATGTATTTCTTTTCAGATAAAATCCCTCTTTAACCCTCTTCAAGACCATTAGAATATGTTATATCAACCTCAACTTTCATGTTTAAACAAAATGTTTAAATTTAGATTTTCAACAGCTATAATCATTCAAGTCTTCTCATTCAGAAAAAAGTATACCCTCCTTTGGAGCACATACCTGTCAAAGCTAAGGGAGGTTGGGACCCCCTCCCTTGGGGTTTTGCCATTTGAACCTTTACACACTAACGCCAATGCACAAATTCTCAATACTATTCCCCATATATTTTCTAGGTTATTAACAGAGAGAATTTTCTTTACAATCAAGAGCTTCTTAAGTTAAGGATCATTTCTTCTATTCTCTTGACCTCAACATTTGATTCATTGTTGTGTAAAGAGAAATTACATGTATTTACTGCACAAGGTGCTCTTTGGGCTTGAATGGTTAAAGCCACATCCAAATGTATCTGTTTTCATTTGAAAACGCAGCTGTTTTCTATGGATATGGCTTCTGTCCACAAGTATCCAATAAAAATGATTACTGATAATGGAACTTTTAAAAAACTCTCTCTGGAGTGGAATTTTTGAAAATGCTGCTTTCATGTGTATGTCAAACTATCGGTTCAAATCCAGTCCATGCAAATAACAGTGAATACGTATGTGTCAAGCATGGAAAGTTGGGTTATTGTTTAAAAGTTATCATTTTCAAATCAATCCATTGTGTACATGTGGACGGTGAAAACAATGCATTTGACATGAATCTTGATTTGTTCTAGCACAACAGCCATGTAGATGACCTATTCACTGACCTATCTGATGGCAGATTATTAATTTCTCTTCTTGAGATTATTTCTGGTGAAAAACTGGGAAAAATTGGTAAGACAGCTAATTTTTAATACATAATTTTCTGGAGTTTACTTCTCAATACAATGTGTAAACATAATCATTAAGTGGGTTAAGTGGCTAAGATCAAACTCTCTGAACTGATAAACAAAGTAAATGTAATGTTGTCAATAGTGGTGACTGATATTTTGACAACCTGAGCAGAAGGTATCATCAGATTCAAGTGACTAGTTGTTGTCAGTCAGATGTTCTAAGAACAAATTTAAACAAGTTTATACAAATTTAAACAAGTTAATATAAACAAGACTTAGAGAACTTTTGACAGACATAACTATTTGCTTAACTCTGATTATGCCTTCTGCTCGGATTATCATCATTACCGACAACAGTCCTTCTCAGGATTACACTCACCTGAGTAATCAGACTACACTATCACATGTTATACCCAGGTTCAGATCATTTACTGTATTACATGTGATGTCTATAAAATTGAGGGGAGAATTTCTAACTAAATCATTGAAGTTTGAGGGTCAAGGTCTTAGTTGGAAATTATCATTAGTTCATTTGCTACTGTTCATTACAACTTACCACTGAATACTTTGTCCTTGCAGCTCGTGGAAAGCTTAGGGTGCATAAGATTGAAAATGTGAACAAAGCCCTTGAATTTCTACAGCGCTCTGTAAGTCTGATTCCACAGAACTTTCATCTCCTGTTTGATAACATTATGGATATTATATGTGATATTTTCTTTATATTTATGCTGTAAATGCAGGTGAAGCTTGAGAGCATTGGAGCAGAAGATATAGTGGATGGCAATGAACGTTTAATCCTAGCTGTGATTTGGATGATTATTCTGCGATTCCAAATTGCAGATATTTCCTATCAGGTATAATGATATATTTAAATATTCACAAAACAATAGAACCCTCCCTCATTTCTGTACTGCATGCAGTTAGAGTTTTTTATAGATCTTTACATACAAAGATAAAAGATTATTGTCATGTACATCAAATAAAATTCACCGTGTATTTTTGAAATTTTGAGCAGTTAAGTTGTTTCCTAAATGGAGGTAACTCTTGACACCCAAACACCAGTATCAATAAATTATCTCTATAGTTTTCTCATACTTGTACATCCCTTTGGTACCAACAAGGATAATTTGTTTAACAATGAAAGTTTCTTAGGGTTGGCGATCATTTTGCTTTTTCTAGTGATCTTAACCCTTTTTCAAGTGAATCTTACAATATCAATAAATGAATCAAGCTGGCATAAATGAGAATAGAAAAGAAAATTTATTATGGGATTGTTAGTTGTCCAATGCCAAATTCTCTGGGTTAACATCAAGCAGATAGTTGACTAAAATCTTGGAAAGGGTTAATAAATTTAAACATAAGGAGAAAATACATGCTGGTCACTCTCTGGGTTTAAAGGATTAAAAATGGGTATTTAGACCCAGAAAAAGTGTTCCTTCCAAAGAATTCAAATAATTTCTGAACATTTACCTAGACCAAAGTTTGCATTCCCCTGATTAGAGATTTCCCACCATACTTTTCGTCACACAGTCGGGCTTATTTCACAAAACAAGTGACTTTACGTTTTTAGGATGAAATGTCTCAGGAGAAAAAGTCTGCCAAAGAGGCCCTCCTGCTTTGGTGTCAAAGAATGACCAGAGGGTAAGATCATATTTGACTTAAATAATCTACAGAACTTCTTAGATGCTTGTAAGTAAATGTTATAAACACAGTTACACTGCAACTGGAACGTGTTTTACCACCAGCCAAATGTTTTGTACAATCTTAACTCCATAATAAAGAAAATTGTTTTATTGTTATTATTATTATCTCAAAGATATCCTGGAGTTGACATCCAAAATTTTACCACAAGCTGGAGAAATGGTTTGGCTTTTAATGCTCTCATTCATAAACACAGGTAATTTTATCCCGACATCGCTTCAAATGATATTTATAACAACATTTATTTTCATGTGATTATACAACAGTTGCTTCTAACCCTACCATTCCCAGATATCAAATTGGTTACAAATTGAGCTAGAGATTTCTGTTATGCATAAAAATCAGGAGTAAATAATATGTGTTTTAGTAGAAATCCACTCGTTGTCAACTATTCAACACTTAACAGCAAGACAAACATATGTTCTAGTATTACTTTGTTTATGGGGTCAATATGTTAGGTCACTCCTCCTACTCACAGCTAATCAGATTACAGAATTTTTGTTAGAGCTAGTTGATTAATACTCATACATACAATAATAACCTTTAATAACCTGTAATAACCTTTTGAAGTTGGGGGTATTACTGTATTAAGTGTTAAAATCTCAACCTTAATATTTAGTCTGAATTTTTTTCTCCTTTTTCCAGACCTGATATAATAAACTATGGTACCCTATGCCCCAGCCAGCATGAGGCAAACTTGAACAATGCTTTCAATGTTGCAGAGGAGAGATTAGGAATAGCCAAACTATTGGATGCAGAAGGTTGTTGCCATTATTTTTTTTCTTCATGATTACTGTGTGCATTTGAGATTCAAGTCTTTCTCAGTCACTTGATTAGTTCGTTTGCCTTTTCCAATAATTTCTCTTTAGATGTGGACTGCCCACGGCCAGATGAGAAGTCCATCATGACATATGTGTCAATGTATTATCAATATTTTGCCAAAATGAAGACAGAAGAAACAGGAGGAAGACGTATTGCAAAGGTGCAAGACATTTAAGGATTTTATGATTCTTATTAAAAGTATTCCATATCACAGTTACAGCATCTCTTGTGCATGAGTTCTCCTTTTGAAGCAGCAGTGAAGCTTTAAACCATTGACAAGGGCTAGAGTAAGAGGAGAGCAAATAAGCCATTGGAGACTTGGAATGGAATGGGAACAAGTTCTGCTTCTAGTTAACCAGCTCTCAGTTGTCTTGTTTAACCCTTTAACTCCCACGAGTGACCAAGACAGGATTTCTCCTTACAATATAGATAGAATATCAAGCAGATAAGTGATGAGAATAAAGAAAATCATCAGTTAGGGGATCATGAGTTGATCCAACACCAAATTCTCCAAACTAACATCACAAGAACGGTATTGGCAGACAGTTGGGAGAATTACTAATGGGATCTTGGGATTTAAAGGGTTAAGTGGGCAGAAATCTGTTACTTTGGGCCTTCCTGCAATGGTAGACAAAACTAGAATTGTCCCCACAAAATCAAAGGACAGATTTTGTTATGACAAAGTTTTGCTTTGTCTGTTGCATTGGCATGAAGAATTTCAAAGCCACAACAATTAGCACTGCCTTTAGAGCCAGAGCCCCAGCCAATCTTTCCCCAACTCATCTCAAATCTTCCTCTGGGTAGAGAAACTCACATCCTGTAGCCATGTTAAAGAGGGCCTGCTTTATTCTAGAATGTACAGTGCACATGCTTACCTGTGCATCTAGGTGAACCTTAGTGACATTCTGTAGTCTCTTTTCAATCACTCACTCAGCTAAATATTGACATGACAAACTTTTTTTGTTCAAAATGAAAATCTCTGGATTTGATCATCTGACTACAGATCCTTGGGATTTTAATGGAGGTGGAACAGATGGAGAAGACGTATGAACAGATGGTGTCAGACTTGTTAAACTGGCTTAACACTAAGATTGTAGAGCTTGGTAGGCCATTCCAGAAGTCTATGGTAGCAGTTCAGAGGGAGATGGCATTATTTAAGCATTTCAGAACAGTTGAAAAGCCACCAAAGTAAGTTGACTTGCATGAACTAATTTTAAATTGTTCAAAGCTGATGTAGCCCTTCAACCCTTAAGAGCGACCAGCCTTTAAATTTTCCTCTAAGTATCACTAGTGAATGAATCATAAAGGTCATGAGAATAAAGATTGTGATCACCAACAAAACAAGCTCATGATTGTTAAACAAATTCTCCATGTTAGCACTATAAGAAATTTATAGAGAACAGTATGGAGAGTATACACACTGATGTCAGGGGGTGGAATATTGTCAATTTATGGGTATATTAGTCTTTTTTATAGCCATTTTTAGATTGTGTTGAATCATGAGCTTTTTGAGACCTAGCAATGATTGTGAAGGTTAAGGTTGCCATAATACTCCTTTAAAGTATTGGAAAAACAGGTCAAATTTTTAATTATGACAATTGCAGTATTCTTTTACAATTTTGAATTTTCGCTTTGTAGATGGCTGCATTGGCAAAATTCCAAAATAATTTAAGATATTTGTTCCGTAACTGTCTCATTCTGACCTAATAACAGACTTTCCTTGATTTGTTTGAGCTTATATCAAGAATAGCTGATTCCTTTAATTGCCTTTTATAACTTCTGGTCTTCTGATCGCTTTTTTTTTTTCTAAGTTGTTATTATTTTTCTTCTCAACATCAGATACTCAGAACGAGTGAATATCGAAGCCCACCTCTTTAGCTTACAAACGAAACGAAAGGGTAACAATCAACAACCTTACATACCCCCTGAGGGTAAATTAGTGATGGACATTAACAGGGCGTGGCAGGTTATGGAGAGTGCTGAACATGACAGAGAAATGGCGCTACGCCAGGAATTGATAAGGTATTGTATTTACTCGAGAGAGTGTCTCCCTCCTTCGGAGATGCCTTGCATTTTGGAGTCATGTGCACTGCTGATAATTACCATCGTCGAATATACGCCTTAAGATTTCGTGTATGAATGTTCCCAGGAGCGAGCTTAAGACAACCTACTTGTTGGTGGGGCTATATACAAGGTTCTTATGTGACACGTGTCCAGCATATACTGGGGAAAGGAAGCAAAGCGCGGGAAATCGCGGCGACCAAGTCGTGATTGGTGTTGGTGTTGCATCCAATTGGTTGAGAGAGTGACGCGAGTTTTCTGAACCAATCACAGAGCGAAGTAAAGCAAAACCAATGAAATCCCGCATTATTTTTAAAACTCATTGAAAATTGCTCTATCGAATACCAATTACGTATGACAACCAACTTTTCTTTGGGGGAACGAAAAGTGTCATTTTAAGAAGCTAAGCACAAGGCTAGAGATAGAAACTCCATTATGACCCATCTACAACACCGTAAGAGCCTTATGAAGATATTTCTGAACGAGATTCTTCCATAACTTGTGATGACACTGACCAAAACAAATTTCAAATTCAAGAGAAAACATTTTAAAGACATGTTTCGGCGAGTGTTTGCCTAAGTTATTGTAATGTTACTAATTTCAAATATCGTGATTCGATTAATCTGATAACGTAATTTTTATGAAACGTGTAAAAGCAAAGTCAACGGATACGACACAATGAACTGATGATGGCATGAGTCATGCTGAAACACGTTCTCTCGTGAATTTGAATTGTTTTTGATGAAATGTCTTTGCTGTTCCTAGGCAAGAGATGCTTGAAAAACTAGCTGACAAGTTCGAAAGAAAGGTAAAGAGTTCAGCTACTGTGAGGTTTTTTTTCGTGTGTGTGTGTGTTTCATTAACGACGGCTTCTGTATGTTTGAATTTTCAGGCTTCCCTTCGCGAGTCTTGGTTGGATGATATGATGCATGTTCTGGAAGGAGAGGCATTGGGTCAAGACGCGGCGACCGTAGAGGCGGCCTTTAAACGACATGAAGCCATAAGTACCGACGTCAAGGCCAGGGTGAGTGATAATAACCTGTAAGTTGCCAGTTTCTTTTGTGTGTGTCTTCTGGCGAGAAACCCGACGCAGCACACGCAAACGACACGCACACTCCGTGGTATTAAACGCAAATGCATTACAAAACTGCACGCAGTTCAGTGCACGCAATCAATCAACACGCATTAAATGCATGTGTTAGGACAAAAGTGCTTGCAGTATGAAAAAATATTGATTGCCATTAAACACTTACCTTTGTGGTTTGTAGGAAGAACGTTTTCAAATGGTCTTTGACCTGGCCCAGGAACTAATTGATGAAGATTACCACAGATCTGATGTTATCAGTGCAAGGTATTGCGATCTACCAAAACCACTTCACTACAAAAAGTATCAAACTCAATCTCTAGACCCAAACTCGACGTACAAAATGGAATTGATAATGTTGATAATGATAATTGTAATAATAATAATAGTAATAGTAATAATAATAATGATAGTGATAATATCTTTATTTCAAGTGCTAGAATCTATTTACAATGGAATCTATAATTCTGTATTTTTACATATGTCGATAACAATAAAATTTTAAATATAAATACATTACTATTATGTTTGCTAAGGAAAAAAACAAAATATATTTAAAAATCTATTGACTTTGAGGGCGAAGTGGGGAGGAATTGGATCTCCAGAACCCTCCCTATGAATCTGCCATCGGGGAAAGGTCACGCCCCTGTCTTAAGCCTTCTTTCCTATTTCACTCCGCGCTGTTATCATGCCCCGCCAAGAACTTTAGGAACAGGCTTTCTAGGCGGAAGGAGAAGCTTTTATAGCGCATTTCATTACGTTAGCTCTTTTAACAGAACAGACGCAGAGATCTTTGAACTAAAGAGCTCTGTCAAGGTATCTGACCCAATCTGATTTTGTGTTACAGAGAAGAGGTTATTATGACCAAATGGGACAAGCTGATCGGTATGTTAGAGGCGAAGCGTTCAACTCTGGTGGGTTTTAAGGATCTTGTCGGTTTGTTCAGAGAAATGGATGGTGCACACGGTGACATGCAGGATATTGAGGTACTAGCCGGATAACGAATACGATCTATGTTACATTACGTTCTCCGTAACCTTCAAGCAGGCCCTCGTTATTAGTGCTGCGCGTGTTTCTCCGCCCGCGGAAAGGTTGGAGACGAGTCGGGGCGTGGTTTTCCAGCGTTCTCTTAGCAGATCTCTCGCTGTACGTATAAGGACTCACACTTTTCTCGCGGGGTAAGAAATGCTCATGTCCGGCGCAGCACTAATATAGAGAATCCGCGCTTTAGACGGTTTCCTTTTTGTGCTTTAGTTTGCCATCGAACTCTTTGATATCTTCTTTTTTGCTTTTTAGCCTTTGTGACTACGCTTACGACAGCAGATCGAAATCCCCTCTTTTAACCCAAGTTTTAAGTACCATTCTGTTTTGCAGTCGGCTGTGAGATCTGAGGACTATGGCAAGCATCTGTTAGATGTGGAAAATCTTCTCCACAAGCACAGTTTAATTGAATCACAAATTCAATCTCAAGGAGAAAGTGTCCAGAGAATCAACAACGTGGCGCAGAGATTTATCAAAGCAAAGCATCCAGAAAGTCGGGTCATCAAAGAAAGACAGTCACTTCTTGCTCAAGCATTTGAGGTATATAACTGAATCTTACACAGGGGTTTCAATGGCAGCCGGGTAGCAGATAAATCCGTCTACCTGCTGGTGATGCGCTGGCTATCTGCTTGTAGCCTTCACACAAATGTCATTGGGCTCCTAATATACAACTCTCCTCCACTTTGTTCAAATTGTTTGACTGTTAGAAACAACAAAGAAACAGAAATTGGAATCGCCTTAAAAATGCGGAAAATGCGATTGCAATAGTCACAATTTACCAGCGGAGCCTGGGCCTCCAACTTCACTCCCAAGATCTCTTTAGTAATTCTCCCTACTGTCTGCAGTACAATTATGATGTTGACCTGCAAAATTTGGTATTGGATCAACTTTTACCCCCTAAGTGATATTAATCTTTATTCTCATTAGTTGTCTGCTTGATTTTGTATTGATATTGTTAGGAAAAACTCTGTCTTGGTCACTCATGGGAGAATAAGAGTTAATGAAACTTATTTTACGTTAACATGGTTATCAATAAGTTTGAAAGTGGTATGAAAATAAGAAATAGTCGGCGGCCAATTACTTGATTTCATGTTAAATCGTTTTCGTCCACAGGCGTTAATTCAGCTGGGAAAGGAGCGTCGCGCAAGGCTTGAAGATTCCCTGAGACTTTACAAATTCTTTGGAGACATGGAGGAAGAGGAGATGTTCGTCAAAGAAACGGAAAAAGTCCTCTCTTCAAAAGATGTTGGAAACGATCTGATAAGCTTGACAAGACTCCAACAGAAACACAAGGTTAGCTGCGACAGAGAATTGGTTGAATGTATCTGTTCGTTGTCGGATGTTGCTAAAACCAAGAACGACCGAATTCGACAAGCGCTTTGATCAGTACAGAGAAGCGACTTTTCAGCGTGAAAAATATCTCGCAATGTTATAGAAGCAATCCCGAATTGGATGGACGCACGCTAGACATTGTCCACTCCTTAATTTTTATGCGAATTACAACAAAATCAAGCATGTGCTGAAAGATGTTTGGTGCGTGGACTTTCCGTTAAAATTTCAGTTTTATCTTCGACGCCCAAAGTGTTTATTTCCTTTTATAATGAGAAAATCCGTTCTTGTCTGACTGGAAATTCCTTTCTGCAGCTTTGGGAGAGATAGTTTCCACTTTGTTTCTGTGTTAATTATTGTTTTAACTCAATAGGCTCTAGAAGCAGAGTTAAGTGGCCGTTTTGCGCATTGTGAAACAGTCTGCGCCAAAGGGCAGTCGCTCGTTGACAGAAGTCACTACGCTTCTAAAGAGATCAGAGCAAAGATTAAACAGCTGCAGAACAACTGGATGAAACTAAGAGAACTTTTAATCACAAGATCAGAGAGATTAAAAGATGCTGCACAATCGTTACAGGTAAGAGGTGCTTTTTTGAGGCAGAGTAGCGGGCTGTCTGAGTGATTGGCTCGCTTTCTGCTTCTGACCAACAGACGGTTTAAGCAGGTGACCAAGCCTTGGACTGGCTGATTAACCGAAGGAATGACTGACCTAATGAACTGATGAGTGAATCAATTAATGACTGACTGACTGACGGACGGAATGGATGACTGACTGGCTGACCGACGGACTAAATAAATGCCTGATTGACTGACGGAATGAGTGAATGAATGAATGAATAGGTAAGTGAGTGAGAGAGTGATGGGAACATGGTTCGGTGGGTGAGTGAATGACTGAGTGAATGATTATTTTGTAATTCATAGAAATAAACGATGAAAATGTTCTCTCTGTACTGTATTTAGTATTACTCAGATTCTAATGACGCGGAATCTTGGATGAAAGAGAAAATGTACGTCGCGAGCAGTGAAGATTATGGCAGGGACGAACAGAGTGCAATGGTGGGTACAGAAATTCCAAGAATCAATTTCCAGCACGGCTGTGCACAAAACCCATCGGTCGTTTATTTATTTCGAGAATTATTTGTTGATTCAGTACCAAATTCTTTAAATTAGCATCATAAGAGTTGTATGACAGACTGTAAGGAGAATATACTTGTAAGATCTTGGAAGTGAAAGAGTTAAGCTTATGATATTTATTTGGTATTTATGAATATCAGGCTTATCGGCTCGGTATTAAAAGAACTCTTTTACAGTTTTGATCATGGTGACGAGGTTGGAAGAGAGCTTATCAGAAAGCGGGTATTACAGAGAGGCTTTGTAGGAAACCGGCTTACCGTAGAGGTTCCGATATTTACACGTGCTTTGAGTTCTGATTGGTTACCTATGTTAAGTACTATTAATCTGATTGGCTGTTGTAAGTGTTAGGTTTTGGTCTTATAACCCCTCATTGCAATTTTACCCTTCACACCACTTTGTGATATGATCCCTCTGCAATTCTGACATTCCGTCGAACATTAGCTGACATTTTCTTCTGGTTGTTTTGTAGTCCTTGCTGCAGCGACACACGAACGTGATAGACGAGATTAAAGGTTTTGCTGATGACATGAATCGCTTGAGGGAACAAAGTAAACTGATGGAGAGCAACGAACAGGCGGTTCAGGTGAGCAGAGGACTATTTGATAGTCCTTTTCTTCATCGCTTTGCATGACTCACTGCCATTTCTTCTTGTTACATTTTTACATTTTCTGGGATCAATGTCAGTACCTCAGCAACTGCGCACTTACTCCTCCCTAACCCAACAACAATCAACTGAGAACAACTTAGGGTAAATGTCGGTGCGTAGTTGTTCAGATACTTACGTTAATCCTTTTCTGATTATTGATGATCTTAGCAGTATAAAGGACTCGTGTCATATGTGAACCTTGTACTAAAAGGCCTGGCTCACTATTGAGTCTCTGTGGCCCAGTGAGGTAGCATCAGCGCGTGGAATTCACTTCGCATTAACTCCTTACTGGGTTCTCAGAATTTTTCTTCGCCTCACGCTCGTGACAAAACGAAAAACATCGTCTTTCATTTCATCACCGTGTGATTTACCATCTTTTTATTTTATTAACTCTCATGGAGCTTTCGACATTGCAAATCCTAGCAGTATTCGGGGCGCGTGTACCACACGAACGCAGCAAGGGCCAGGTGCACCATAGTCTCTGAGGCTCAGTGGTAGAGCATCGGGGTGTGGAATTCGAAGGCCTGAGGTTCGATTCCTCTTGGAGATTTAGGATATTTCTTTGTCCCACAGCTCGTGACGAGACGGAAAAACATATTTTTATTTTCTTTTTTTCTTTCTCTCTAGACAAAGGTGGAACTGTATGAAGAGGAAGCTGAGGTGGAGACAGACGAAGAAGTCGAGGAAACCGTAGAAAGAGAAGTTATGAAAGACGTTGTACAGGAAATTAAAGTCCCACAAGTAAAAGCTCTGCACCCATTTGCCGGACAAGGGCTTAAAATTACCAAGGGAGAGGTGAGTAGGGGTGAAAATGAAGTGTGGGAGGGGGGAGTTGCGACAGTTTTGGTTCCCAGGCGATTATATAAAATGTTAGCCATTAAATTTGCAGCGAAATTCGCCAGTTTTGCGACCCTTATTCGCGGGTCATAAAGCTCAGTGTTTTTTTGCGCTTGCTAGCATTTATAGTTTTGAGACTATAACGTGATATTTACATTTTTGTTTTTATATTTAGGTTTTCTTTTTGATTTCAAAGACGAACAAAGATTGGTGGAGTGTGAGGTACAACAAATTTCCTAACAGTTTATTTCAGCAATCTTTTATTCTTTATTTCGAGTCGAACCAAATGCTCATGGTCTTTCAAATGTAGCCCGATCACGCTAGTAGATCTCGTTTGCAAAAACCCACACTTGGTTAGGCGACATTTTCTTCAGGAAAGTTCAAAAGGTAGGGAGAAACCGAAAGTAAAACGAGCCCGGTGGACTGGTACCCTTTAACTCTCATGAGTGACCAAGACAGAATTTCTCCTTATAGATATAAATACAAGCAGACAAGTGATGAGAATGAAGAAAAATATCAACGAGAGGATTACATGTGTATTTGTTGACCTGACACTTATTTCATGAGAACTTGAGTGGCAGACTGCGAAGAGAATTACTAATGAATCTTGGGAGTAAAAGGGTTGAAAGAGCCCCGTAATATGATTAGATTTGAGGATAGCACGACTACAAGTGTCCTTAATCCTTGATTCTTTTTTTCTTCTCTTCAGGCGTTTGACCTCCAAAGAAGCAGGTTACGTCCCTGCTAACTACGTTAAAGAGATTGAGGCCAGAACAGTAAAGAAAACGACAAAACAGAAGGTCATCGTTCCCGAGAAGGTTTTGGTAAAACGAAAAGTGAAGAAGAAAGTCAAGATTCAGAAGCAACGGGAAGTGAAAGTCAAAACTCCTGAAAAGAAAGGTTGGTAATAGCTTTGGAACCTTCCTCTTGAAAGTATTGTTTCGTAGCGTTCATTTGAGTTTTTACAACTAGGAAAATAAGTTGGAGCCAACTTGTACGACATCTACAATTATACCTTATGGATAACTACGCAAGGGCTAATAGGATTTCATCCAGATACTGTAATAGCTTGCGAGTAAGCCCTCATCGTTTGCGCACGGGCATGAAAGTGGCTTTGGGCAACGCGAGCCAGCAAGGGGTCTGCAATGTGTCCATTAGTGCCAGACCCCCAGCAAATCTCTCCCCGACTCGTCTCAAATCTTCCCGCGAGCAGAGAAACGCGCATCTTTCAGCACTAGTAATGAGGCTCTGCTCGAAAGCTAATTGAATTGAATCATTACTATAATTGGGCTTTACAACTGCGTTAATGAGTACAATCACTTCACAGGTGTGAAGAGAAAACCTTTCAGAATTTTGATCAAAATACTTTCAATGTTTCTTATAGGAAAATCTCGCCGACCAGTTAGACGTCATTTCACCGCCCATTTTGATCGCGACAACGTTGCTACGCGTCAGATCTCACTGCAGAACATGTACTCAAGACTGGTGGAAATGGCCGAGGTATTGTGTGCGTTCCATAGAGTACTTTTCGACTGAGTGTCGCAGAAAACCAAAGCTATTACAACGGCCAATCAGAAGAAAGGGAAATACGTTTAAGAGCCAATGAGAGCTTTAAAAAAATATATATATATATACAAACTGCCTAAAGCGCGGCAAAACGCGGACGACCAAGTCGCGAGTGGTTTTAGTTTTGTATCTGATTGGTGAGAGAGTGGCGCGAGTTTTCTGGACCAATCACAGCGCAAAGTAAAAGAATAACAAACCAATCACAGAGCAAAGTAAAGGAAAAGCAAATCAATCGCGGAATACTTTCGACACTCAGTGGAAATTTCTCTATTCTTGTTGTTTAGTTATTCTCCAGTGTTTTTGAGATTTTATTTCTTCTGAAAACATTTTGTCTAACCTTGATTGAATTCACTTTATAGATTCGCCGTGAGAATCTGGAGAACTCCATCAAATATTTTCATTTCAGTCATGAATGTGATGATATCGAGTTTTGGATGAAAAACAAGGTTTGATTCCTCATTGATGTCTCATTTCCTACTGGATTAATATTAGTATCTGAGAAACTCTGCACCTACCTCTCCCTTAACTCGACAACAGTGAACTGATAACAATTAAAGGTTAATTTTGAGTTTGGTGAGGGGTAGATGCGTAGTTGTTCACACACTGACATTGATTCTTCCTACCTTTATCTGTTAAATTATTTTAATGACGTGTCCACGATGGAACACGTACATGAAAATGGATTGACCGCGCGAAAATATGGTGGTCTGGGATTATATTACAACTTCCTCAAGTGCCTCGCGCTACTAAACGCCTCGCCCTGGATACTTGATTAATAACTTAGTCAAATAATGGAATATGTTTATTGTAGGTCGAATAGTCCGTCATGCTCTTAAGTTAGGCACTGTATTTTGACAGCATCTCTCTTCATTCTGGAGTTAATAAAAGTATTGGTTGATAAAACTGTTAAAGGAAAACTTCTGGGAGGAGGGGGGGGAGGGGGGGGGGATGGTTACTTGTGAAAGATCAGCAACCCGACTTGGAAGAACAACACTACTTGCTCGCTTCATGTTCAGGAAACCGAAGTGCACTCTACAGGTAGTTGTAAGAGTCAGTCTCTTATTGCTGCCTAACAGTGATACCTAATATTAACGACAGTGATCGTGATGATGCATTTATAAAGCGCATTCTCCGTATTAATTTGCTCTAATGCGCTTTGTAACACTTTTTGGGGGACTTTGGCCTGACTGTATTGAGTAATTTACACTCTGTAGAAAGATTATTTGGCAGGTGTCCCCAATTTAGGAATTTTTGGAAACAAGGCCAAAACACCGGTAGGTACATTCCCTACTCTTTGCGAGAAGTGCGTGGGTTCTTTAACGTCCCCTGCTAATCAGTAGAGAGAAGATGTACGTGACGATGCCTGCGGTTTGTCGTCCTCATCTAAGAAGATTTGAATGTCTACTCATTTGCATTTGTCATGGCAAAGGTAGCACATTCTCCTCAGTTATTTTAAGACACTAAGGGTTAATCCAGACTGGGGCTCGAACCCACGACCTCACGCACATCAGTCCGGTGTCCTACAACCTTAATTTTCAGCTTTTGATCGTTCTAACATTTGTAATTTAACGTTTTGCTTCGACTAATCAGGAAAGTCAGCTTACTTACAACAGTGCATCTGAATCAGACAACGACATTCATGTCATCCGCAAAAATATTGAGGTAGAGTCTTCGGCTAATCTGTCATATTTGTAACTTTTGATTCCTTTTTTTCTGCCCTCTTCACCTCTGTGCATTTTTGTGTTGCTAATTACGTTTTAGAGCAATTTTCAATCGAGTATCGAAAGAAATTCGAGATTGCTATGTTTTGCTGCACTTCGGTCTGATTGGTCCAGAAAAACGGGCGCCGATCTCTCAACCAATCAGATGCAAGACTAAAACCAATCACGACTTGGTCGCCCGCGTTTTCCCGCGCTTTAGGCTTTGATTTTGGTTTTACGAAACTCAATCGAAATGAGCTCTATCTGTATGTAACAATGCTTACGTTCTAAACTTCTGTAATATTTTTGTGTTGTCTTGTGTTACTGTGTTGCACATAGGTTCTAAGCTTTAACCCAGCATACTCTAATTTGGTTGGAACGAACTCTTACTGAACCTACAGTCACAAAGGTAAAGATGGTTCTCCACAGTCAAACGAAAAGTGGCCTTTCGCGTTATTTTAGCTCGTCATGTAATCCTACCATGGAACAGCAGAGAACGATTTCAAGTACGCCTCTATTCTTAATTCTGTACCAGAAACGGGAAAGTCAGCCAATTAACAGACGTAAAAAGTTGAAAAGTTTCTCTAAACTAATATGATCCAATAGAAGATGGGAGGAGAGAATGCTTTGCGGTGCGAGAGTTGGAACGTGTTTCGTTCTGTATAGAACTTAAGTTTTTGAATGGAAAATGTACTTTCGTTCAACGAGAACGCAATGCCAGTGGCAGGCGCTACACGTTAGTTTTCTTTATGATCTATGATTCAGCTTCAGTTTTTACTGAACGGAGAATCCAGGACATTGTGACCATGAACAATTTTACTGGACCTTTTTTCTCTTTTTTTTTTATTTCGGGCTGTTTCTGTTTCACAACTGTACACGATGTTTGTTTTGTGTCAGATCTGTGCTATTCTTCCTCAAATGTTATCACAGTTCTTGTCCATTTGTGTGAGGCACTATCGCACAAAGTACTGTTTCAAACATCCTCAGAATTAACTCCTTCACTCCTCGGAGTAACCAATTTGTAATTTATCCCTACCATCTCGATACGTTGTCAAGCAGAAAGATGATGTGAAGCATTAAGAAAAAGTTATCAATTAGTGCATATTGTTTGAATTGACATCAAGAATTATGATCAAAAATAAGAGCTCGGTCATTATTTATCTCCGGGGGGCGGGAGGGGATTTTGGCTGTCGCAATAAAATTTACCTGATCCCTAATGAGGCCTGTAGTATTCTAACGATCTCCCTCATTGGCAGTCATTTCTCATAGCCGTCCCCTTCTACTATGTTCGCGACGATTGATTCCCCCGCCATTACCCCTGACAACTATGTGATCCCGCCCGAAAAAACATTCCGATCCCCACTCCCTCCACAGACGAAAAATAATGACCGGTTCCGAAAGAGAAATGTATAGCAGAAATTGAGGAGAGTCGATATTGAGTTACAGGAGTGAGGGGGTTATAGAGAAGATTCGTGTCTTTTCACAGTAGCAAACGCACCTGTTCCGTGACGTGTTAAAAGCACATCTATTGCACCAGTGCCTACATTAGGGAAAAATGAGAGAAAGTTGTAAAGCCTGTTTGCCTTTTAAACTGTGTACACAGGGTCTCACGACAGAGCTAACAGCTAACAGCAACCGTATAGCTGAGATAAACTCGTTAGCAGATCAGCTGATAGACACGGATCACAGGCATTCGGCTGCAGTGAAGAAACGGAGGAAAGACATAAACGACATGTAAGAGTTAAATAAGAACAATTTTTTTATTTAGTGTTGAAGGTAATCTGGGATTGCTTCTTCACTTGGTGATTGGTTTAGAAAACTCGCGCCACCTTCTCAACCAATCAGATGGCTTGTGATGACTGACTGATCGTTGAGATAGTTTTGGTTTTTCGACACCCAATTGAAAATTGCTCTAACCTCCTCCTGTAGAAACACGGTTTGATTGTTGTTTTTTAAGGACTGGGAGTTCTTGTTAAGTTAAGCTCATGGTCTTATGTATCCCCTTGTGTTTTTCTTGAAGGTGGGAAAATCTTCAGCGCTTAAAAAAAGCCAAAGAAGAGGAACTACGTGAAAAACATGGGTAAGAACACCTGGTGTGCGAGCAGGCGCTCATTTTAGGCGCTTCGACTGCCGGTGAGAGGTCTGTGAGGGATCTGGGCCAAGCACTTGCAGAGTTCTCGCCTTGCATAAGGCCTCAAACTTGCTTGCGGGCAAGGAAACGCTTTCATTAAAGCGTTAACCCTTTAACTTCCAAGGTCTGATTGTTAATTCTCCGCTCTTGCTACTACACAATTCCTTGTAAATTAGTCGCGAGAATTTGATGAAAGATTAAGATAACAACTTCTAACTGATAAAGATCTTGCTGGGAAATTTAGGGTCCCTGTTAAATTTTGTCACTTCTGGGAAAGTTGGGGAAGTTTAGTCCTTGTATGTACATGTATACTCTGTGCCTCTCTACTTCACAAAAAATGATATTGAATTTTGCGTTTCTTTTCTTTTCTTTTTCTTTTTCTTTTTTTTTTTTTTTTTTTTTTGGGGGGTTAGGGTCGAGTTGTTCTTTGACTCTTGTGAAGAGATGAAGTCCTGGATTCAAGAGAAGGATGCCATTTTATCCGATGGAGACGTTGGGCGAGATTTGGAGACTGTTAGAGCTTTACAGAGGAGACACCAAGTAAGTCAGTAAAAAAGAGAAGTGACAACTAGCTTCGAACAGAGCATAAACCGACCTAGATCCATGAAACCCAAACCAAAGTTATGCAGCACCAAAAAAGCGCGAGCGAACTAGCTTCTTTTGGTTTTAGTTTAGCGGTGAGATTGCCCTAGAGGATGACACAAGTTTTCAGACTAATTAAAGGGTAAAGCGTTGCCTGCGAGAGGTCTGCAAGGGGTCTGGCTCTGATAATGAGTCCCAGAGCCCAGAAAATCTCTCCCCGACTCGTCTCAAATCTTCCCGTGGGCGGAGAAACGCGCGTCCTGCACCGCTAAGAATGTGAGCGTGCTCGTAGGGTTAACAAAATAAAGCCAAAAACGTTTTAGTCCCAGATTGCTTTCACAAATGTCAAGACTTATATCAGTGCATAAAAATACACATACCACATAAAACTACATGTAAGGCACGCGACCGGCCCCCTCTTTATATTGTTCACATTTAAATTCTCTCAGGGTTTCGAAAGAGATCTCGCCGCTGTGGAAGAAAAACTTGTAAAGTTACAGGACCAAGCAAAATCGTAAGTTTTACATTTTTGATCGTTTATTTGGGATTGTCGAACTTTTATCAGCGGTTGGTTCAGCATGCTTGATCAAGACAGCGGTCAAACGTCTGCGCATGTGCGATCTTTGTAATGACAAGATGACGTGCTTTCAGGCTGTCAAGACTAAGTTGTCTCACACAAGTTACAAACAACCACATAAGCCAGTAAGTTACGGTGATCGCAAGGCCTATAACTTTTTCGTTAAAACTCAAAACAGAAGGGTGAAAAACCTGTACTTGAATCAGCTTTATGCTCGAAAACTCTCGGGTTTTCTTTTCCTTGCTGTTTTTTCCTGTCACAGTTTCCTGTGAATGTTTCAATCTTTTTAAGTTTATTTTGCGAGACAGCGTTGGTTTGTTAAGTTTTTTCTTTGGAATTTTGCACTGGGAATTGGTGCGCACCCGGCCAAAATTGATACCCTCGCGCATGCCCGATGTTTAACCGCTGTGCATGCGCGATCTCTCTTACTTTGTTTTGCAGCCTTGTTTCCCATCATCCTCGACAAGCTCGTCAGATCAAAGCTAAAGAAGCGGAAATTATTGGATTATGGAATGGCTTGAAGGTGAGTTTCAATTCAGTTTTTTGTTTTAATAAAGATGAGAGAGAATAATGGAATGAAGTCAAGTCTTTTCATGGTTGCCTCAAGAAACAGTCCTTCAACGTCATAGAAACGTGGGTCGGAGTGCACTCCATTGCGAATATGAGAAACTTGAAATTACAATAACTTTGAAGTTGAAATATAACACAGAGAGTTAATGTTCGTGGGAATAAATATCTTTTGGGCCTGACCCAGAGTCATTTTAAGCCCGTTAAGCGTTTAGCAAGATTCATCTTTGTTCTTTCTCACTCTTTAGGGTAAAGCGAGTAAAAGAAAGAATGTTCTGGATGAAGCGTACGGTCAGCAGGGCTTCCTTGCTGATTCAAGAGATCTGGTAAAAGCATGCGAAGACGTCTAACCGCAGACTTTTCTCTCTATTTTTTTCGCGATTCATTGAGATCACCTTGTTTCTGAGGAAGTTGTTTTAAAATGCGTTTCCTCTTTCCTTTCAGTTATCCTGGGCCTCAGACATGCGTGAGTCGCTTAGAATTGGAGACACACCGAAAGACGTGAACAGCGCCAAACAACTTCTTCAAGAACACGAAGGAAAGTGGGAAGATATTCAAACACACAACGACAGGTAAAGACAAAATTGCAGTGGAAACATTTAAATCATTTTTAAATGGAATCACTCAGGTTATAATTTATAGTAAGGTTTTTAAAGATTTCTTACAGAATTCGTGGTTTAACGAAACTCTCCTTTTCAGACTTTGAGGTTTAGGTATGGACCTAAAATTCACACACTCCCTTCCCTGCCTCCCCCTACAAGGTTTGGTTTTTTTCCCCATTCAGATGTTAGGGGGTGGGACAAAGGCGGAAATTTTTACTTATTTGCGGTGTGGCTCCTTAAGTTGGGTTTTACGACACTCAGTACTTTGTGTCTCTTGTGAGCTGACTTTTTCCCTTGGTTTCTTTGAAGATTTGACCAGTTAATAGAATATGGTCAGCGGATGGTCGCCTCAAACCCACGAGTGAGACAGCTAAAAGACAGAGTAGCAGCTTTGAAGAAAGAGAAGGCAGCACTGAAGGACACTTGGGTTGAAAGGAATGAGGCACTAAATGAAGGCCAAGATTTGCAGGTAAGCTGTTCAGTCCTGAACTGAAGTAACTTCATGTAGTCTTCACTGATGTACCCGTCGTTTTGCCTCTCTCCGTCACATCATTGCACCAAACAGAAAGTGACCTTCACCCTCAATCCCTAAACCCTTAAGAATGACTAGCATCTAATTTCTCCTTACAGTATCAGCCCCATATCACACTTAAAGATCATGAGAGTAAAGGAAATGATCACTTACTAAAGAATCTCTTGATTGTTAACCAAATTCTCCTTGTCAGCAACTTAGGAAATGTAGAGACAACAGAATGGAGAAAATGCATGATGATGTTTGGGTGTAAATGGTTAATTGCTTGTACGTTTCCTTAATCTGTCCTCTGTCTCCCGAATATGCATTATTGGTAACGTATTCATTGATATCCGGATTTCTCAATGCTCTGCTTCAAAGTATCAGGAGTTGGTCTGTGGTTTGTTTGCTATAGTGACTTCCTAGGTTCCTGAAGAGTTTCTTGTTCTCCTCTTGAGCTGCCTTAGCGACACCTATCACACCTATCATCCGATATAGTGAACCTTCTTTTCGGGTGGCCATCCGAGTATAGGTGTCCTTTAAATGAAAGTATGAGATACAGATTACAGAGCACTTTCTTCAGATGGAACCAAGTTTTGCATCCCTTGATCAGAGATGTCCCTAAAAAAAAGTTCATGGATCGGGTCGGAAAATTTTTAACGGTGTGTCATATCTTTAAATTTTTTCTTTTTTGCAGGCGTTCATCCGAGATGCGGAATACGTAGATTCCTTGTCAGCTTCCCATGAGGCATTTCTCTCTAATGATGATCTCGGGGTATGAACTCTTTCACTGTAATATTTAAATATCCAACTTGACAGCCTGAGTTTGTCAGCTTTCAAAGTTTTTTCATTGAAGGAACAACAAGGTAATAGTGACCAAATAGGAATTTTTCCTTACATTATCAATACATTTTTAAGCAAAATGGTGATGTGAAGAAAGAGAGACCAAACGAGGAGTTGAATGAACATAAATTCTCAGTAATAAAACTATTAGAAATATGTTGCAAAACGTGCGGAGAATTTTTATATAGATCATAGAAGTTTAAATGTCAAAGCATCAGCGTCCTAAGGACTAACCTGTCTGCTCTCTGATTTCAGGATTCTGTGGATGATGTTCTAATGCTCCTGAAACAACATGAGAATTTTGAGAAGACGCTGACAGCACAGGAAGAGAAGCTACACTCGTTAAATGATATGGCGAACAGCTTGGTCACCGCTGGTCACCGCGACAGACAATGGTGCGTCATTTTTCTCATCTTAGTTATGTAAAAGCGGCAAATTGTTAAGCCGCACTAAACTCGTAAGCGAATTGACAAAATATTTAAACTATAGTGTTATTGACGGCAACCTTAGGGATGAGAAAACTGAAGTCTAACTTCTTTCTTCTTAACTCGTTTGTCAGTTGTAAGACATGCAAATGTAACATATCGATAGTGGTTTAGCGTGCTCTGTACTCTTACCGACAACGGCAAATTGGCAAATCAGATTGCGACTTTACTGCCAATTGTGGTAAAAATGAAATTCCAGCTACCGAGACGAGCCCTCGATTTGCGCCCCTTTACTCTAATCTCGACATTTTTTTTAACTTAATGTCTTGTAGGATTTCAAAACGGAAAGACGAAGTCCTCAAAAGAAGACAGAATGTCAAACAACTGGCTGCTAAGAGACGACAAGCTTTAAAGCAATCTCAACTGCTTCAGAACTTCAAGAGAGATACACAAGAGGTAACTTCCGTTAACATTTTACCTCAGTAGACGGCTATTCCATCGCAGCCCAAGATTGAATTTTGTGTTTTGCATAATAAACACACTACCAATGTTTTTTATTGAATGTTCACTTACTGAACTTCCATCCACTTGCTTACAAGTTAGAGCTACCCATAACAAATGATAAACAGCACTACCTGAAAGTCTAGCTCAGCTTTCACTCTGGGAATTCACCCACAGACTGAATAGTTTATCTTGAACGACATGATAAAAAGTACGTCAAAAATTAGTGCTCATGAGTAGCTTTCATTTTAATGGGTTACGTGCTAGGGTTTTATCCAGTGACGTAAAATTATGGCGAGCTGGAAGCGAGTGATTTACAAACTTCTCTCGTGTCCTACCAACATTCCTCGTGGATTATTAGTCGGTAAACCGGCAGAAATTGTGGTCTATTGCTTTTTATATAATGAAATTAGCCAATCAAGGCGCTCGTAAGATCTCAATTATTTAATAAGGCATAATAAACAATACCACTTGATCGTACACTGTTGATCTCATCTAGAATCTAAAACATTCTCTGTGCAGGATAATACGCAGTGCCTCATTACTGCTTAGGATCTTTCATTTGAATGGTTACATAATTGAGTTTCATCTATAAAATTTAAAATGAAGCTATTCCTTTATTCTTCAGTTTGAGGCTTGGATTCAAGAAAAACTTCAGATTGCCACAGACGAATCTTTTAGAGATTTGACCAACATACAGAGAAAACTTCAGAGACACCAGGCATTTGAAGCCGAAATCGCAGCCAACAAAGGTGGCTTCGATCGTGTGAACGTGGTAAGTTTTCCAAGACTCGATGTTCCTTTTTTATCAGTTAACAGACTGTTCCTTCTGAAGATAACCCTATTCAACCAATCGATTATCTATCGCGCATGCCTAGCATCTAACGTTTAAAAGAATCTTGCGGTTGCGTTTGTTGAGTTAGAGCAGGATGCGTAAAGTTTTGGATCCAGTGTTCTGTTGTACTTTTTGAACATTTGTGTTTTACTTTAATCTGTCTGAAATTTCCTCGAAATAATGCGGGAGTTCATAAACGTCTTAAGTGTATTTTAAATTATTTGTTTAGAGTGGGAAGAAGTTGATTCGCGAAGGGCATTATGGTTCTAAAGAAATCAAGGACTTATTGGGAAGGTTAAATGAAAGTTGGAGCGAGTTAGTCAGCAAGTCCGCCGATAAAGGTTCCAGATTACAGCAGGCTCAGCAGCAGCAACAGTTCAACCGAGCTATGGAAGACGTCAAGGTTGGTTTAGCGAGTAACATAAAAACAGTAGAACAGAGTCTTTGGGTATAGAAGAGAACACGGTAAGAATTCAGGCTGCGACGCGATTCGAACCAATGCCTCTCAGATATTGAAACATGATTTATTTCATTTATCATTGATACATAATTTATTTCATTTGATTTAAAACTGTACGGCTTTCTCGCGCAGTCAAAATGGATTGCGGAAAATAAACAACCCACAAGCGCATAAGAATCACTTCACTGAAAATATTTACCAGACCGAAACTGCATTTTTAGGATTTTTAATTTTCCCTACCACCTTCAATGGTTACCAATATTTCACCAGGTTTGGATGAATGAAGTTGAAACACTAATGTCCCTTGAAGATCTGGGCCATGACTTGTCTAGTGTCAAGTTCCTCCTCAAGAAACACCAAGGAGTGGAGGCTGATATCGAGGTTCACGATGCTCAGATCCAGTCCCTTTGCGACCAAGCCCAGGTCTTGATCGAAGATGGTCATTTTGATGCGGGGAAGATTGAGCAGGCAACAGAGAATGTATTGCAAAGGTGCAGTTACTTTCATATTCTTCCGAAAAAAGTTATCGCACAACATTTATATCTTATCATCTTCTGTAACTAAAGCCCAAATTTTTTAAAGCTCAGGAGCGAAATTATGCTAGTTAAAATGTATGACGATCTGGTAGTGTTTAAGGATCGTGTCACTTTTTTTTTTTCCACAGATTTGACGAACTGAAAGAACTGTCCTCCAACCGTCAGTCACAACTTGAAGACTCACTCGGTCTTCACCAGTTCTTTTATGACATTGAAATGGAGATGGCCTGGATACGAGAGCACATGACCATGGCAACCTCGGAGGACCTGGGTACGAGTTTAATTGGAGTTCAAAGACTACGGAAAAGACACTTGGTAAAACATTTCTTCTTCGTCCTTTTAGATATAATTTTTTAATCCATTTAGCTTAGGATCTTTTCAAATTTGATTTAATTCCTCTCCTCGGAGTGTAAAGTCAATCATTTTTTTGTGTGGAGGTTTTTCCTTCCCAGGAGCGATTAATATCCTTTTAGTGTCCATATGTTAATCAGAAAACAGTTGATGAGAATAAATAACTTTTCAGCGAGATCTCATCAGTTGATCAAGACCAAATTCTATTCTTTGAATGAAAAGGAAACGTGTAGGAGCCAGGAGAAAGGAGCCTTGCATGACGTCACCGTGATTGGCATCTCGACAACCTCAACGGAAGTCATAACGCTTGATTCTAATGATGGTTTCAGCTGAGGTTGTTGAAATCTCCGTCTCTGTCACTAAGCACAGTCGTTTTTTGTAGAGCTTCTTTCTTCCAAACTTTGCCCGTTTTTGTCAATCCTTTTGGGAGTTTTTTTTTTTTTTTTTTAACAATTATCGTAATTTTTTTTCTTTTCAGGCACTGGAAAATGAACTTTCCAACCATCAATTTCGTATCGACACTGTGTTAGCTTCCGGTCAGGATTTGATCGACAGCAATCATTACGCAGCCGATGAAATAGAAGAAAGATGCGAGGAACTGAATGAGAGTTGGGAACTACTCATGAAGGCTGCCGCTGAGCGAAAACAAAGACTTAGCGACGCTCTGGAATCACAGAAGGTTAATAAATATGCTTTATTATATAGCTGGCAGCGCCGGTGGGCAAGGTAGACCGTTTCTTGTGTTCTGATTGGCTACCTGAACGGGTAGCACGGACCCATATTGTCCGCTCGGGATTGCCCGCTTTGATTCCGTGCTAGAAAAAAATTTTAAAAATTCGTAAGGTTTTGACAGCAGTGGAGTTGCAAAAATGCGGAAGAAGAAAGTCAATACGCAGGAAACACGAACGAGTTTCGTGAATTTGCTGCGCTGAAAAAAAAAAAGGAAAAAAAGAATTCGGCCAATTCCAAAAACTTTTTACCGATCAGGCTTGGTCCATAACACATTTTCATTGACAGAGCGCAAGGTCAAGATGGCTGTTTTTACTTTGTACCTGTGTACCAAAGTGCAAAGACGAACGACCTCACACTCAGTCCGTGAATGATTTATAGCATGGCAGCGTAGGAGATTAAAGATTAGTGGTAAAGATGATTAATTTAGGGTCATTCTATGCTTTGTCGCCCTCCTCAGTACTTTACAGAGGCTAATGAAGCGGACTCTTGGATGAATGATAAGGCTGGTCTGGCAGCCAATCAGGATTACGGAAAGGACGAGCTATCCGCCGAAAAGCTGCTGACCAGGCACACTGCTTTACAAACAGCAGTAGATACCTATAGTCCGATCATCCAAGGTCTGGGCGAGCAGGCGAGGAAACTGGTGCAGAGTGGTCACTTTGCGGCTGAAAAGATTGCCTCCAGACAGGTAAATGCATTCGTCATGGAAAAATTGTTTGTTATGAGCACAAGGCGATACTGAAAACTTGACATCGACACCTCACACCTCGGTTTGTCATCTTACAGGGGAAAAGCCATTATGCAATAACTAAGTTTGCTTTCATATCGTTGCGTTTCAGCGTGACATAGAGGAACAGTTTTTAGGGCTGCAGACGCTGACCAATACGCGCCTTCAAAGACTGGAAGAGTCCAAGAAACTACATCAGTACCTGCGTGAAGTGAATGAAACCTCTGAGTGGATTACAGAACAGCTTCATGCTGCTTCGGCTGAGGATTATGGGAAAGATTTTGAGCATTTGGAGGTGTGTGTTCAAAATATGCTAAAACGGTTGAGCTCGTGGTCAAGGGTCGAGCTTTATATCATTCGAATTTTAACATTGCCCTTTGTTTTTGGTTGCCTCTTGTGAAGTTAGGCATTAGGTGGCGATCGAATCGAACTCTCAACATCCCCCCTGGTAACCCCCCCCTCCCCCGGTATTTGGACTGTTAAAGGTTGGCTCGTGCAAATTCCCGTCCCCGGGCCAAAACTTTGTTCAAATGAAAGACTCTTTGTATGATCAACGAATAGAAGAATTTAGCAACGTCAGCAATTAGTTTTTTTGTGCTGCTGTTGGGTTTTTCGCTTGTAAGCATCACTACGATATGAATCGTCTTTCCTAGCCATTCACTTACGAAAGCAGACTATTAACCTTTAAACTCCTCCTTTAAAACACGTGTATTACGCTGGAAAGACTTGACACTTCGGTTCAGATGCCCCACCCTACCAACACAAGGTTCAAATGTCCCACTCCCCGGGCGCGGACGACAATCGAGGGGATGTTGGAGCCTTAACGCGCACATTTCGTAGCATTTGTAAATAGTGGTCCTCAAGACGAGTTCAATGTGGCAAATATTTTTTATCTCATCACCAGGTGATTCAAAGGAAGTTTGAGGACTTTCAACGCAGCGTCGTGGCTAAAGCTGAACGATTTAGCGAGGTGGACAACTTCGCCAAACGTCTTGTGGCTGAAGGTCACACTGACACAGTGATCATCAAAGAACAACAAGATATTCTGAGGTGGGTAACACTCCTTTTCAGCTACTCTTTGGTCACGTCACATAATACACTGAGAGAAAGAGCAAGTTGCTTAGGGTTTAGTTTAACTGTTTAAAGTTTAACACACTAGTTTTTCAACAAGAAGATTTTTACGTAAAAACTGCCGATGCACAAGGGCATTTTTTTTTCCTAACATGAACTCTAAACGATACAAGGAAAAGTATACGCAACTAGGTTTCTCTTGGCAATAGGGTTTTAGTCCGAATGAGGCTTAACGATGTGCTTGTTCAGAGGTATGGCACGCCTTTGGTTGTCTCGTCTGTTTCGTTTTACCCTTCAGATCCATGTGGGCTCAACTTCAGGATCAAATCAAGCTTCGCACTAAGCGACTCGCCAGCGCCGCAGAGATTCACGGGTTTAACAGAGACTTGAACGAGCTGATCACTCGTCTCCAGGAAAAGGATTCCTCGCTCTCCATGGAGGACCTGGGCCGAGACATGGCTAGCGTCCAGGGCCTTCACCGGAAGCACGAAGGACACGAAAGAGACTTGGTTGTGGTGCAGCAACAAGTTGAAACATTAACAGCAGAGTCAGGAAAATTGCAAGCTGCATATCAAGGTAGATTTGAAATGCCTACATTGAGCATACACGTGCAAAGTTTGTTCTGGTGGTAAGAGACTTGAGCTAGCCATTGGCTGACCTTAGGATAGAAAGGTGTGGGAGGGTTTTTAGCCAATATGTAAATCATCGTGAAACCAAAATTAGAAACTAACAGATAAGCTTAAACATAGGAATGGTCCAGGTGAGCTGCGTTTTTAACGGACCAATACAAGAAAGCCATAGTTAAGAGCATTTCATTTCAATGTCGTAGAAAAGCAATCACAACAGCCAGTCATCAGAGTCGTTAAAAAAGTAATCACAGCAGCAAATCAGAACTGAGGAAACATCTCGATGAGCTAATAAAGTCTCAGCTTAAAACGAGTAGTGTATCTGTAGCGCGGGAAGATGCGAGTAAGAAAGTCGCAATTGGTTATCGTCTAGCATCTGATTAGTTGAAAGAATAGCGCTAGTGTTAGCTAGAAAGGATAGAGTGAATATTCTACACCAATCTCAGGGCGAGGTGAAGCAACGCCGATACATTTTAGGATTACACCGAGTTGAAATTTTCTCTACTGCACAGTAGAACTCGTATTCAATCATTTTATTTTTTAATACCAAGGTCACACAGCTGAGAGCATTAAAAAGCATGAAGAATTTGTACTGAGTTTGTGGGATGAGCTCAAAAGGAAAACAACTCGAAAGAAATGCAAGCTGCAAGATTCAAGCGATTTCCACAAGCTTAACAGCGAGGTGGGAATATCTTCCTCTAAACGTTAGAAGTTTTCAGATTTTCCCTACAAATCCTAAATGGAATAAATGCTGAATTAAATGACAGTCATTCTCGAAGTCTTTTTGTGAGGAAGAGAACGCTTTGCGTAACGCGAACAAACAGCGGTGATAAAGTAAGCTGATCCCCCTCCTGAATCGATATTGTGTTTGGATAGTTTAAAGGGGGGGGAGGGTTCCTCGTGTGAATGGGACCAATTTTTTTCTGCAGGGCGCAATGTATACACTTCTCTTTGTAAAACTTGCACGGTTTCCCTGGAATTACACCACTCTGAATCGATAATTCACTATGGAAAATAAGGGGGGCTTGCAAGGAAAAGAATTTACTACTGAGAAAGTATAAAAAATTTCCTCGATGCTGGTGAAACGCTAGAGTAGGCCTTCATCCCAACCAATCCTGCCATCACCCTTTCTAGTGCCAGATGAATGTTTTTGTCATTGTGTTATTTATGACGTCTGTAGATCCGGGACCTTGTGTCATGGTGCATTGACATGAGCCGCACCATCTCATCTGGTGAACCTGTGCATGACGTAGTACACGCCGAGGCTCAGTTGAGGAGGATTGACGAGCATCGCGCTGAGATGGATGCGCGAGAAGAGGGCTTCCAAAAGGTCATGGAGATTGGCGAGAGGATGATTGACAATGGCCACTTTGCAGCAGACGAGGTCAGTGTTTCGTTTGATTTCTTCCTTGCTTCTTTCATGAAGTAGGAGACGCGGTGGCTTAGTGGTCAGTGTACTGAGGTCCTGGGTCGAGACCTCGCCGAGTCATTGCGTTGTCTTCTAGGCCAAGACACCTTCAGTGCCTCTCGTCTCCGAGGTAGAAATAGTTACCAGCGAATTACATCGTCTCGCTGATACGTTTGTCATTTCTCACCACCTGTTTTTCGGATAATGCATTAGTATTAAAGGGGAAGGTATAGATTAAGGGGGTTAGCCGAACGGACGGTCAAAATGATTTTGTGAGAAGTCTTACCATCCAGCTGGGAGAAAAACACAGAAATGTGACAAGTTCTCTCACAGTTTGTGTATTTTGAAAAGAGAATGCGTGAAACATTTGGATCGGCTTTCAATTTTTTGTTTCAAATCGTTCATCTTATGTTGCTTGATTAGTCATAGCTATTGTTACTTATGTGTTTTTTGTGTTCTTATCAGATCGCAGAGAAGTTGGAACTGTTACTAACCGAACGTGAAAGTTTGTTTGCAACATGGGAAGATAACAAAACAGAACTCGATCAAGCGTATGACTTGCAGGTGTTTCTCAGAGAAGCGAAACAAATCGATACCTTAACAAGCACACAAGAGGTGAGACCAATGTTGCTTGTAGGTTCTGACGTTTTCCATGATCTTTTTACTCTGCTGACTCACAGCAACATAGAACCTATTTGTTTTATATAGTTAAAAAGCAAAATGTTGTTAACGGTGACGTCGTCTACGCATCTGCCATCCAATAGGTAATTGTTAAGAACCAATCAAACTGCGCGTATAACAAAACTTATCATATAATGCCCGCTTAGGACCATGCCTATCACATACATGCTAGTTCTTTGCAGTGACGCATTCTTTTATCACTAGGTTGTACTCGCCGGAGCAGAACTGGGAAGTAGCGTGGACGAAGTCGATTCGTTACTCAGGAAACACGAAAACACAGAGAAGCTCGTTGCCTCACAGGATGAGAAAGTGGCAAATCTTTGTGAATTTGGAGACACTTTGGTAGCGAACAGCCACAGCGAATCTGACAAAATACAGGGCAGAGTTCGTGGCGTGTGCGAACGGAGAAACAAATTAAATGAAGAGCTGCTGAAAAGAAGACACAAACTGGAGGATTCGAGAAAGATCGCGCAGTTTTATCAAGACGTTGTTGAGGTAAATAAACAGTGTATCGAGGATTTTTTTTCTCTAAGGCTTTGAGTTTCATAACTTCCTGAATTTATCTCAATTTTTGAGCGTAATAATCACATCGTGCATCTAGAAGGGAATATCTGTAAATGGCCTTAAACGCGGGAAAACGTGTAAAAACAAGCTGAACCTTGTTTGGGTTTGCATATGATTGGTTATGAGGGTAAGACGAGTTTTCTGAACCAATCACAGAGCTCGGTAGAACCAAACCAATGTAATTTTAGATTACTTGCGACACTTAAATAAAAATTGTTCCAAAGCGTGCACCGCAGAGTATTGCCACTCCATTACATGAATACCATTGTTTAAGGAGATACTGAGACTAGTTTCCTATGGATGGCAACAATTTTTTTTTTTATTCCATAGGCCGAATCCTGGATAACAGAGAAGCTCCAAACTGCCAGCGATGACAGTTACAAAGACCCAGCTAATTTGGAAACTAAGCTACAGAAGAACAAGGCTTTTGAAGCGGAGCTTACTGCACACGAGGAAGCCATTGACGCTGTTCGGGAAACTGGTGATGAGCTTATCACATCTGGGCACTTTGCGGCTGACGAAGTGGAACGCCGAATCGAGGCGCTGTACCTTCACTGGGAGGAACTCCTGGAGGCGTCAGCCAATAAAGGAAAGAGATTAGAGGAGGCGAGGGATCATCAGAAATTTACCCAAGAAGTCCACTTAGTTGACTCGTGTATCAGCGAAAAGGTTGGTACTCCTGTGCAATATATCTCTAAGGACAGGATGCACTGTGGGTCCACAGACAGAATGTTGTCCCCGCGTCGAGTTGTGATAATTCAAACTGATTTGAATTTGTGGATGGTGGCAGCGATTTGTTGTGGAAGATTAACACGCGAACCAGTGTATCACAGAGACCTTTCACAGCGAACTTTTTCTCCATTCTATCTTTTTGTCCATTTGTTTGCGTTTGTGCTTTGATGGTTCTGTTGTTCCAGATCAAGGGGTGTTGCCTCTTGTTCCCCATCCCCTTCCCCCCCTCCCTTCAGAAAAGATCAGCTTTCTTGTAGTGGAAATTAAATAGAAATGGTACATCCATGCCTTTGTTTTATACTGGACTTTCGTATTACAGGAAGCCGTTGTTTCTTCCGATGACACTGGACGAGACATAGAGCACTGTGTCCGACTGCAAAAGAAAATGAAAGGATTCGATCAAGACTTAGCAGTAGAGGCTGCACGGGTAGAGACGATCAACAAACTGGCCGAGAAACTCATATCACAGGCACACGCTGGGTCTGCGGATATCACCCAACGTCAGAAGGCGCTGAACGAGCGTTGGAATCGCCTGCAGGATCGAGCTGAAATGATCGAAAAGGCGTCAGGACAGGATCATAAACAAAATTGTTCTGATGAAGATTCATTTATCATAGTTTCGCGCCAAGGAACTATGAAATAGTACATAATAATAGGTAGACCTCGGAGGACAAAGAATTGAAAGGATAAACCTCGTCATTTGAACTGCTGTTTTTACGAAGTCTTAATTTAAAAATATTCCTGATTGGGATTTTTAAAAGTAAAGCTAATCAAGAACAGGATGTTAAACAAAATTTTTCTGAATGAAGAGTCATTTATCATTTTCGTTTTTTTTCAAGAGGGTATGACGTTCAATGAATGCCCTTTAGCATCTAATTTCTCCTTACAATATCTCCCCTGAGTCACACAATGATTGAAATGATTACCAACTAACTAAGCTCTTGATTTGTTAAACAAATTTTTCTCGTCAGTACCTGTGGAAATTTATGGAGGACAGTAAGGCGAATGTGCATACTGATGTAAAGGTTCAAAGGATGAAAAGTTTTCGTTTTTTTGTTTTAGGCTGTGATATTTTCTAGTGATGATTACGGCCGTGACCTGCCTGGTGTCGAGGCTCTATTGAGGAAACACGACGACCTGGAACGAGATTTGACAGTCATTGAAGGTAAAATGGAGGCACTCGAAAGCGAGGCTCGTCGACTGGCTAGGTCCCAGCCCCACATGGTAGCCACCATTCAGGAGAGGCAAAAAGGAATTATAGAAAACTGGGAACGACTGAATGACTTGTTCGATGAAAGGTAAAGAGGGCTTTCAACATGGTTATGAGGCAGCAAATGATTTTTTTCGGTGTTGTTAACAAAACGACAAATTTTAATCCTATTCTAACACAACCTTTGCAAATTCTTACCAGGAAAGGAAAACTAGAAGCCAACCGACTCTTACAAATTTTTCAAATGGATTACCGCGATTTGATGGCGTGGATGACAGACCTAGCCACGCGAATTTCATCCGGGGAAGCAGCCAAGAATGTCAGAGAAGCAGAGGCGTTGCTCGAACTACACACAGAGAGAAAGGTACTGTGAGGAATGAGTGTTCACTGTGACGGAGGACTAACGCTTGCCATGTCAGCTTTAGAAACTCTTCACGGAGGCCGATGTACGTTATCGACTCTATTGATAAAACCAAATTATCCTGTTACACCCCTACCGACTCAGCACCAAGGTTTCTTTAGAAACCTATTCTCTTTACTCCTGAGTGTTTTGGCTCTTTCTTGACTTCTCTTCTTTCACGTGATCTTCTCGTGCCCAGTCTGTTGCAGGTTATGACAAGAGAAACTTCATCCAGCTGATAATCTAATTGTCTGTGTGCCGGATGATCTATTTATATTGTAAATAGGAATTGTATGTTTATCCCTTCTTGGAGATTAAAGGTTGAAGTGATGTGCTCTCTTTCTTTCCCAGGGTGTAATCGAGGCTCGCTTGGAGTCGTTCAATAGTGCGCATGCGTTTGGGCTCAGTTTGGTGGACCAGGGACACTTTGCAACAGAAGAGATTCAAGAGAACTGCGAAGAAATGAGTCTTGTCAAAGACGAGTTGTTGGAGTCTTGGGAAGAGAGACAAATAGAGTTATCCCAGTCTTTTGAATTACAGGTGTGGTAGACTTGACTATTTGGCTAAGTTGTGTTGTGACTTAAGGTCACCGTCTTCACGCAACGTTTCGAAGGAGAGTGTCTCTTGCGTTGCGTGTTATTACAGCAAAAGGCCGCTTAGTGTAGATACCATATACAAATCTTTTTAAGTCGAAAATATCCCCGAAATTTTCAGTCCTTAAAGTAGAAAAATAACAGAGAAGCACATGAAGTCCAAACGTCTAAAGACTGATCGGCTACAAAGTATATTAAAAAAACACACACACATTTGTTGCGAGCTGCAATTTAGAGGCTTCATTGAAATGGTTTAAACCTGTGACCAGGGTTACGTTTTTGGCCTCAAAACGCGCTCTAATACTTACCATTGTCTTTCTAGCTGTTTCTACGGGACGCGGATCAGGCCGACACATGGATTTCAACAAAAGAAGCGTTTTTGCAGGCAGACGAATCAAGCGACAGCTTGGACACAGTGGAAACACTGCTTAAGAATCAGCATAACTTCGAAAAATCACTGACAGCCTACGAAGAGAAGATCAAAGCTATACAACAATCCGCTGACCAGCTCATACAGAAGGACCACGTGGACTCGGGCCTAATTAGCAAAAGATGCAGAGAAGTGTTGGAAAACTGGGAACGACTGAAAACGCTGGCCACTGCAAAGATTGGAAATCTTGGTGAATCAAGGAAGCTGTTTCAGTTCCTTAGGGATGCTGAGGAGGTGAGAAACAATGGTAGTCTGTATGTTTTACTTTTTCAGTTTAACACGCAGTGTAATAGTATTAACGAAAAAATTTCGCGATTTTGATTGGCTGAAAACGAGTGCATTTTTCATGTAAAACGAGTGCAAATTTCAAATAGCGCGCGCGCTGCCAAAATATTTTGTCTTGACTTTCTGTGATGCGTTTTTTATGTAAATTATTAACAAGTAACAACATGATTCCGCGTGCAATTTGGTGTAAATAAGCACTTGCAAAACTTTTCAAAAACCACAAATTGCACTCGACCTACAGGCTTGTGCAATTTTGTTGTCTTCGAAAATTTACTCGTGTTTATTAGCCCCAAATCGCAAGAGAAATCATGTTATTACCTATACTAATTGTAGAGGCCATTTCTAAATTACCTTTGGCCTCCTTTTCGAAACGAGGCCTGCTGCTCGACCACTCGTACGAATACGAGTTTAATTTGCATGCGAATGAAAACTTATAATAATATGAAAGGATGAGCACCAGGACTCGCTTTGAAAATGAGGCCAAGGTGATTCGGAAATGGGCTATTGTGAAAAGAGACTGAATATCGTTATTATAAACCTAGCTAGTTTAGCTCAGCTATTTCAACTGCGCGAGGGACCTGCTTTACATTGCCATGATGCGCGTCTATTTCGTGCGTGTATTACATTGAATTACGAGGTTCACGCGTGACACGCATGTAGCGCGCATCCTGCATATTGCCAGGATCAGTAATGTCGAATTTCGCTTTCTTGTAACAGATTGAATCGTGGATGAACGAGAAACTACAAACAGCTTCCGAGGCATCGTACAGAGAAACATCTAACCTACTTCAAAAACAACAAAAACATCAAACTTTTGAAGCCGAGTTAGCTGCTAACAAAGGTCAGCTTGACAATGTGCTTCGCGCTGGACAGACTCTGTCGGAATCCACTCCCCAATCACGTGAAACAGTAGAAACGAGGCTTAAAGATGTCAAAGAGTTGTGGAAGCTTTTGGGTGACATGTCGAGCAGTAAAGGTCAGCGGTTAAAGGAAGCGATTCAAAGGCAGACGTTTGAGAAGAACGTTGGAGACTTGGAAACGTGGATTTCCGAAGTCGGAAATACTTTGGCATCAAAAGATTTCGGTAAAGACGTGAAAAGTGCTAACAATCTGATCAAGAAGCATCAGTTGCTCGAAGCAGACATTACATCTCGAGAGGAGAGAGTGAACGATATACTGAGTCAAGCGATAGAGTTTGTTGAGGCAGATCATTTTGAGAAGGATGAAATTGAAGACAGAGCGCAAGCGGTGGCAGAAAGGTAATCCTTTGTTGAAAGAGAAAAATGAAATCAGTATTTTTGATCTAACCTGAGCTCTCCTTGAAACATTCCATCCAGCTTGGTGATGGTCTAGGTGAGAGTGGTTCTGAAAAGTACTCAGTGACAGTTACTGACGTTTCGACAACTTGAGCTGAAGTCATCTTTGGAGTCAAGCGGGGAATTGTCTTTTCAGTCAAATGTCTGTTCCGTGAAAATTATTGTAAATACTTTTAGTTTTGCAGTGTTGTTATCGGCCGAAGACTTGAGTAGCCCTCATCCGTAAAAAACGACCAGTCGGTCATTATAGACCAGACTTAAGACATTTAGCCAATAAAAGACAACACTTTAACTGACTCTGATGTTGGGAATACACTCACCTGGATGATCACTGGCTCCACGCGATCGACTGACACTCCTTATTTCAGCTTCTATTGAGAAAAGAACTCAGAAAACCAGAGTTTTAATCGAGGAAACGTTATAGCATTGTACGAATACTTTTGAAGATGAAGGCACTGCTCATTTGAGAATATAAACACTGGTATGAAGTTTGTTAAGTGTTCTTTTGTTTTATTTTAGATTTAAGTGCCTTTCTGAGCCAGCTGAAGCACGAAGAAACAAACTGCAAGATTCACTCGCTCTTCAGCAGTTCCTCTCTAATGTGGAAGAAGAGCTGGCCTGGATACGAGATGAGGAACCGCTGGTCAAGTCAGATGACCTAGGGCGCACCCTCATCGGTATGAAAAATTAGAACATGCCAAAGAAAAAGAATATTTCTTCTCTCTTTTCTATAAATCACAAATAAAATTTAAAAACATGTTTTATCTGCAGGAGTTCAAAATCTTGTCAAGAAACAAGAGACAGTGGACTCAGAGATCACAGCGCATGAACAGCTGATAAATACCGTTATGTCTACCGCTGACCAACTCATTGAGCGTGAGCATTATGCTTCCGACGAGATCGAGGCTCGATGTGCTGACTTGCAAGAAAAATGGGCCGAGCTGACGAGTTTGTCAGCAACACGTCATCAGAATCTGCAGGAATCCCTCAAGGCTCAGCAGGTCAGAAATAGAATCTGAAACCTTGAAACGAGAAGGCCGAGACGATTTTTGCGAGTACCACTTGTACTTCTACAATCCCCTTCCAGAGCAACCATAACTTTTTTTTTCGCTTTGATAAAGTTATTGTGCGAATTCCGCTACAAGACATTACCAGATCATCACTGGAGCCTGTCAGAAACACTGGTGTCCGATTATTTAAACCAAGTTTAGCCGTTGTTTAACAAAAGCGCAAAACAATCCTCAATTGAGCGGAACCTTTTATCTGAACATTTATTTCGGTGAACAGTATAAAGAAGGCTGAAAGCTAACAGAGTAAGGACATTTATTTAATGAAATCAACCCACTTACAGAGAATTCCTGAAGCCCACTGACTTCGTAAAACCGTGGTTTGGGTTAGACTTTGCGTAAATAACGGGCCCTAAGTTTTTACATTTATTTATATGTAGCTCCAACATTAGTACGGCGAACTATTTGTTATTTTTGCATTGTTAGAGGCATATCAATACCCATCCTTTTGCAGGTGTTTAAAAGAATCAGTCTTTATACAGTGTAGTGTCAGAGTCATCGTAATGTTGTAATCGAAGATGGTCCTTTCATGGAACATGTTACATTCTTGAAGATTCTCGTCCAACTTTGAATATTTTTTTCTTGAAAAAACACGCCCTTTGTTTTCATATATTTCGTCTTGTAACACTGGTGTTACCTTCATTTCCTCAGTTCTACACGGAAGTTACTGAAGTGGAGACCTGGATTCGAGAAAAGTTGCCACGAGTCTCCAGCGATGACTATGGCCGGGACGAAACTATGGCCCAGTCCCTGCTGCGTAAACATGAGACTCTGGAACTGGAATTAGACAGTTATAGGGCAAAAGTCGGTGATCTCAGAAACACGTGCCAGGCGCTTGTTACAGCTGGGAATTTCGACGCTGAAAAGATTCAAAGACGCCAGGTAATAAGAAACAACTTGTAACGTTTATAACTAAGTGAGCTTAGACAAAATATGGGATTGAATTAATTTTATTCTACTTCTGCTCTATGAATTGCCCAGGCAGACGTGCCATCATTTTAACGTATCAAAGGGTAGGCCAGGCTTACATTTTCATAGTTAACTCAGGCTGCCTGAAGCGTGAAAAACCGCGAGTGAGCAAGTCGCGATCAGTATCGATTTTGCATCTGATTGGTTGAGAAAATGGAGCGAGTTTTCTGAACAATTGGTGACCGAGGTAAAGTTAAATTTATGTAATCCGAGAATGGTTTACACACTTATTGGAAAGTTTCTCCAAGCTACAGTTGCTAACCGTCTTAATTCTCCTAACCCATTATCGGTTGTTCTTAAGCGGTGTTACGATCGCTCCATGGAATCAAAGGGCGTAATTGTCTTTCTTTCTTCCTTAGTCGGAGATGGAGACTCGTTTTGAACAACTGAGCGAAAAATCCTCGTATCGTCGCCAGCGTTTGTTAGATTCCAACCAGCTGTTCAACTTTTTCCGGGAAGCCGACGAAGTTGAGTCGTGGATTGCTGACAAGGAATCGATTGCCATGTCGGATGACTACGGTCGCGATATTGAGCATGTAGAAACTCTGCTCAAGAAGTTTGAAGACTTCACACGTGACTTGGTGACTTCTGGCGAGAGGATTGCCAGTCTTACCACGCAAGCGCAAACTCTTCTGGATGAGGGTCACAGCGAAGGAGAAGTAAGTAATGTTGGGCTTTTTGTTTGTATTTGGGTATGGCTTCCTGAAAATGTACTAATTTACATAAATTCCTCATCATTTTTATGCCTTTTCTCCATTTCTTACGCATGATCTTTTTGGTCGATGGCTGTTTTGAAATAAGAGTATGTAGATATGTCAGTTGTATCTGAGATTTTAACGTTTTTTTGAGGACTATTTTATGAAAGCAATAATTCCATGTTAACGGAGCATCGTCTCACATCTCGAGGAGGGGGTATTTTTGCGACTGCCTCTAAGGTTTTCGTAGCTTTCTCAAATTTCCCTAATTCCCTTCTTGTTTAGTTTAGACTATGTAAACACGGATAAAATCCTCTTACATGGTTTAAGTATAAATCGGACCAAGCTATGTTTGTTCTCTTAGTCTGTCCGTCTACAACAGTGTGGAACTTCCTTTGAAGGGAAGCCCTTTACACTAAATTTCGTGACCTTGAATAGAAGTGTCTCAAAAGTAATTTCCTCTATACTCGTAATTTGAGGAAGCTGTGCTCAATACTGATTACCAAGATAATATTAATATACAGAGCATAACAAAGAAATCTATTCAAATCAACGAGTGAGGTAGGTCTGAATTGTTTATTTTTCTTCAGGCAATAGAGAATCGTATGGAGGAGGTTTGTTCTATGTGGGACACATTGAAAGAGAGAACCAACGCGCGCCTTGAAGCACTGGACCGAGCGAGAGAAATCCACGCCTTTAATCGAAATGTGGAAGATACAAGGGCCTGGATCCAAGAGAAAGAGGCGGCTCTTATGTTCTTTGACGATGGGGCACGTGATCTGAGTGGTGTCCAGGCCTTGCAAAGGAAGCATCAAGGCTTCCAAGTGAGTAATTCTTTAATTTTAAAATATTAGCTAGTTTTAATGATAAATTAATAATACAAATGCCCTTCCCTTTTTTTGTTGTTGTTTTTTGCTAAGCAAACTTTGTTGAATGGTGGGATTATTTTGATTTATGGTCAATGTCAATGATGTTCGAAGAAATAAATGAAGAAAATTAAAACTGAAACTCAAAACGTTATGCCGTTGGGGGTTATGGGGCGAGCACCCTAAATAACGTGACGTAGCATGTAAAATATGGCGTGACACTCGTGACATCACCATACCCGATATCATCACTCTGGACTTAGGTTATGTATTCCTTTACAGTTGGATCTGAAGGCCCTTGGAGAAAAAGTGCAATCAATCGCAAACGAAGCAGAGGACCTCGCTTTAAAGTTCCCTGAGGGTCAGGAACATCTTACAGAACAAAGGGACGAGGTGGTGTCATCATGGCGTCGCTTACAGGAGAAAGCCAGCAGTAAAAAATCCAACTTGACCCAATCTGAGGAGCTGCAGAAGTTTTTAAATGACTTCAGAGATCTTATGTGAGTGTACTTTGTAGTTTGCTCAATTTAATTGTTTACGTCCCTTTTTTTGCTGTGGGGTCGATAGGGCAAGGTGACCAACTGAAGGGATTAAACGTTTTCACGAACATACAACACTTTCGGTGGGAGCTTAGAAGGATGTTTTACTCTCTCACAGAGAAATTAGGCCATTGTTCGTTCTCGTTTCCAGTCTCTCCCTATCGCTCCATTGGCGGGAATGAGAGAGACTCTGGAAACAATGTTGATCATTTTTGTAGGTTGCTTTGTAAAATAGGAAAACACTCTCCATCCCTGGTTTCAGTTGTAGCACAAACAGGAAGCTATTTCTTACGACTGTTCACTTTTTAAGTGGTCGTTGATCCGTAAGTTATTGAAATAAACGAGTTTGTTAGAAAGATCGAAACCCATTTTCTTAGAGGAAACGTTTTATCTTCCTAGGTCGTGGATCAATCACATGTCATCTGTCCTCAAAGACGACGAACAGCCTGATGACGTCACAAGCGCAGAAAACTTTCTAGCTCGTCACCAGGAGCACAAGGCCGAAATAGACACGCGGCAAAAGAGTGTCAATGAATTCTTTGAAGCCGCTGATACTCTCATCGCCGACGGTCATTCTGCGTCTGCAGACGTTAAGGAAAAGAAGCAGCGACTTCATAAAGAGTGGTTGGCGTTGCAAAACACATGGCAGGAGAGAGGCACAGAATTAGAACGAAGTAAAGAAGTGCAGGTCTTCAAACGAGATGCTGACCAATTGGAGGCGTGGCTCAATGCACGTGACCTTGATCAGGAGTCCGGTGACGTGGGCGACTCGTTGGATGCTGTGGAGGAATTGATAAAGAAACACGAGGAGTTTGAGAACATGGTTCTAGCACAGGAGATGAAGTTGTTGGGAATTATAAAACTGACTCCACAGGAACAAGGAATCCATAAACAGAAGGAAGAAGAAAATGAGATGAGGAAGGAAAGAGAGAGACGGAAGAAGGAAGAGGAAGAAGAAAAGATAGAACGGGAGCTGAGGGAAAAGAAAAGACTGGACGAATTGAGGCGAAAAGAGGAAAATGATCGGAAAGAAAAAGAAAGGAAACAACGGGAGGACAGAGAAAAATTACGGGCTTTGGAGGATAGAAAGAGGGCTGAGGAAACAGCGAAAATGGACGAGAAAAGGAAGAAAGAAGCGCAAAGACAGCGCATGATTCCTGAGGAACAAAGGACGCAAGGGGAACATAGGAATGCGCTTGATCGGTTCGATAAAAATCAAAACTACAAACAGTCAAGTCAGGTTGGTAGTCCAAAAGATGAGCGCCAGGCTTCCTCAACATCAGTTATTGAGGGAATCTTGCAGCGCAAACAGGAATTTGAACCGGGTGCGAAAAAGTCGCCGTTACGTGCATGGAAGACGCTGTACACTGTACTTCGCGGTCACCAACTTTTCTTCTATCGCGAAAAGAAGGACGCGCAGAGTTCAAACTATGCTGTCCCTCCCATTGACGTGAAAGATGGCTTCTGCGAGGAAGCTGGCGATGCTGCAAGAAGGAGGAACGCTTTTAGAGTCCTCTGTGATGACGACTCTGACTATCTCTTTGTAGCGAAAGATCCTTCCGATCTTAAGCGCTGGCTCCGATGCATTAGCGAAGCGGCTGGCCAAACGGACCTACCCAGTCCTCCTCCGCCACCTCAAGGTGCACGGCCAATAAGTCTAAAGTCTCCACCACGAACCAAAGGCGAGGAAAGCCCGGAATCCCCGAAACGAACACAGCCTTACGGTCGAACTTATAAACCATTAATCACCGTTACGAGCTTTGATGACGACGAGGACGTCCTCATAGATCCCCCACCCCCTCCCCCTGTTAGTATCCTCCCTCCCTCTATTCCTTCAGACTTTTCCAACATTGGTGTACCTGTGGGCGGCGATCTCAAAGATAAACTTTACCTCGTAGAGGATTTAGAGAGCCTTCCATTAGAGCCGGATGATCCCCCAACCGTTCCTCCCCCGGATTTTGCTGACTTTGACGGCCCCTCCGATGACGAGCTTCCTGTTTTACCGACATCACCTCCACCAGAGTTTCTTTCTGACGATGAGAATGCTTTTGATAACGACTTTGAAGATTCCTCTCCTGCTTACAAACCTTCATTAATGCATCACTCTGCGGCATCTCCCAAGGAGAAGACAAGACCGACCCCTCCCCCAGTGGCACCTAAGCCGGAGGGGCGCACGCGATCAGACTCTAATGACTCGCTGCAAAAAGGTCCAAAACCTCCCGTCAAACCTAAACCCATTTCTGACAGAACTCATCTGCATGGACAGCGGTCATCAGACAATGGGCATGCCCAAGACATTCCCAGCCCTTTACGGTCAGCGGTACACAGCGTGGAGAGTCCGCCTGACGACAAAAAGAACGAAAAGAGGAGAGGAGTTTTGGGAAACATTTTCAAAAGGAAAAAGTGACACATGATAAAAAATCAATTTTTTTAAAGACACATAGAAATCAATTTTTTAAAGTAGAAATTAGCACTTGCTGAAGTGTTTAGAATTACCAGTTGTGAAGAATGCATTTTCAAACTGCTACACATATTTTCATTAGAACTAGATTTTTAGAGGAATTTTTGTGATATTTTTTTATAAACCATGTGTCAAAAATTTCTATTTAAATGTAGATTTTATAATATTTAAATGTAAATAAAGTATTTTTTACTATTAGATAATAAAAGGGAAAACCTACTCGATAATGAAGTCTGTTTTGAATTCCAAAAAAATTGAACGGTCACTATACGGTGCACAAAGCTGCAAAGGGGTTTGTTTGTCGTGTAGGAAGCCTTCACTGGGGAAACAATTTTTCTTCGAGCTAAAGAAAATATTTCATGTTGTGAAGATTCGATGAAACTGTCGGGAAATAAGATCCAAAATGTGTAGAAGCTGGAAAGAAAATACAAGCACTGTTCATGTCTGATTTTCTGGTAGACGCCAATTTTTGGATCGGGTGGGTTTTTTTGCTTGCCAAAGTATGAAGGGAACGGGATTATTCGGATAGTGTTGTAAACCATAAAGCATTACACGATCCGCGCACGAAATTTCACCCACCTGTTTCGATTTTTCACGCCCTTGATTACTTGAAGACGACTTGTTCCACCAGTGGTGGTTTTCTGTAACTTCTTACCTCGTTCGCCACTGAGGACCCCAGCCTCAGGTCAGAATCAAGAGATTGTAAACAGTTTATAATCTCTTGGGGGTGATTAATTAATCTCTCTATCAATTTATTTAGGATACCTTTTGATCCCTTAGGGTGGGAGTGATTAGTCTATCAATTTATTTCTCCTTCAACATTACCCCTAAATCAAACATGAATGTTATAAGAATAGAGGAAATGATCACAAAGCAAAGAAGTTCTTGATTGTCACGCAAATTCTTCTTTTTAGCACCTTGGGAAATGAACAGAGAACAGTAATTATTTTTATTATTTGCAGCAAAAGAAACAAATCCGACTGAGATATAACGAGATGATCGGGTAAGCTGTTATGAAATGATGGAAAAATGATCCTCGTGGGAAATTTTTTCTTTTAAGTTCAACTTTATCTGAGATCGAATTAGTTACTGGGATACCTGTGGTAGCCCAGTCATAAAATGCCTTTGTTTTTTTGTCGTCTTTTTTTTTTTTTTTTTTTTTTTTCCTCCCCCACAAAATGGAAAAATTGCGCAATAGTGCTCAGTGGTCATTGGGCTCTCAACACCATGACAACCAACTGTGATCCAATGAAGTGTTCACATGCTGATCACGCATGTTATCTTGATGATGATTGACGTTGTCATGCACAGACAGGGCCGGGTCACATGACGAACCACGGGACGTATAAAACGTATACGTATTTGACGTATAAAACTCTTTTGTCAGTCGTTTTATATTTCAACGTATTTAGATTACGATCACCCGGAGTGTCGCGGCGCAAACACTCAAAATACTTACCGACGCATACACAAGTCGTATTGTTCGCGGCCAATCCACGCTAAAAGATGTTATTGAGCGGTAATTTTCGAACGGATTGAGTCGCCAACGCTTGAAAGCCATGAAAGCCTTGAATGCCTTGTATGCCAAGTATGCCAATGTCTTAGTTGAAAAACGTACACTTGTTGTAAAAAGCAGAATCTGAAACCAAACTGCATATACTCTATGCAATCTGTTGAACAACACTCTTACCGTGAGACTAAAGAACAAAACTCTAACGGATGCAAACTGATAGTGAAGAAAGACGGCATGTTGGATTCACTTGATGCCAGGGAACGTAGCTACGATAACAGTGTACAGGAAACGAAATATGGTCGATTTACAACGATAAATATTTCGAAATATAAACATTTTTCTCATAAAATAAATAAAAATTACTCATACCCTGTGTATCCGTTGTAGTTTCTGGCGATTTCTGCCGTTTTAAGCTTGCTTTACCATTACTGTTATTCACGTCATCTACTTTTATTACGTTGGTAAAATCTGTACAGACATCACACCAACCAACTCGCGCGCAAAGTAAGAAGACTATATTAAAGGCTTGAAATAATATTACGATCGATTTTCATCAAGAAATGGGCCAGGAATTTTCCACAATAGTGCAAATAATGGTGAAGGCTGATCGCGGAAAAGCGATTGCGTGACGCTCGGTAAGCTGTAAGATGACATATTATTATATACCAGACGTAAAAACTCTTCAGATTCTCCGTCTGCATTTTGTACCCACTCTGCAGTCTGCAGTCTATATTTTGTATCCGGTCTGCAGTCTGCTGTCTGCATTTTGTAGTAACAGGTATCCGTGGCACCAATACAGTTTATTTTTGGTGACATTTATTCGCGCAACACACATAATTTACCACAAAATACCTGTGTGTGAGGTAATTCGACATTTTCGTTCTTTTCCGCGTTAATACTCTTTCCTTTTGTAAGAATGTAGACTACTAACAATGTTTCAAGTAATCCACCCACCCTACAAAAAATAACTCTTGCATACAGAGCATGCCTGTGTTTTGAAATAGGTGTATGCCTTAGCCAGACTTGAGCTCACTATTTCAGTATACTAGTCCGACACCCATAGTATCACTACACTTGATTCCAAGGATCCAGTACCATCCAGGTATCCCAGTTACCCTGCTCACAGGGTCTAGTTTTTCAACAATTTCAACGATATTTTCACCTCATTACTGAATTTTACTGAGGTTTAAATCGAAAAAAACCAAAGACCCTCTTAATGAATTTCAGCCCGCCCTTCATTGTTGGAAACTCATTTGAATTACAAATAACTCTTTGAATTAATATTCAAGTTTAGAAATCACTCTTACACGTGGAAAGAACTCTCGGAGTACAAGAACGCTCAAGCTCTTTTTCAGCCATTCTTGGGCCATGGAACACTTCATTTCAACCCTGTTACTTGAATGTCGTGTTTTCTGTCCAACGCGCCCGGCGCTGGCATCTTCGAAGTTTCTGAATCGCGCAGTGCAATTCGACACGGGATGGATTGATCAAAACCATTTTGTTACGACATTTCTCAAGGTAAATAACGTAAATAAAAAACAGTAATCGTTTTTTCGTTGTTTCCTTTGAAAATCAAGTCCTTAAAGTTGAATGTAAAAAGGAACAGTATGTAAAACTTAGTACGGTGTATTTGAAAGACAAATACGTATTCAGAAAGGCCGCCATGACAGTTGCTAGTGAACCGTGTGACTTTTAGGGCAGAGGCATAAAATCGATACTTTAGTCAGTGTTAGTTTGTAGATCACCCATTTACTTATTCAAATTTTTTCCATTTCTTTACTTAATTTCATACCATGTAGAGATATTTACGCTTATAATATGTAAATATTTAATTTGTTTTAAACGCTTTTATGGAAAATCATTTTCTCACATTCGCCAGAGAATATACACGTTGATTGTCAGAAATTTTTGACGTAAAGAATGTTTTTTGAAAGGAAAAGTTTCTCTCTACTTTAGACTGGTAGCTTTCATGACCTCATTCATTATGGCATTTTTTCTTTTCTAGCAAACCGGCTGTTAATTCCTCAATTCAAAAAATGCCGCCAATCCTAGATCTCCAAACAAGTTTTTCTTTCGCTCTTTAAATACTGATTCTTATGTATTTTTATTTTTATCATTACTTATCTAGAGATCGGTATAAATGTATTCCCATCATATTTTTTTCTTTTGCTACGATAGCATCAAGCATAGAATGACATGACATGCAACAGGAATGTGGAGAGGATACCATTAAATTAATAAGGTTGGTTTTTCAGTTTTGTTACGAATTCAACTCATATAAGCTAATACCTAACCCTGACTCTGTCAATGGTTCCAATTCAAAACCAATCAAAAAAAATTAAAAAATAAACAACAAGGAATTTACAACAAACAAAACTTATCTATTTTCTTCATAGTTGATTTACTCGATTTCTGTCTGATTAAGTTGACTGGCAGTAACTCGCAGCACTGATAAAGTAAGGACGCAATACTGTTGCCCTTCATTTGTTCCTGGTAAAATTTTATTTAGAGAAATCCTTGGGCATTGTTACCGGTGATACGACAATCATCCTGTCTTCCAATTTACCGTTTCAACGGGTTTAACCATGTACTTTCAAGTTTCAGTGCCTAAATCAAAGTGTGGTCTTTGTCTTTTGCTATTAATATTTTCTGAGGCGTTTGAATGAATTTCGTGTTACCTGCGTTCAATTAAGGACATGTGAATTTCTTTTCACAATGTAGTGGCTTAACTGTTTCTTATCGTTCACAATAAGAAGTACTCGCCTTTCTCAAAAAATTTTTTTTTCTGCAAATCGGTTTTTAGATTTCCGGCCAAATTTAGATTCTGGTTATTTTCTGCCAGATCAAAACCTTTTCACTCTATTTAATGAAAACCTTAGTAACTGATTTTAAATTATGATGCCCAGCTCTTGAGGTTGGAACTAGATTAAGTAAGCTCGTAACATAAGAAGTTCTCATTCTTTTCCTTAATATCTGTAGCTGGTATGTTGAGCTCTTGGATGGTATCATTTTCAAAATTAGAACTTCTTTACTTAAAAAAAAAAACGCTAGGAGCCTAATTGTCAAACAGTAAAAGATACAATTCTCACAGATGAAACTAGACTGAAAGAGTATGCTTCCAAACATAGATATCGTTTCTTATGTTTCTTTCAAAATGTATCAACTGATAGGCTCTTGAAGCTCTAACCAAATTCGATGAATTTAAGCCAAAAATAGTTGTTTCCTCCTCAACTATACTTTTTGAGTCTACTATCAACTGGTAACGAACGCCCTTTTTTTAATTCAATGTAATGATTTGAAGCCTAATAGTTGAATTACTGAGCTCCTAGGGCTTAAAACAAATTCTTTAACTATGCTCAAAAGATTGGTCTTCCTCTATTCGCTTATTTTGCAGAAATTATTTTCAATCCTCAGATAGGCTGTTTAATTTTCTGTAAGGGTTAGAGCCTAGTTCGTTCTTGTGGCTGAAACCAACAAAGGCATCTTGCCTCAGAACAACAGCTCTTGTTCCAGATCTTTGTTTGAAAGCGACAACGAATGTCACGTAAGGCTGCAACAATCTGCCCGTAAAACCAAAGGCTGCGACAATCTTCTTTCGAACTTAGGCTCGTAAAACTAAAGGCTATACAATGTTTAACCATGATGTTATACCTAAACTTTCACAACTTGTAAAATTTTTTTACACTTCTACTAGTAATATTCTT